CTGACACTAGTCAGTGACTTTATGCAATTTGCTGGGTTCCTTATACAGGAAACATTTTTTCTGATTGGCTTAATGAACTGACCTGGATTGGAACGTTTATTATGTGAAGTGCCTTGAGATGACTTGTCGTGATTTGGCGCTTTGTAAATAAAATTGAATTGAATTGAATTGAATTCTGGCCACAGAGGGCGGTGGGGGTCTGAGAGACCTTTAAACCCTGTAAAGGGTCGTTTTAGCACGTACTAGCTAAATAAAATTATTTAAAATATGAAAAAGCTGCATAGGGTGCCTTTAGGGGGTCCATGATGTGTCTTTGTGTCATTTCCCAACAAACATTGGTCCGACGCCGACGTGGTGTCCACGTCCAAAAATGGTCGCAGTAGGACGGCCCGAATTTGTAAAAAAAATATAACAGAACATTTCTTAAAAATCAATTCAGATACATTTGTACACGCTTACAGTTATATGTATAATTGTTATTTTGACATTTAGTTACGTGTAGTTCATCATGGCATCCCAGCAAATACTGGTCCGACGGCAATGCGGTTGGACCCTACCAAACATTGGTCCGGCGGCGAAGTGGTGTCCACGGTAAAAAAATGGTTGCAGTAGGACGTTGCAAATTTAAAAAAAATATTTAACATAACATTTCCTAAAAATCCACTCAGATTTGTAGTTACATGTATAATTGTTACGTGTAATTCACATCCAAGAAAGACGTGTAATTTACGTCCAGAAAAGACGTCGGTTCAACTTTCATTTTGGAACTTTTTTCAACCATGACGGGACGCGTCAGCCTGACATCTTTTCAACGTTGATTAAACGTCCGAATGTTTGCTGGGTTCCTCTGCTTTATGCTAGATAAATCAGGTTAACTGGAACTACTGAATCGTGGTCATTTTTGGAGTGTATTAGCAATAATGTAAAATGTGTCCAGTTCAGCCCTCCCATAAATAAAAGCACCAAGGAACGAGGTCCACCACCTGAAGGAGATTCATAAGAAGGAACCCTGTGGACCTAACTCAGACAATCACACACCAGCTGGGTGGAAAGATACCGAGGTTTAGCAAATCTCTGGACTTGCCTGATGTTTGAAAAGCAAACACTGAAATCAGAGCTGGTCACATGATCTGCAGAACACCTGCCTGATTCTGACACCCAACACTTTTAATTAAAAAGGACACCAAATACAGCAGAGCATGCCGGAAGGGGCGTGCACACATTCCTGCACACAATCGTGTACGCGTTCACAACGGTGAGGCATGGTTGAAATTTCATCAGAAGTCTGCTAATAAGCAGATAGTGTTATTTTAAACTGGTGTGTGTGTGTGTGTGTGTGTGTGTGTGTGTGTGTGTGTGTGTGTGTGTGTGTGTGTGTGTGTGTGTGTGTGTGTGTGTGTGTGTGTGTGTGTGTGTGTGTGTGTGTGTGTGTTTAGTCCGGCACAAATTATTTACGCTGCACAAACTGGTACACACACACACACACACACACACACACACACACACACACACACACACACACCACACACACGACAATTTAATTGTACTGTTTAGCTGAAGTTGGCCTCTGCTTCGTGTCAGCCATACAACATTAATGTTGGTCCCAATGACAAGTCATACAGCACAAAGTCCCTAATTACAACACAGGAGGCTGTGTGCCCGTCACACGCCACAGCGCCATGATAACACACTTAAGGGATTAAAACGCCCCTTCACAGATTGTCCTGGTCCTCTAAAGTCAGTTACACTCAATGGGAAGTTTGTTTGAGATCATCCTGGTTTTATCTGATTTAGAAGATAAAAGACCTCCGTCACCTTTTCATACAAGAGTTTAATAATAAGGTTTAATGCCGAGAGATGGTCGAGTTACAGCTTTTCATTCGTTTTCCTTTCATGTTGACAAGTTTGGATCTTAAAGGAAACAGATTGAGGACTGAAGAGAGATCACTCTCTCCCCAGTGACACTCTCAGAGGTTCACAGACTATAGAGGACATTTGATCCGTGTCTGCCTCAGAGTTTTCTTCCATTGGGGCGTGACCGGAAAACCTCCTGAGGGAGGCCTCCAGAAGGCATCTGACTCCAGCTGAGTTGCAGCACTACTCCGAATGAGGAGGTGATGACCAAAATGGAATAACACGCTGGACAAATGTCCTAATATTATTTTTATGAATGTTAGTTTCTGGTCCACTCACATAAATCTAACCTTCAGCTGCAATCACAGCCTGTAAGATCAGGCTTAAGAACTACCTTTTTAGTTCACCTTTTAACTGATTACTATTTATTGCATTGCTTGTTTTACTTATTTATTTTAATTACTGTTGTGTTACACATTAATGTTGTTTTATTTATATAATCACATTTTAATGGGTTTTTTACATCATACATTTTACATATTTTACATATATGTGTTTCCTCTGTGGAGCCCTCTGCCTCAGGACCGGTGGTCGGTGGCGGCGGCTGGGGCTGGGGCGCTCCTTGGGTAGTGCCCAGGTTGCCACCCTCCCTCCCAGGGCGCCCTGGATTGGTGTCTTGGCTGCTGCTGTTGAGGCAGATGGCTCCCTTGATGGCGTGTTTTTCATTACCTGTCCAATCTGAGCTCAGCCTAGTGTTTACTGAGGTATTTTAGGCCCTGTCCACACGTAGCCGGGGATCTGCCAAAACGTAGATATTTTTCTACGTTTTGGCCTGTCATCCACACGAAAACGAAGTTTTTTCACACGAAAACGGATCTTTTTAAAAACTCCGGCCAAAGTTAAGATCTGCGTTTTCTCCGTTTTGGGTGTCTGCGTGTGGACGGACAAAACCGGAGTTTTAAGGTCCGCAACGTCACTTTCCGCGACAAAAAAATGCTGACATCACGTGTGCGACTTGTGTTTACACTAGCCGGCATCATGGATGCCCTCAGAGCTGCGCTCGCTTTATCAATTGTCCAAATGCTTTTTGCTTGTTTGTTTTTGCAAGCGGAATTACTGCTCCTTGCGGAAGACCACAGACAAAGGACGAGGTTAAGAACGGGGGAAGTACTGCCGCCTACAGGTCTGGCATGTCCTTAACAACATATTTATCCGGGTACGTGTGGACAGTTTTTTTAAACGAGGTGGTGTGGATGCAAGTTTTTGGAGAGGCGGATATTCGTTTTTTTTAAAACCCGGCTACGTGTGGACTAGGCCTTAATGTGTGTGTTTGTGTGTTTGTGTGTGTGTGTGTGTGTGTGTGTGTGTGTGTGTGTGTGTGTGTGTGTGTGTGTGTGTGTGTGTGTGTGTGTACAAAATCAAAAAAGAGATGCAATATATTTTGGCCGAACGGTACTGCCGTAGTTTGATGTCATCGGCAGGCGCAGGACCTCGAGCAGATCCGGAAACTATTGCGTCAGAACCCTAGCATCGGCATTGCATGTCACACCAAGGTCGCACACTTTCTCCTCCACCGGCAACATTTACCATAATGTTTTTTACAACTAGCAACAGTCACGGCGATAAGGTGTAAAACTATCCTGAAATGTGTTTATGTACTGCCCCCTAGCACCAGGAAACCACACACTGCCACTTTATTGGTTAGTTTCACATGCTGGCTAAACGTGAAAACCAGTAAGATCTACGTCAAAATGTAAATTAACATTCATGGACTCACCCGTCTTGGCTCACAATAGCGAAGGTCGTTGGTTTAGGGTCCAGGAGCGAGCAGAGCACATCTCAGCTAGTAGAAGCTAACTGCTAGCATTAGCAACTCCACCATACAGCAGAACTCCTCCAGGCTTGTGTCGTTTGTGGAGATAAAACACCAATGGAGCGAGTGGTAGAGTCGTGTTGCTGTTAGCCAATCAGAAGAGAGATGATTATGACCAGCTCCTTCTCCCTCTGAAGCATGCCAGTGCGTTGAGACGCTCCTGACCAATCACATTTTGCAGGACTTCAGCTTCAGCCACGGAAGTGGATATGAGGACACCTAAAAGAGTCTCAGGAAATGTCTCCTGGAGGTTTTATGTCTGGGGACTCTGATAGAGCCCTGTCCCCTTGACGCCTCCACGCTGTTCAGGAACCTCTGCAAACTCCATCACAGGTCTCCTGCAGCCGCTGGTGCAGCATGTCAACGTGAGGTGTGATTACACGCAACAGCTGCACAATAAAAACATAAAACCATTGTCGTCACAAAGCCAGAAGCCTCCCTCGCTCTAGTGCTGTCAATTATCCTGATGGTTCCTTTCTTTAGTTCTCAGAAATCCTACATCAGGATGAGATAACGCAGCACAAACTGAGCCTTCAGCGTCATTCTGTTTCACTTGATGATGGCGGTTTCGTACTAAACATCAGCATCATGTGCAACACAATAGGCCCAAACAGCCACGAGGGTTTGCTGAACGGGAAAATTCCTGCTTTATGATCATGTCATGATGCATGAGGGTGAAACCTGCATCGCGGTGACCAGATTCCTGCAGAGCAGCGCGGCTGACCGACTCCGCTCCACGTTGACCCCATTTAATTGTATTTAAGGCATAACTGTTGCATCAGCCGTGTGTTTGTGGGTAGAAGAATTGCGTGCACGCGCTTCCCTGTTGCCTCTGCGACGTTACATAAGCCTGCACGTCTCTGGCCCATTATTCTCTGAAAGCTGACTGAGCCCCGCAGAGCAGCAGAAGAAATTAAATTAAATCAGTGAAATACGGTTCATCAGGATGTTCTCACACACACACACACACACACACACACACACACATACACACACACACACACACACACACACACACACACACACACACACACACACACACACACACAAACACACGCACGCACGCACACACACACGCACAGGCACACCACCCAGGATTTGGTCCCCAGCAGCAGACCGCCGTCATCGGTGTGTCAGATGTGAATCAGATCTGAACTTGACCTCCCCTTCTGCTTCCATCCTGCAGAAGATGATTGACTGTAAATGACTTCATCGCTGCACACTGATTGGTTCGTCAAAGCCCAACATGACCTGATTTCCTTCTCCTCTCTAGGATGGAGTTAGCTTTGAGGTGCGCCGGTATGACCCTGCTAAGTACGCCACCATCTCCTCGGAGGGGCGCACCTACGAGCAGGTGATCGGGGAGCTGGTCAGGAAGCTTCTCATGTACATCGGCGGCAGCAACGAGCAAGGTGAATCAAGCAGGAACATGATGAAAAATACTTTGAATCCTCAACACTCAAATGTTTCAACATTTTTTGCTAGGCTTCACTTTATTAAAATATTAAAAACGTTCTCCACCAGTGCTGACGGGAATTATATCCGTCGTGGAGTCCATCATCTTTAGGACACCCCTGTTGTAAACGTTAGCATCACAAAATCTTTAAAGGGCACATATTATGCATATTTTTGTGCTGCTATCTGGGTCTCTACTGCCACTATAAAAACTCCAAACGTGGAAAAAAAATTAATCAATTTCTTTTCTGTGATTGCTTACTTTTAGGAATTCATGTGCCTAAAACAAACCGTTTCTAAAAGTCCCCTTTTGTGATGTCACAACCAGATACGTTAGAATAGAGCCTACATGAGAGATAATTGCTGCTGGAGGAGTTGCAGCTCTGCTTCAAGCCCCTCCCAGATGTAGGAGCTTCTCAGCTTATAGCAGTCTGAGCAAGGGAGAGGTGGACGTAACAAGCTCTAGCTTGTTTTCTTGAGGTGACAGTGCCCTGAAACGGCTCATTCTGGAAGGTACTTAAAGAGCAAGTCACCCCCTACCAGAGTATTACTCCGCTCCCACTTCCTGTTTGAAAAATGCAACAAATGCTGTTGCCTAGCAGACCGAGAGGGCGAAGCCGCTAACAAATACACACGCACACAGGCTCACAATGACATTGTGACATCATATGGTACCAGCTAACGTTCTAGGGTACCTCTTAGCCAATAGCGATGGCAGATTTAAATTCTAATGCAGTGCAGAGTTTTTACCTGACAACGGCACAACACTGCCAGTTTTAGGCAGAACATTTACATTTGACCTAAAATGCACTAAAGTGCAAAACTATTGACTACACGTGTCTGCAGCACGATTAGACATGCATTTATGTAGTTTATCAGGAAAATAAAGTTGATTTGGGGGTGACTTGCTCTAAGTTGTTATCATGCTGGATTCCACTGTGGCACATTAACCGCAGACGTTTTGATTCAGTTGTTGCTTCTTTCTGCTGCTGGATATTCAGATAATCTTTTTATTAAGTTTAAAGATAATTTGTTATTTGAATGTGCGCTTCTGAGTGGGAGCAGATTCTGGTTCCAAAAATGCAAAACATTGTTTGGCAGCTGAAGTAGTCTCTATTCTAATGAGGATTGGTTAAAAAAAAAAAAAGAACCAGACACCAGAAAACTTTTTTAAAAATGTCCCCAAATGTCAGTAGTAATCAGACATCATCACATTAAGTAGTTCTACTGTTCCCTCTTCCTAAAATCTGTTTTCTTTCACTACATGTTCCCAGAAGAGGCCATGGGTACGGCGTTCCCCATCATTATCACAGTTTATCCACGGAACGACGGCGTTTTCTCTCGACGTTTGGTGGTAGGCATCCGTATTCCCTCCATCTACCAGCAAAGCCCCCCGACTCCCATCGACAGTGCCATCAGGATCGAAGAGCGACCCGGCATGACCGTCTACGCTCTGTATGTTCCCTTCTACTCCATACTGGACATAAAAATGTGGTTCCTGTTCACGTCACAAATGTGTCTAAATGTGACCAAAAAGTTGTCAGTGAGGCTGCAAATGTGCTATAGCCCATCTGGAAAAGTATTAAACCATTTGAAACCAGAGCTGAGAGCCAACACAGACCATTAGGTGCATCCTCACTCACTCCTCGAAGGTCAGTTTAGAATCACCAGGTAACCTCGTGTCTGCTGTCGGACTGTGGGAGGAAACCGGAGAACAAAAAGCTTACAGCTGACATTTAAATCTGTGACCTTTCTGCCGTAGGGCAACAGTGTTAACTGTGTTCCTCCAAGTTGGAGAAGAAAATCAGCAACAATACTGTTCCTGTTGGGAATGCACTGTGTCCGTGTGTAAAAATTCCATTAAGTCTGGTGAAAAGGCCAAGTGTTGCATTAGGATAATTCATATCTGTGGAGCACAGAGGAGGTGGAGTCATGGTTTGGTCATCTTCTGCTACTTTAAGGGTCAAAAATGCTTGGAAATCAGTGAGTTCTTTATAATAAAAAAAATGTGTCTGTGAGCTGCAAACATACATGTAAATACATTGCATGTTTCAATAGATTCACCTTCTGGTCCAAGCATGACCCCCCTTCTGGCTTCAGATCTGTACAATTGTGTTTCTGTGACTCATTCCTAAAGGAGCAACATGTAAGAATCTTACAGTGAAATAATCACAAAACCGTCTGTCTCAATCATGTTGGAAGGAATGTTACATTGAAACAGATTCTCAGTCAGCTGGGGCTTTGTCGGTTATTCTCCTTAAAAAAACGGATGAAGTCTTTGTTTACTATGCGTGAGCCCATGAGGTAGCAGAGTTCGCGCCAAGCTAACGCTGCAGTGACAGCATTTGTGATTCGGCACCAGAAGGCAGAAAGCTCCAGGGTTGTTTAAAGAACTGAAGCCAGTAAACTGGAGCGACCCAGAAGTAATTTCTTTCATCCCTAAGAAGCCACGGTATATTTTTGTTCTACTCTAATACCGGTAAAGCAGGCTAAAGGCTAACATTGAGCCAACAACGCTAATGGTGAATTAAAGAACAAGTCACCCCCAAAATCAACATTTTTGCTGATAAACTACATAAATGAGAGTCTAGTTGCGCTGCAGACACGTGTAGTCCAAAAATTGGCACTTAAGTGCATTTTAGTTAAAATTTAAATATTCTGCCTAAAACTCAAGTGTTGCGCCGTCGTCAGGTAAAAACTCTGCACTCCATTTGAATTTAAATCTGCCACCGCTATTGGCAAAGAGGTACACTATGATGTTAGCTGGTACATTATGATGTCACAATGTCATTATGAGCCTGTGTCTGTGGCCGTGTTCGAGATAAGCCAGTTCTGTGCAGATTCGGTCACCGGTGATCGGCACTCAGTACTTGCCGGTTAGATTTGTGTCCGACTTGACGCCGACTTGCTCTGACGTCATGCCTAAGTAGGCAACGATAACCTTGTGATATCAAGGCGGCCACAGATTTTGGAGCGAGGCGCTGCAGTTGCTCTTCATCGGCTGCAAAACCTAGGGCACGACGGGAAACGCCTGGCTCTCACCTGATCTAAGATCTGATTGGTTCACATTTTGATCCGAACATCCGGTGGTAGAACATGAAATGTTAGCTGGTCACATGTATTCTGTAAATCATGTTAGGATGATGACAACTATATAGGCCATAAAGAGAAATGTGTTTTGTATTATTGACTCCCTCCCGGCTCTCACAGCCAGCGAATGGAGAGGAAACAGTCCGCCCATGCAAGAGGAGTGATTTGTGGCATTTTACTTTATTTTATGGAGTTCAGAACTATAACAGCAAGCTAACAGCAGGAATGCAAACCACCACATTTCCTCTGGTGCCGATGCCACACTACCGTAATAATAGTGATCCCTACCGTAAAACACCCAAGAGTTCTAACACCAGATATGACCATGCATTCATCTACATATCAACTTACTGCGTATGACTCGTCTTCGCTCGTCACCTAGAATCTTCTGGCACTGATCTGTAACTGACAACAGTCGTAAAACTTAGGGAACGGTAGTGGTAAATGGTAAATGGCCTGTATTTGATATAGCGCCTTCTAGAGTCCTGGAACCCCCCAAGGCGCTTTACAACACAACCAGTCATTCACCCACTCACACACACATTCACACACTGGTGGGGATGAGCTACGATGTAGCCATAGCTGCCCTGGGGCGCACTGACAGAGGCGAGGCTGCCGAGCACTGGCGCCACCAGTCCCTCCGACCACCACCAGCAGGCAACGTGGGTTAAGTGTCTTGCCCAAGGACACAACAACAGCGACAGACTGAGCGGGGCTCAAACCTGCAACCTTCCGATTACGGGGCGAGCACATCTGACAGTAACATTTGACCACAGGATGTCATTCTTCATTCTTACATATTGCACCTTTAAATTCAAAAGACCTAAATGCACATATTTAATCGAAGTTCTGAACCAGCTGTGAAAGTCTTGGCCTCAGTCTGAAAAAGTAGTCATGGACTAGTTCATGTGAGGAAACCCACCAACAGCCCAGAGTCAAAGCTGTTCTCCACAGTCCAACGAAGAGAATACCCTCCGAGCTGAATAACTGTCACAGCTTCAGCTATCGCTCTGAAAGACTGTAGGCAACTCATATTTTATAAATGCATACATTTTCTGTGTAACCATTTTTGTCTAAATCCTGTTCGCATGGCTGCAGGAGGCTTGAGTTTTCCTGTTTCTTGTCTGCACTCCACAGACAGTTTGGCGGCTTTGCCGGGGAGAGCGAGTACCGAGCCGAGGCCTTGCGTCTGACGCGCACCCTGGGCGAGACGGCACCCTTTCAGCGCAAGCAGTACTTCTGCTGCAGCTACGACCCGCCACTCAAACCTTACGGACGGAGAAACGAAGTGTGGTTTCTACAGGAGGAGCCATAAAAACAGCCAAGCCTGATGCTCGGTCTGTTGTCGAGTCAGAACCGGTGTGTCTGTCGCTCTGACCGATGTTCGGCACGGAGACCGTTTAGAATAAAACATCCAGGAAGTTTATCTCATCTTCACATGGTTACCAGTTTACTTAAAGCTGCTGCTGAAAAAGACAGGAGTAATTATTTTATAAAGGTTTAATGAGGAAATGCACATGGGTACAGCTGAGGCTTACCTTCATGAAGGCGTGGAAAACAATGTAAATATTCTAGTTATTTCTACGTGGACGTCGCTGTTCTGGGTTGTGATTGTGTTTGAGTCCCTGTGGAAGTTTTGTCTAAATAAAAAGAACATTTGTACTTTTTGATCTAGTTTACGGGTAAACTGAAAAAGTAAAGAAAACTAAGATGCATGGTTATAAAAAGCACATTTGTGGAAAAAGTTCTCAGCTTTGAGAGGAGCTTTGCTTGTTTCTGGTGTTGAATTTTCTGATTGCATGTTGGTCTAGAAAGCATTAGTGTGTTGTTAATACTTTGTGTTTTAGTGCATGTGGTGTTTGCACCTTAAAGATTCCATCTGGTTTTTTGTATTTTTCCATCAACTAAAGGTTTCCAATCACAAAATGCTCTTTTTTGCATCTTCGTCTGGGAATTTGTTTGATCTGAAATTTTTAAGTGTGACCAAAAAAAAAGCAAAAACAGAAGAAATCATTAAGGCGGCAAAAACTTTTCCACAGCTGTGTCTAGAAACCGTTTTTCAATCCTGTATGAAAAGATTTGTGTGTCGAGTGAGAAAATCCTTTTAGGTGCTTAAATAAATACATTGTTCTGTTGAGTGTGTGTCCCTGTGATGGACCTATCGACTTATAAATATTGGACAATGGGTTTCCAGAGGCTCCAATAACACGTTTTTGAGGGGAAATGGGAGGTGGCCACCACCGCCATTTTGACCGTGTCACAGGTTCCGTCAAGCCCAGACAATTCCACAAAAGGGAAGAGAGGTGGAGCTGAGGGTGGGGCTGTAAGGCTGGGATCAACTGACGACACCCGGTAGAACTAGCTACAAGCTAGCCTGAAGCTAACCCGAAGCTAACGCGGAGGTGGGAGCTAAGCTAACGGAGGTAGCAACCTAGCTACAACCGGAGTTAACTGCACAACACCAGAGCTTCTGAGTCAGAGATACGCCGGGCTGACCACTGGGTAAAACCAGATGGAACACAGAGGTCTCCATCCCAGAGCTCCACAAGCCGGCAGCCGCACAGCAGACAGGAGCCGCGATCAGACAGAGATGCGCCGAACTGCGGGGAGGGGAGAACCAGGTGGAACACAGAGGTCTCCTGAGCTCCACAAGCCGATAGTTGGAACCCAGCTCCACCAACATGTTATATTTCAACCCATTTTCTAAAGTGCAGCATTATGTTAAATGCACTGGGTTTTACCCTATTACATTTAAATTTCATGGTTAAACAGTACATGTTAAAATCTAAGCTCAGCTCGGCAGTGACCTAAAATACATAAATATAATTTTACTTACCGAAAAAAATGAAGTGGAGACTCCTTGGACGCTCTATTAGTGCAATTAATGCCACAGCAAGTCATTTTGTCCAACAATTGCACAAAAAATATCCAAACAAGAACGCACAAATGCTACAACTAATGGTCTAAGTTGAGAGACTGAAAATGGTAAAAATGGCCTGTATTTGATATAGCGCCTTCTAGAGTCCTGGAACCCCCCCAAGGCGCTTTACAACACAACCAATCATTCACCCATTCACACACACATTCACACACTGGTGGGGATGAGCTACAATGCAGCCACAGCTGCCCTGGGGCCTACTGACAGAGGTGAGGCTGCCGATCACTGGCGCCACCTGTCCCTCCGACCACCACCAGCAGGCAACGTGGCTTAAGTGCCTTGCCCAAGGACACGACGACAACGATAGGCTGAGCGGGGCTCGAACCTGCAACCTTCCGAATATGGGGCGACCTCTTAACTCCTGTGCCACCGTCGCCCAATAATGAAAATGACCGAACAGTTTTCAGGAGAGGCCGAGGCTCAGACTGAGGACTTTCCCCGGAGCTAGCTCTGTGGTCACGTGGGTCTGATGCTCATTAATTATACAGAATTTTAGGCTTTTAATACACTTAAACAGAAGAGTGAGAAAAAAATTCACCCCCCTCAGAGTTGTCATGAGTGTAAACTAGATCATTTAAACAAAAAACATGTTTTGGTACCAGGCTGTAAACATGTTTGTTTCTGCTGTGAAATTGGTATTTTTAACATGGGAGTCAATGAGGATTTGCTCGCTTCTGACACCAGCCCCTAGTGGATGAGGGTGGAACTGCAATTTATTTCATTTCCGCGTTTGCTTCAATTTTTGACCCGCATTGTGGGGGCTTGGATGGACCGGACTTGTCCAGGGTGTCCCCGCCTCTCACCCAATGACTGCTGGAGTTAGACACCAGCTCCCTGCAACTTTATTGGGGAATAACTGGTTATTGAACTAGAAAATGATCATTTCTTGCAGAAATGCAGTTTGAATGCTGCTTGTTGAAAATGATAATGCATTCGATTTGTCCTTGGAACTCAGAAATCCCCACCTCCGAGTAGGAAAAATCAAATGAACCCCCCCACACACACACACACGTCGGATCTCCCAGTCGGAAGCTCGGAAAATTTTCACAACCCCGACTTCGAGATCCAAAACGGCAGCTCTTCGTATCAACAACAGTAGTTTTGATTGAAATGCATTTATTTTACGACACACTTATGAGTGCGTTGAAAATCAATGCTATATGTAGCGCCTGCAACTCCAAGCTGAACAATCTAAAAGTGTCATTTTAGATCGTCTTTGTCTCTCTTCGAATATTTTTTGAAGATGAGCTGTGTGTGTTTATGAGTTGTCTGTGTTCATTGAGAGCTAACAAAACAGCAGTTTTCGAGGGCGTCGCCATATTGGAATCCCGACTTCTCCGTCTCCGGCAACCAGAATGCTGTTAACTCGGGTGTGACGTCATTCCTAGTTCTGAGTTCCGAGGAAAATCGAACGCACCCTGATTGCTGAAGCTACTTAGGAACTGTAACAAAGCTGAAACTAGGGATGTCACAGTAAGCAGTGTGGCGGTAAGCCTCGGTAAAAATGTTGACAATGAAAATAACCATCTTGTTTTTTAAAAAATATATTATCACGTGGATTACCATGGTGTAGGCGCGGTGAACCTCACCAGCCACCTTCTCATCAGCGGAAGTTGCCGCACATGTGTAGTTTGTAGTTTACAACCAAAACTTTCTTGACGCTAAAGCTGAAATGTTGGCCGAATGAGGAGACGGCAGTCGGAAGTATGGGCATATTTTGGATATTTGAAGAATGCTGAGGGACAGTTGACAGAAGATGGTTGACCTGTTTGCAGAGCGTGCAGGAAAAGCGTCTGTGAAAGGCAGCAACGCTTCGAATCTCATGACATCTGCGTGACCATCACCCACAACTCTACAGTCAATGCAAGGCAAGTTAACGTTAGCGTTTTAGCTAAAATGCATAATGTGAGGACTTTGGGTTGATGGAGAATGCAACAAGTAGTCCTATGGTGCAACAGCAGCGCTCACTGCCAGCATTTAAACCGTGTTGCGGACACCCCGCCCCCCCCATTGAAAAGACACTAGCATGACAGGGCTCCCGGGAGGGCAGATAAGAGTTGCTCTCTCTCTCTGTGAATTATTATGAATTTAACAATCATTATTGCCTGATGACATTTTACCAAATCTGCTAATCTCACGGGAAGGACACAAACAGGACAACTGTCCTGATTTAGAGGGTTAATTTAGTAATCTGAAAATAGAACACGTTTCTGGTGCTATTATTAGTGCATGTAATCTCCTCAAAACGACTAACACATAGTTCTAATGAAATAATAAACAAGGGTGGGCAATATAGATCTTTTTTTTTGTCCCACTGAGGGAAACAGTTTGGGCCACCCTGATCCACAGAAGGGTATCTGCAGGTTTAAGGGAGCCAAATTTAAGACTTAAAGACCTTTTTAAGGCCACTTTGACCAAATTTAAGCAACTTTTAAAAATTTAATTTAAGCGATAATTTCCAGCTATTGCCTGAAACCGGTGCTAACCAGGTCGCGATCGTGGGATTAGCCATCCAGTTACCATTAAACTTGCATTTCCCCATGGCGCAATATCCCACTAGTTTAACCAGCTAATGTGCTCATCTAAAAATAGCCCCCTTTCACAACCAACTGAATGTGTACGGCTCCGCTTACACCAACATCGTACACAAAAAATGCTGAAAGCCAACTAGAAACTCACAAAATTTTATAGAAATACAAGAATCTTGTTTATTGGGTCTTTGGTAATTTAAGACCTTTGGCAACTGTATTTAAGGATTATTTGTCATTTTTAAGGATTTTTAAGACCTTAAATTTGGAAAAGCTAATTTAAGACTTTTTAAGGACCCGCGGATACCCTGCACAGGCGGGGCTGGGTAGAGTATCCAACAACTGTACTCAAGCAAGAGCAGCACTACTTCAACACCTTTTACTCAATTAAAAGTAGCTGTCCAAGAAATTACTCAAGAAAGAGTAAAAAAGTGTTTGGTTAGAAGGCTTCTTAAGTACCGAGTATCATCTGATCTTATATTTTTAAAATGATGACAAACAGACAAAAAATAAGAAGTTATGAGAAAAATTTGGTGTTTTAACCCTCCCACTAACGGGGGTGACCCCGCGAGGAAAGTTGACCATTGAGCAGGATTGATGGTTTATCAACCCTGGGTAGGGTCCACATGGCGGGGTGAGGTGGTGCTCACTTCTCACCCCTGCCACATGGACCCAAGGGATAAACCATCAACCCTGCTCAATGGTCAACTTTCCTCGCGGGGTCACACCCGTTAGGACAGTGGGAGGGTTAAAGACTAAAAGAGAAAAAATGTAATCAAATAAGCAACATAATTACAAAATAAAAAAATTTAGGCAAAATTTAGACAAACTGAGGACATTATTTTCCTGATATAGAGAGCTTATTTAGGTGTCTGAAAATGTAAAAAATACTGAAAACCATGATAATTTTGGTCCGTGAGGTTAAATTTCACACCGTGACAACCCTAGCTGAAAATAGGCTATAATGATATTATTTTATTTTTCTGGAACTGTGCTGCTCTGGGCGGCTGCATGTTGGAGTAGCTCTGTTGACTATATGTAAGTTTTGCCTTTTCTTCGACATTTTTTCTTCTAGTTTCTCAAGAAAAACTGTATTTTTTTGGACATTTTACTTTTCTGTTTCTGGTGCTGTGAAGCTTAGAGGATTTTTACTGCTATTTTTTAGCTTTTTTCACTTTTTGAGCATTTGTTATGTTGCATAACCATGGCAACAAGCTGGTTTACAATCGGGAGCAGCTGATTAACATTGGGAAGGCTGAAATAATACCTCAACTGAAGCCACAAATCCCATATGAGCTAAAACGCAAGAAGCGTGTTTACAGAGCGGGAGCAAAACGGAGACAGAGAAAGGAAATTCAAACCATCTCTTCCATCGATCATAATGGGCAATGTGAGATCACTGGCCAACAAGATGGAGGAACTCTTTCAAGGACTCAGCCAGCGTTTTGGAACCGCTGGAGATCATACAAAGAAGGATTCTCCAGAGAATCAAGAAAATGATGGACAACCCTGAGCATTCTCTTCACAAGACTGTCCGACAACGGAAGAGTGTCTTCAGTCAGAGGCTTCTTCAGTTTGGCTGCAACACTGACCGCTACTGGAGATCCTTCCTGCCAGCAGCCATTGTAATATACAATAACTCTTTGATGACTTTATTAATATTATTCTGAGCTACTACAGCAATCAATTTCCCTTTGGGATTAATAAAGTATTTTTGAATTGAATTGAATTGAATTAGGGTGACCACCCCAAAATCCAGACATACCACTCTTCCCGCAGCCAAGTCATTTTGATGTTCACGCTGCCATTCGAGTCACATTAATAAAAACTGTTCAAACGGGCTAAAAAATGACAGAAAAAGCTGAATATCTTAAAGAGTATAAAGGTCATCAATACCAAAGGTGACGCCTGGAATGAGCTGAGCATTTTGACACCAACTTTGCTGAAATACCTGAAAATTTGAAAGAGTTGAAATGGTTCAAAAACAGAACAGACAAACAGGAATACTTCAGTTTGAATGACGCATCAGCATTCAAACAGCAACAGAGTAAATGCAGGTGGTGGATTTTGTTTTGGCACGCAGCGCGTTTCTGCATCCTTCTGAAAGCGTTTGCAAAACCAAAGATTATCTGAACAGATCCTCAACTGTTCCCATCAGAAGGTATAAAATAAAAACTGTTCACGTAAAACAAAATATAAACTTCTATTAACGACTTTATTAGATTTTAATCAAGACAAATTCTGCCAAAACAATAAGAAACGCAACAAAAGGTAATTAATATATAGACATCTGAGTAAATCGGCTCCAGCCTCTTCTGTCTACGACTTCCTTCTACGTGTGAATAATCCATCAGATGAGCTCTCACAGTGAGCAGAACCCAGTCGGGCCCTGAAACTCCACACTAGAGTAATCAGATTACAGGTTTCAGCTCGGCTTTGTTTACATAAACACACCAGGAGCTAAAAGCATCAAAGCTAACCAAGTTCTTTATACAGAAAACATGATTCTAAACTTTAGTTTTCACAACAAACCGACTGATAGGAATCATAAAGATGAGAAAACACCTTTTAGCTCATGTTTCTGATTATTATTAAACCCAGATGTGCTTTTGTATCGGAATAAAAACTAAAAGACACACGTTACGTTTCTTTAATGCTACTGATATTTGAACACTTAACTGTTCTCTTAATAACAGCAAACACTACATGTTCTGTAAGAAATCCTTTCTGGAAAAATACTCTGCTGCTGCTCGCTTTCTCTTTAGATTTTATGGTTTTTCTGCATCAGAGAATCAGAAAATGATGCGTCGCATTTCTCAGAATGTTAATAATAAAGTGTTTTTAGAAAAACTAGAGTTAAGAGTTATAATTAGTTGGAAATGACCACGAGCCGTGTGAAAACATAGTTTTAGAGACCCGTGTCATTTCCTGTTTTAGAACCGAGCAGACATCCACGAAAAGAACTCCTTATGTTAGAATAAACTTGGGGAGAAAATAGGAATGGTTTCAGTGAGGCGCTGCTTCCTGAGTCTTAGTTGTTCTTTTTGTCTGGGAAATCTGGGTTTGGTGCGTAAGGTGGAGGTCGCTCCTGCAAGGAGAAAGCAAACGAACACCGAGCCATCAGAGGGAGAACTCACGTGTCACTTCCTCTAAAATAAAGACAGGGAGGCTCACCGCCGGCATGTAGACGCTGTGTGGGCTGCTGGGGTTGCAGTAGGCGCTGCTTGCTGCTTCAGCAGCCTTTGAGTTACCTGTGTGGAGACAAAGGATGCGACAATGATGTGCAGATTAAAACTGACAGTTATGGATGCAGATGGTGTTCGGGAACAGATGCTGCAGCTCACAAGCTCGGCGTTACTCGGTCACACTGAGCTCGACTGACGGTTTCAGAAACACAAGAGACAGAAAACTAAATAAATTAAATCTCCATGGAGCAACACAACACACACTCCGTAAGGACAGGAGCGTCTTCACAGAATTCCACGAGAATTCCTCAAGGGTGATCGGTTTATTTTGTGTTTTTGCGACGCGTTCGGGTGCGATTGATGGCGAGGAAGACGGATTAGATCCGACATTCAGGGAGAAGAAGGGGAGAAAACGGGGGAAGAGGAAAGAAGGAAGAATAAAGAAAGCAGACCTGGAGGAATTGGAGGGGTCGAAGCAGCCCAGTCCTGAGTGGGTGGAGCCCAGGTCTGAGGTGGCCCAGGGTAGGGAGGGGGCGGGGCCATGTAGTCCAGCCCAGAAGGGTACATTCCTGAAACAGGAAAATATAAACAGATTTAAGATCAGCATAGAGAATTTTAGATAAAACTTGTTTTCTAAGTTAACTCATTCGCTGCCAGCGTTTCTCACCGTTTTTACTGTTTTTTAAGAGTCACAGAACGTTGCGCGCTAGGACGATGTCGAAGCCAAAACAACCAAAACAAGGCAGAGACTCACCTCTTACATCAGGAAGAATCCGCGCGTTTCGAGCGTTATCCGTTCTTTCATAATCTGTTGTTGAATTGTGATCGGCAGAAGCTTTTCCGGTTGGCGCCTCACTTTTGTTACAGCAGCGGCCCAAAACGATCTCCTAACACATGGATGTTCTGCTTCCTGATCACGTGACGTGTGACATACGCGGATGAAGATCGGCTCAGAGCTGAGATGTTTGTTCTCACGGTGCGGGGGCTCGTCCGACGCCCACACAGTAAAAACATGCAAATGACGACTTTAGTCGTCACTGGCAGTGAATGAGTTAATTTATTAAAAAGTTTAGGCTGAAAAAGCAAAGCACCTGTTTTCCTTCACACCACTAGTAGGCGCTACATACGCCAGCTCAGTCTGCTTCCAATCATTAGTCAGCTTAACCAACGGCTTTATTTTATTTATTTACATCTATCATGTTATAATTAGTCATTTATATTTAATGATTATTTGCAGTTTTCTTATATTTTGTGGTAAACAGATCCCAAAGTTCACAGTTAAAAATAAAATGGTTCTACAGTTAATCTGGAAGTTTGGAGGAAATAAATGGTTTAATAAACCAAGAGATGCATCAAAATAAACAAAAATAAAATCTGCCTTGCTTTGGGATTTAGCCATTTTTCCACATGATAGACTTAAACAAAATAAAAGAAAATCAAAAAAATTAATTTAAAAACTTTGCAGCTGTATGCCAAGCCTGTAAAACTAATAAGCTTTGAGTTTAGATGCTCATCTTTGAATTTTGGATTTCTGTAGCCGAATCCAAAGAGCAGAAATCAGTACCTGCTGCTGCTGGTGGTGGTGGATAGGGGTAACCCATATTGCCAGCAGGAGGAGCCGAACCCTGGTAGAATCCATTCTGTTGGGGAGGAGGTGGGTATGGGTAGCCATTAGGAGCAGGTGGGGGTGGACCATAACCGTTCACCATCATCGGAGAGGGGTAACCGTAAGAGGGAGCACCGTTCTGGGCCGGAGTTGAACGAGAAGCTGGAAAAGGGATGGAGGATAAGGTTTGTGTTCACACACTTTAACTATAAGACTAATTTAAACTTCCAGTTCATTCTGTGCGTGTTTATTAAAGACATTTCTAATTACAGTCAGCATTACAAATACGAGGATACACACCATTTGAGGCCAGTTTGAAGAGGTGTTGTCCCACCTCAATGGCCCCCCCACTTGTAAATGTCATTTTGAAAGAAGCCTGACCCTCCCAGCCACCTGACAAATAGAATATGTACTTTAGAACAACAAAGAGCGCTCTGCTTTGGCAGTGGACAGTCGCTTTTTTTTACTTTTATAACCAGAAGGCTACCTACCACCTGGTTCAGCCATCACCGTCCCTTTTATGTAGTTGGCTCCAAACACTGGCTGCTGAATGCTGCAGCCCTTCATCAGGTAATAAGGGAACATGGCTGATCCCAGCGAGTCCTTAGTGTTACTGGACACAAACAGCAGCTATGGAGGAGAAAAAAGAGATAAGAGATGACAGGAAGTAGGAAGGAGGCTGGCCAGAGCCTATTGCGTTATTAGATGTGATCAAAGCTATACCCTGTATGGTGTCAGGAAAACTGTGCCCTTCTTGGTCCCTCTCAGCAGATCCGTTTTACAGGTGACGTCACTAAATGTCAGTTCCACATTCTTGCAGTCTCTTATAACGCTGAAGAGTAATGAAACCAGCACAGAAAAACAGAAATGTGATCATAATTCATACTCTTCATTTCTGGGAGCGTTAGTGTTGTTACACAATCATGTGATGCCGTTTTTGTGTTGTCACTAGAGAGCTCCCACTTCCTGTTTTGGCTGCTAGCTAACAAACAAGTTAGCCAAACACCGAAACTTCACCCAGAGACGCAAAATTAGAGAAGAGTCGAGCAAAACATTCTTAATCACGGTGTTAAAACGAGAACGCGTAAGCTGAAACATTCAACGAGCGTACAGAGAAATAACGGACAAACAACAAGTGCTAGCGTCGTTCAGGCCAGCCAGCGGCTCACTACGCAGTGGAAAGTATGTAAACAAGTGAGACGGAGAAACGACAGTCAGCCGGTTGGAGAGGTGAAACTCAAGAAATAACATATTATAATAATCACCGTTCTCCGTTGTTTACCACAACACCGCCGTTCTGCGAATGATTCCGATTCAGAGCCATGTTCAGGAGAATTCTGGGTTACTCCTGATGCCTCTGGTTAGAGCTCAACGATCAGCGTCAGGAGACGGAAACAGGCGTTACGTCATCACGTCCCCACGCCAGCTGATCTCTCTCTCTCTCTCTCTCTCTCTCTCTCTCTCTCTCTCTCTCTCTCTCCCTCCCTCCCTCCCTCCCCATTTCTATTGTTTTAAGATTAAAGTGAATATGTTGCACCACCATGGACGTAGTTTTGACTTTAGAAGTGTGTGTGTGTGTGTGTGTGTGTGTGTGTGTGTGCGCGCACGCACCGGCATGAGGGGGAGGGGGGATCTTTACAGTAGACTACAGCCTAAAGGCTCTTTAATGCAATGTCAAGTACAGTCAAGTACACAGGTGGCAGTAAAAAAACAATAATACTTTCCAATTAACTTTGTTTTTCACCTGGTTAGGGGCTCGACACACGGGAGGCGACAAACGATCGCGATCAGCGAAATTCGTCGCTGTCGCTTTTATTACCTGACACACGAGAGGCGATCCGCGGCAGCGGCCAGCGGCAAAGCCGTCTACGCATTCTGTTCCATGGCGAAATCTAAACCTCCGTTGTTTTGTTTGGCTGTGTCAGGTTGGAGGGAATTAAGGTTATTTAAGCGGTTCAGAGTTAATAAAGCGGTAGATATGATGTTTCACAAGGTGCTGCTAGAGTTATGTGAAATCTTACTTGTGATTTTACTTTATAAAACATAATAATAATAACATAATGAAACCTCCGGTGATTGGTCCTCGTCCGAGCGACAGCGATGAAAAGTTGAAAATATTTCGACTTTCTGGGATTGCATCGCTGGGTCGCCTGTGCACGACACGTGCACAAGCGCAAAATTTCACACGCACGTTTTTCGCGTTTCGCTTGGTAGGAGGGAGACCCGCGATTATGGCGTTGTCGCGCATGTCTCATTGAAAATGAATGGAGGAGAGGCGATGTCGCCTCCCGTGTGTCGAGCCCATTAGTCATTTTCATTCCTACTCATTGTCAGCATTTTACACTTATTTTTTGGAATGTCTGATCAATAGAGCTCATTTAAATCAGATTCTAGCTGACTCCTGAAATATTTAAAAGGTGCAAGGGACAAAAATTCACTTTGGAAAAAAAGGGGGGGGGGCATATCTCCCCTGTCCTCCCCCAAATCTATGTCCATGTGCACTACGTTACAATCCCCCCTCAATGCCAACAGACCACAGTGCCTACAAAACCTAAGACATTAAAAAAGTTCCACACAGTTGAGTTTCATGCCTGGTTCTTTCATTTTTAGTAATAATCAGCTCTGGGGGGCCTACAGCAGCAGGAGAGGTGGTGCATGAATAAAGAACTACCCTGGAAAAAAATGATTTTTTTCCTCTTGGAAGTCAGTATGAAGGACTAAGTATAGAAACTTATTTTATGGAATTATAATGATTACATTGTAGAATTACTTCCGGTAAATTATTTCTAAATACATTTCTAATGCATTTTGCTATCTACACCATGGTAACTCACTCTAAATGTCATTTTTTTATTTTTATTAAGCTAAAACACAATTAAAACTGCAGTTATGTAACAGTAGAGTCAGATTGCTTCACCCAGCTATAGCTGTACCAATAAAAATCCGAGTTTGATGACTTTATATGAACGATGAGGTGAATAATGCCATCTGGTGGCAACAATCTGTGACTACAACTTTATTCCGGTGGATCAGTGAGTGGAGAACTTTTAGCATCCTAGTCTCTTTGAGACAAACGATTTTTGTTCTCTTGGGGAAAATAATAATATTAATGAGTGAGATAGTCGCTGTTGGTTAATTGGTTGGTACAAACATGGCCTCAGGGAGAGAGAAAGGGGACGTGGCTGCCAAGACTCTAGAGGTATAAAACGGATTTATTATGAGACAAAAATCCATTTCTGCTTTATTACTGTTGTTTCATATCAGTTAGGTCCCAAAAGCAAACAGGTTTTCATCTAATAGAGGATAATAAATCATGATCTTGACTGTGATCCAAACAAGCCCAGAACTAATTAACGCTAATTAGCATGTGTCACGTGACGTGCCCTCCGCGTCACAGACGGCACTAAGTGGGTTTTATTGGAGCCCGAAAAGCTCAAATATACAGAAAGCAAAAGAAAAGATGCGCGATTCTGTAAGAATGAGGTGGATTTGTTTACTTCTGGTCCTGATGGCGCAGCGCTGTTGTTCCGTCTCACCTGTCCAGAAGAAGAAAACACCTGCTCAGAAGTCCCAGCTGGCTTTACCGACGGTCACCTGCTCCGTCCGCGGGATCCGAGCTCTGTTCGGCCCGCTGGTCAAAAACAACCTGCGTGTCATAGGTAAAACTGCGTTTGCTGCAGGTGTTCACACCGACTATGTCTGATGGTTCTTCTTTTTAGACCAATCCGGAGCCACAGTCCCAGTGCACAAGTCTAAGAGAGAGTGTGGGGTGAGGGTGGGCAGAGAGAAGAACCAGAACCTGTCATTCTTCAGCAAATACGACAGCTGCTATGCTCGTGTGGAGGTAAAGCGTCCCACACGTGCAGGTGTAGCTTAGAGAAAAGTTGAAGCTTGTGAGTTTTCCTTCCTGTAGGGCAGCAAAGTGGTCCTCCCTCTGCTGGTCCAGCTGACCGCCGGAGAGGACCAGTGGATCAGAGTGAACATCAGCTGTCCGCTGATAAAAAGGAGCAGTCAAAGGATCCAGCCAGCAGGTGAGTAACACCTGAACAAGCAGCGGTTCCAGTGGGCTTTTCTCAGGATGTTCACCAGGACAACAGCTAAAACAACCATCAGAATTTTTTCTGTTTCTAAAAAAAAAAAAAAAAAAAAAAAAAATTCCAATCATGAACGCTTTGCTCACAGAAGTTTCAGCATTTGAATTAAAATGTATGTATTTTAATTCCCATAATGAACAGGATGGGGCTTTGGCGGTGACTGGAGGCTTGCCTCAGTTCAAACATTAGAGAGAGAACTCACCTGATTGAGTTAAAATGCTCACTGGTGCCAGACACTTCCTCCCATAGGCGGAGATCCCAGGGGGCACAGGGAGGGACATGCCCCCCCCCCCCCCCCCCCCATTGCATAAAGCCACCCCTTCCAAAAAATAACGACTGAGCATGTAAAAATAGTTGATAGTGATTAAGTATTTTCCAATGAAAGTAGAGCACAAAACAAAACACAAAATGTCTTTTTAATTCTCTATCTAGACTGCCTTGAGTCAATCTCTGGGGTTGGGTGGGAGGAGGGGGGGCACTGGTGCTCTGGAACTAGAAGTCAGTTGGAGAGGGAAGCAGAAAACAGCAGGATTTAGTTTTACTCTGTATTATTTCCTGATAATCGGACATCTTGCCTCTGATTGGCTGGCTCTAGACCTTTCTCTGAAATGTTACTTTTTTGCGCTCTAAGGCCAGGGGCGAACCTGAACGCCTACCGGCCAGGTGCTACCTGTTCTCTGTCCTTCCTTCGTCAAAGAAAATGGTTAAATGGAACAAACTTACCTCATGAAAAGTCACACAATGTAAATTTATATTATGAGTAAAAATTTCAATATAAATTTATAACGAGCCTTTTACTTTTTAAATTGTGTATATCGAATAAATTAAATATGTAAGCTAGTTGCTACCTGCTAGCAACCGAAGATGCGACTACTAAGCAACTAACCAACCATAGCCAACTCCTTTGGATTAAAAAAAAAAAATTTTTGTTTTCAGCCCGATAGCTACAATTAGTTGACTTGCATTTAAACGGGAAATTTGTCCCCAAAGTAGCTGCTGGCTCCTGATTCGCCATCCTTTTGAAAATACCGCGCTGTTTTCTGGGAAGTTTTTGACCGAGAGAAGACAACAAGGTATCTCAAATGTATCCTCGCCCAGCTAGCTAAACGGCTAACAAACGGAGAACACACACATCGGTAGAACATGAACATTGAAACACGCCTCGGCGGTTCCTGACGACGCGTCTCCTAGGCAGCCGGGGCGGGACCAAGGCATCAAGGCAAGGTTCCTTGACACTGAGAAACACCTCAGCTGCCTGTGGCGGCCATCTTGAATTGGTTTGACATATTTGCACATTAAGATTAAAGAACTTTTTATTGCCATTGCAAAGGTGTACAACAAAATTGACTTTGCGCTCATTAACGACGACTCACGTAAGGAGGTAGTAAAACAAAACGAGGCTAGAATAGATGTCACACACACGTTTTCTCTCACACACATCTTTCTTGCACACAGCCAGTTTAAGGTGCAAAATAAATGTATAGTAAGGCAAGTCTAAACTATAAACTAAAATATAAATTAAACAATATAAAAGTTAACAGTCACATGTTGAGGTATCAGTATTCACTGTCCAGCAGAATCACTGTTAGTGTGACCTAGCCGCGTTCAGCTCAGTGATGGCTCTTGTATAACAGCTGTTAAACAGCCTGGTGGTGTGTTTGTTTGTTTTTTTGCTCTGTATTGTTTACCAGACCGAAGATGTTTGAAGAGATGGTTAGCAGTGTGGGTTGGGTCTATTAGGGTGTTTCTGGATTCCTGAAGGTAGCGAGTGATGACGTCATCGAGGGCAGGCAGGTGTGTTTGTTTTCTCTGCAGGGCCTTCCTGCCAGCTGCAGTGCTGCTGCTGTACCACACCATGATGCTGTTGGTCAGGATGCTCTCTATGGAGCAGTGATAAAACCACAGGTTGATCTTCCTAATGCCCTCAGGAAGTAGAGTTGTTGTTGTGCCTTCTTTATCAGACAAACTTGACTTAGGACCTCACATGGACACACAACACCAAATGTCTAAGTTCCAGTAAGAGTGGTTAATAAGATGTTTTTGCTAATGATTGTTTTTGTCCCCAAATGTGGTTTTTGATCAGATTTGATACGATGCTTTGAATTGCATCTTTTCCGCAGCGTTCCCTGCAGACTGTGACATGGAAAAATCTCTGCAGACAGACTGTGGCCAGCGGGGCATCTCCATTGAAGACTGTAACAAACTGGGATGCTGCTACGATCGTCATACCTCAGCCTGCTACTACAGACTCAACGGTAAATAAATAATTTGTAAGGGTCAAACAGTCTCAAATTTTGCTTCAACCCACCATTTCTTCCTGTCCTGTGACCTTGTCCAGCCTGCTCTCTGGATGGACACTTTGTGTTCACAGTTAAGGCCACAGACACACACCCACCTATTGACCCCAACAATCTTGTAATCAAAGATCAGCCTCACTGTTCGCCTAAAGTCTCAACTCCAGATACAGCTGTCTTTAAGATCGGAGTCATGGACTGTGGTGCAACGATGAAGGTAAAGCAAACGGAATCAGAGCTGGACTCTGGCTCATCACAGGTTCTGATTTGAACATCAGATCTAAAAAGCTCCTTTCTGGTTTTTAGACAGATGGCGATCTGGTCATCTACGAGGTTGAAGTGGAGGAGCTGAACACAAACCGAAATTCACCATTTAGGTGTTTTTTTGTTCTGCCAATTCCACCAAAAGCACAATGACATCTTGTCCCGGTGAATTTATGCTGATCATGTTTTCTTTAGTCTCCAGGTCCAGTGTGAATACGAGGAATCGGATCTTAAGAGAGCGAAAGCCTTAAGGTCGCTGTACACGGTGACCACTCCACCTGCTGTGGTTGCTCAGGGAACCATCAGGGTCCAGATGAGAATAGCCAAGGGTAAGAACATTTCTGAAGGATCCAGCATGTTAAAAATGGAGCACTTTCCTTCACAATCTATCCAAATGCACACCTAAAGTGGACAAGGGTTTGGGACGGGGTGGGGGTTGGACAAAACGCGAATGAAAGTTCTTTTCCTTTTGAAACGTTTAAGAAAATGTCGTCAAAGTTAAAGGTAGGCTTCACAAAAAGTACATAAGTACAGTAAAGTACTAATCCTGTGCTACGTTCCATCAGTGGGTTTCAGAGACAGCGGTTGCCTTGGTGACCTACATCAGCTAATAGCAGCAGCTTTATAACATTTGTTCTGAGCTCATCAGGTTTTGGAAAATTGGGCATTGGCTGTACTGACACCCTTTTTTCCTTAGATGCCTCTTTTACATCTTTTATTCCCGAGGACCAGCTGCCGCTGACCATTCCTTTACGTGAAATGGTGCACGTTGAAATTTCCATCGCCGAGCCCTTCCCGGATCCCGCGCTGTCCCTGAGAGTGCGAGACTGCTTCGCCTATCCTGTGTCCAAACACTCGGTGTGGACGCTCCTGCATGACGGGTAGCGGAGCGGCATCTATATGCAAAGCTAATGGAATGGTGAAGTTCAAGTGAGTCACCAGACTTTTCCTTTCCCTGCACAGCTGTCCCAACCCTTTAGACGATTTGAGAAGCTCCATCCTTGTGGACAACCATGAGAAAACCACCAACCATTCTCAGCTCAGGAGGTTTGGTGTGAAGACCTTTGCCTTTCTGGACCCTGAGACGGGCAATCCGAGCTCAGAAGAAGTAAGATTATCTGTTTAAACTGTTCCGTGTGTTTACGCTCTGTAGTCCTGGCTCTACGGATCCTCTCGTTTTTAGATGTACTTCTACTGCTGGGTGGAAATCTGCACAGGCGATGTGGACTGTGCTCAGAGTTGTACCATCATCTGTGAGTATCGTCTAGTGCTTCATCATTTGTGTCTCTGGAGGTTTTACTTTGTGTCTTTTTGGTTTATAGCATCAGAAGATGGAAGACAGAGAAGAGAGGTCCTTTTTGCATCTCATCAGGACCAGCTGGTCTTCTTGGGACCATTTGCACTGGTATCCAATAACACTGAGCTGGAGGAAAATCCATCTGAGAAAGGACAAAAAACAAGTAAATCTTGGAAAATAATCCGACCACCGCCAGTGGCCACTGTCAGAACTTAACGTTTGTTCTTTCTGTCCCAGTATTCCAGGCGATTTTGTTCATCGTCTCCGGCGTTGGAGTTGTCCTGCTGCTGGTCCTCCTGATTGTTTTATGTTCAACCATCAGAACGCGTCCAAAGAAGGAAGAGAAGCAGGCGCGTGGTTCACAAGATGACAGCGATCATGTCAAATAAACCACTTTCTGTTAAGAGAATTTACTTTTTGATGCAAGAGAAGTGTTTAAATTTCGGTTTTATTATTTTAAAATATTTCAGAAAATAAGCTGTAAGCGTAATCATTTAAACACTATTAAATTTCTTTTTTTATATACATTTTTATTGATTGTGTCCGCACTGATAACACATCTGTATTTCTGAACATCACTTCCTCAGTCCTGCTTAAAACAGCCGTGGGAACCTGAGAGAGGGCTTTACCGGGGATGCATATAGAAGATGGACCGAATGTAGGAAGTGTAAACAAAAGTTACGAACCCAAACTTGTCCTGAAGAACATCTTTTAAACACCTGGTAACGAGCTGAATCCATCAGCATCTCACTGAAGAGGCAGGAGCATCAGCAGGATAAGAGCTAGCTAGGCTAGTGGCAAACATGACAGCTCCCCGGTTCCAGATAGAGCTCCTATCACTTCGCAACGAAGATGTCCCCATACCTCCGCGGGAAGTCATCCCTAGAGTCTCACCGCTGTAATGATTTAATTTACATCTATTTAATGAACCATAAGATGAGATTCCATTGGAAATATGAAATCAATCTTATGGATCTTTGGGTAATTTTAACCTGAAGACCGGAACTTTTTGTTGCAGGGATTATGTAACACTTCGTATTAACTGAGAGACAAGAGAAGAGTCACCTTTAAAACGTTAAAGAAGATTTATTTCTAAACAATTTTAAACCAGTCTAATAAGTGATGAATGAATCTTCGTTTGAATGAGACGTGAGATGAATGGTGTATGTGTGAGTGATGTCATCAGAACTCTCGTATCCGGAGAAGCAAGTCTAAGTGGGAAGTGATGTTTTGCTCCTAAGCTATGATCGGAGTTTCATAAACGCATAAGACGCCAGTTTGTCGCTCCACACATACCCTTCAGGATGAGACCTCCGTACAGATCCAGAATGCCAGGTCCTCGGACCCCCCTTCGGTACCGGAGCCGATGAAACCGCGTCAGCAGTACGACAGACTAGTCTTTGGATTGTCTCCAGGTACAAAGCGACAGTTGGTTGACAGCGTCAGATGGACCCGGAGGATCAGGAGTTCAGCTTTTATTCTGAAAGGAACCGTTGCTTGGTTGGTAAAGTGCAACATATTTTATCCAGCTTGTCGGTTCTTTGCTTAAAAAGGAAGTCCAGCTGGCCGGTCTGATACTCCTTTTAGAATGCGGTGAACCGAACTAAGATGGCGTGGGGACTGGTTTTATTAATCTGGATGTTTTGATTTACGGTCGAATCAAAGTTTGACAGATTTATAAACACCACAGAGACTATGCCACGCTTCAGAAAGGAAGGTTCCGATTGGATGAGAAAGATAAAATGTGTAATGTGGCTTACATTACATGGATCAGGATGTCCAGTGGAAACATTTAAAGGTATATTACTTATTATACTCTGTAGGATTATAATATCAAGTATTTAATAATTTCATTTCACAAATTGGTTCACATTTTATTATTGACTAACACTTTGTTTGAAAAGCTTTATTACAAATAAAGTTCTTAGATTTATTAAAAAGAAAGAGTCCTTTGTCTTCATTCTTCTCTTGAGCTGGAAAATCAGAAACAGTTTAGAAGCAGAGCATGAGACCTTGAGCAATATCTCATGCAGATTAGTTCTTGCTGAGGAGAGGGGGGGGAATGACTTTTAGGTGGTAAACAGTCATTTCATTCTGTTACACCACAAATGAGTGATTCAGCTGGAGTTGAAGCCTTCATGGCAAAGACTAAATGCGGGTGCATCAGTGCAGCAATCCTGATGCTGGTAGGAATTTTCCCCCAGCTCACAACAATGTTTGAAGGCCACATGCATGAGCAGAGAAACGACGATGATCCCACAGTGTCCAGGTGGTACGGAGATGTCGAGGAGCTGTCTCCAAGTGGGAAATTCTACATTGCCAAAGGAGCCTTCTCGGTCCTGTACTTCTACATAAAGAGGGCAACTTCCTCTGCTGTGCAGCTTGGAAGAAGGTTCACTGCTATGCTAGCTCAGGTCGGCGTCACCTCTCAGCCCCAAGTGGACCTAACTCCAAAGATGTCCATCCAAGAAACGACTGCATGGCTTTCAGCCAGTTGGTATGGAGACAAAATACTCGAGATGCTGCTGAGGTCTGGAGGTGATGAGACTTTCGATCCTACTGCCAAAGCCATGGTGGAGCAGCTGAAGATGGTTGCATCATATGCGATGATGACACCTTACAAGGCTATTTGTGACATCATCGATGTCCCATTGACCGGTGTACATCTTTTGCCAAATGTGGGAAGAGAAGCTGGTCAATTTAAGAACAACGAGCGAAATCTCAGGGCTGACCATGGTGACATGTTCCGATTCATCAAGCTCCTGTCTCTTCGTGGCCACGAGCACCTGAGTGGAGCAGCATATCCAAACCTTCTCAAAGTTGCATTGGTTGCAAAAACAAACGCGACCCCACCTTCCGGGGATATGCATCGGCCAAAGCGGTGTCTTCAAAGGCAAGCCAGCTCTCCGAGAACGATATAATCGTGGCGCTCGCTCGTGAGAGGAGGAAGAGGACTACGGCTGATGGAGAAGATGTTTCACCGTCTAAAAGACTTGCAGGGTTGGTTAGCACAGAATTTCCTACACTTGAACAAAAGCAAAACTAAAGTTGTGCTCTTTGGTGATGCTAAGCTCTGCAGCCTCTTTGAATCTTTGGCTTATGGTCTTTAAAGAATTTGAATTATATTCGATAATGTAGCATCATGAAGGGACTGTTTTCCCCTCTCTCCTCATGAAGAACTTATCTTCGTGAGATATGGCTCAAGACCTTTGATGCCTCTGCATCTAAACTGTTTTAACTAGCTATTTGCCTCCCCCTACAGCTCAAGAGAAGAAAGAAGACCAAGAACTTTTTTCTCTATTAAATAATGATCAAATAACTTTGTTAGTCCAAATAATCATGTAAAGCTCAATGTTAAATCAATCTGTGAAATGAGAATATTAATTACTTGATATTATAATCCTATGATAGCATTTTAATAAGTAATATAACTAAACTACACACTAGACTGATCACACGTAATGTTAAAATCACATGACACATTGCTTTTTCTCTCCAATCAGAGCTTTCCTTTCCGACGCATTGCGTGGTCTGTGCGGTGTTTATATTTGTTGTCCAATTCTGATTCGACCATAAATCAAAACATCTGAATAATAAAACTAACTCCCACGTCACCCTTAACTCAGTTCAAACATTCTAGAATTTTGAGCCGGCCACTCGTAAATTTTTAACCACAAAGAACCTTGACCAGCTGGATGATAAAACCTGTTGCAAGCCACCTGAAGCAACGCTCCTTCAGAGTAAAAGCTGAACTCACTGACCCTTCAGGATCCCGCTGACGCTGTCAAGCAACTGTCGCTTACCTGGAGGCAATCCCAAGACTAGTCTGTCGTACCGTACGCTGTTTCACCGGCTCCGGTACCAAAGGGGGATCCGAGAACCTGGCATTCTGGATCTACAACGGAGGTCTCCCGTCAAGGGTATGTAGTGTGGCAAGATAGCGTCTGAATGTGGTTTTGAAACTCCGACTATAGTTTAGGGCAAAACATTCGCTCCCACACAAAATGAATGCTTTTCTGGAAACGAGAGTTCTGATAACAACATTCCACATTTTCACCATCCATCTTGCCTCATTCACAACTAGATCCATTCATCACATAGAGTGTTTAGAGTTAGTTAGCCTTATCTTAAATAGTTTGGAAATAAATCTTCTTAAACTTTAAAACTTGTCTCTCTTTTTGACTCTGGGTTATTACGAAGTGTTACCTAATCCCTGCAATAAAAAGTTCCGATCTTCTGTTTAAAGGTATTATTCAAAGATACGTCAAATTGATTCCATATTTTCTATGGAATCTCACCTTTGATGGTTTCCTACGTAAGATGCAACTATTGATCCACTACAATAACAATCTGGTCTCAAACTTGGTTGTGAAATCGAAATTTTTCCAGTGAAGTCAAGCCCTTTGCTCCATTTAACCACCTAGAGATAGTGATCCATGCTTTTATCCGTCACATCCAAAATGCTGCAGCTCGCCCGCTGACGATCTACGCTCGGCTTGAACGTTTCGCTCCTGTCTTGGCCTCTTCACTGGCTTCCAGGTCAGTTTCAGACTGATTTTAAACGGCTGACTTGTTTTTAAAACATCGAACGGACCGACACCATCCTATCTGACCGAGCATCCGTACCAACCAGCAAAAGCTCTTAAGTCATCTGCTCAAAACCTGCTCCAAGTGCCTAGATCCAAATGTAAACGCTGGGGTGCCCCTAAACTGTCATCTGCCTGCTTTGAAGTCACTTTTTAAAACATACCTTTGCTCCTTGGCTTTTAGAGTGTGACATTGTACCTGCCTTTTTACTGTTTTATATCTATGTTTACATTTTTCTTGTACTTTTAGTCAGCTGTTTAAAAAAACCTATAAAAATGTATTAACTCACACCGAAACATAACGAATAACCCACTCGTTACAATTGTGACTCATTGCGGGATCAATGCGATAACTAATCACACGCTGTGTGACGGTATAAAAGCTACAACTCTATTGTAACGTTTATTATATTACATTTATAACCGTATTTGGTTCTTCACCTTCTATCATCATCCCATTAACATTTTGATCTATTGTATTGATCATTCTGTTTAAAATAATTATATTTAGCTTTATTTTTATATATTTTTTTTGCCAGTTTGATGTTCATTTATGCTTTTTAATGATGGTTTTATCTTTTAAGCACTTTGGTTAAAAACTGAAGGAGTTAGGAGAGGCTGGGTGAGGCATGTGAATCATCCCAGAATAATCAGAAGACCAGCACAGACATCAAGATCTTACAACGTCCAGATGTCCCAGGAGAAACCTTCTCACCTGGCAGAATAACCCTAACCCTTAGGGAAAGGGTGAAAAGCTCGGCCATTCGGGAGGGGCTTGGAGTAGACCCGCTGCTCCTCCACATCAAGAGGAGCCAGTTGAGGTGGCTCGGACATCTGGTCAGGATGCCTCCTGGACACCTCCCTGGTGAGGTTTTCCGGGCACGTTTAACCGGGAGGAGACCTAAAGGTAGACCCAGGACACGGTGGAGGGACTATGTCTCTCACCTGGCCAGGGAACGCCTTGGGATTCCTCCGGAGGAGCTGGCCCAAGTGGCTGGGGAGAGGGAAGTCTGGGCCTCTCGCCTTAGGCTACTGCCCCCGCGACCCGACTCCAGATAAGCGGATGAAAATGGATGGATGGATGGGTGATGGAAGGAGAAAAAGAAATGTTCACTCAGCTAAAGAAGAGGAGGTGAAGAGTGAATGGAACCTTTGAGAGGGGTTAAACGGGGATGCATGTGCAGGGTATCTGCAGGTCCTTAAAAAGTCTTAAATTAGCTTTTCCAAATTTAAGGCCTTGAAAATCCTTAAAAATGACAAATGATCCTTAAATACAGTTTCCAAAGGTCTTAAATTACCAAAGACCCAATTAACAAGATTATTTTGTTTCTATAAAAATTTCATGAATTTCTAGTTCAGCGTTTTTTGTGTACGATGTTGGCGTAAGCGGAACCGTACACATTCAGTTGGTTGTGAAAGGGGGCTATTTTTAGATGAGCACATTAGCTGGTTAAGCTAGTGGAAGTTTGCGCCATGGGGAAGTGCAAGTTTAATGGTAACTGGATGGCTAATCCCACGTTCGCGACGTGGTTAGCACCGGTTCCAGGCTGGAAATTATAGCTTACATTTAATTTTTAAAAATAGCTTAAATTTTTGTCAAAGTGGCCTTAAAAAGTCTTAAATTTGGCTCCCTTACACCTGCAGATACCCTGATACAGAGGACGGACCGGATGTAGAAAGAGTGTTAATAAAAGTTTTGTTTACATTTGATTACAAAACTCGTCCAAAAAGTGTGAAAAACCAGAAAAACCCACTAAAACCTTCACTTCTCCGTGCTGACGGCGTATCACCTCAACCTGTTTTCTGTTAAAAATGCAGAAATGTTACATTTCTCGGTGGATGAGGATTGAAAAGATTTTTCCGATCAGCTGCTGCACCGCTGACGTTACATAAGAAACTGGATATTTATCAAAGTTTTGATAGTATTTAAACTTTTTACTGTGTTGATTCTAAATAAAGGTTTTCTTTTTTCTGACTCCTGTCCTAGATTGTGGAAAACCTGTCTAAAGCAGGAGTTCTCAGTCCTGGTCAGAGGGCTGGTCTCCAGCATATTTTAGTTGTTTCTCTGCTCAGCAGAAGCCTGTTGATCACCCGCCGAGTAAAATCGGGTGTGCTGAAGCAGGGGAAACAACTAAAACAAGCCCGCCTAGAGCCAGTTTCGTCCACAGATGATAAAAAAGAGAAACCACCACTTTCGGTCCGAGCTTGGTTCTAAATCACATTTTATTTTGAAGATTTCACTTCCTGTTTTTTGCTTATTGCTTATAGCCAGATAATCAAGACACATCGATTAACGCAAGTTTATTTACAAAGAGTGGAGCTTTTAAATGAAACAGAAGAAGGAAATGAGCACGTGTGACTCAGTAAGGTCTGAACTTCCTCTGAGCTCTCATCAGAGCTATTCTCTGTTTGTCCTCTTCAAACTTCTTCCTCAGCTCAGCGATGTCTGACGAAGACAAAACATTAAAGATCAGCGTATCTGATGTGCTCCTACACGTGATTAATAAAAGACCAGCCACATACGTTCTTTCTGCGTGTTCCTGTGCTGCCAGGTGTAGAAGTTCATCAGCTCCTTCCTCCTCTTCTTCCTCATCTCCCTCTGCAGAGCCCTGTGGTTGGCTGCCTCGCTGTGCGGACGGGCCTTGGTGCCCTTGTGACCCCTGGTGACCTTCACCCAGCCCTCCTCGTCATCTTTTTGTTTCTCAGCCTCGTTTCTCTGCCGCTCCTCCTCCTGTAACAGGAAACGCGTGAAGTCGCCTGATGAGCGTTAAGACTCCAGAGGAAGAGCGGGAGAAGCCTCACCTCTTCTTTACGTTTGTCGTAGTCCTGCATGAAGGCGTCCACGCTTTGCTGGAGTTTGTCAGGGGGGATGAAGGACTGGGAGTACTGCTGGATCCATTCTGCAGAGCAGAGGCCGTTAGTTTGCTTTACTCAGATCATCACTTGGCTCCTTAATTACTTTACTTGCTGTACTTTGCTAATATTTAGTACATAAAATACACCAATTAGAGCTGGGCAATGGACGAAAATACATATTGTTTTCTTCACTGGACACAAAAGTGGTTTGGGGGTTGGGCGTTTGTTGCCGGTTCAAACCCAGGCTTCGTCTGTGTCCTTCTTAGCTGCTGGTGGTCGGAGGGTCCGCTGGCTTCTGACAGCGTGTCCCAGGGCAGCTGTCGCTACGAGGTAGCTCACCACCATCAGGGTGCGACCGATTGTTATTACAGATGTTCTAATCACATCTTTTAGCCCCTGAACAGTCATTTGATTTGGAGTACGTGCTAGGGCTGGGCCATAGGGCCTAAAATCAACATTGCGGTATATTGAGGATTTCACCATAAATGGACGATATCATGTCCAAAAACAAAGGTTGTCCACTAGATGGTGCTGTCATGTGTACTGAGTTGAGTCTTATTGTCACGTGACTGGAGGTGGTACAGCTTCTTAAAGAACAAGTTACGCCTAAACTAAATGTAACTGCAGCATATAGTCTCACAATGTATTCCATATAGTTCGCTGTTGAAGTTCTATTATGTGTAGTCTAACATGCCACCTCTAGAGGGTGCTATCAGCTACCGGATGAATAGATGAGCCAACGGTAATCAGTTGCAAGCTGTACTGAGACTTGCTTGTGAGAAGTGTCAGTTGTCAGTTGAAGGAGCAGCTGGAGGAAACTGTTACGAGTTTCACTTCGGGATTAACGGCAGATAAGCATGGACTTTGGTCGGTAGATGAGCCGGAAGAAGTGGAAAAGAAGAAAATTAGTTAATTCCTTTCGGCAGCACGCAGCCAACGAGGCATATTTCTATGTTTTTTTTTACTGCATGTTATTCTATGGGAACCACTTGAGATTAAAGCCATGATTTGTATTTTATTTCTTTAAGAGCCAACACCCGTTTTGTCCATGTTTTCTGTAGTTTTCACGGTGGATAATGGTGTATGAAAGTTCATTAAATTCACCCGTTGGAGGAAACCACTTGTGTCCGAACGTGCTTCAGGAGAATTACATTCACTTTTGATAACCTGTATAGTTGAGTGTCTAATGGTGCTGCACACACGTGTAATCATTAGTGTTGCAGTTTAGTGCTGCTTTCTTTAAATTTAATATTTCAGCCCAAAACCATAATTCTATCTCCATCTTCAGGTTAAAACTCTGCTCCACATTCACGTAGAGCCAGCTGTGGCTGATGGCTACGCTGAAAAACGTGGCTGCACCGCACCGGTCTCCAGGTGAGGCAGCCGCTCCTCCACCTGGCTCAGCCGCTCACTTGCCGAATTGACACACTGGTGCTCGAACCCGCTTGCCTCCTTGAAAAAAAAGCCCTCCTCCCCTTTTCATCTAATGATCGGGTTTAACAGGAAGTCCCCCAGAATTCTGCAGAATCTGTGTCTGCTTTTCTCCTGAGCGGTAAGTCTTGTGTGAGCGCGTGCACACGCTCGTTAAAAACTCGTTTTTGGATTTAGAAACTCCAGCAGCACAAGCGAGGGGGTTGAGGGGGGTGTGGTCTATCACTGCCTCAGTGCCGCTCTCTCGGTCCGCCAGGCGATGCCTCTTTCAGAAGCGTTTTTCTAGGGCTGGGCGACATGGACCAAAACTTATATCTCGATATCTTTTTGCTGAATTGCGTTGTACGATATATAGCTCGATATTTTTCCTCCTGTAAAATTTTTACAAGTCAACTCACTTCAAGCTCTCTTGAGAAAGTATAAACATAAATCAGTAGATTAAATGCATGAAAATGTATTGATTCCTGTCAGACTTTAACCTTAGTGCCTATTTTCTACCAGTCTAAGCTTTAGAAACACTGGTACAGCAGTCTGTTAACACCCGTTGAGCTCGCCTTCAAAAAAAACATTTAGCCTATAGTTTACTATTCAAACCCTTACAATATGTTTGAGGTCATTTGGCCACTCTGGCTATCCGTAGATGAACTAGACAGCTAATCAAAATTTGATCACAGGTTTTAATGGATTTCCAATTGAAACAAATGGGCGTTAATTTGGGTTGTTAGAGGTTTAATATCTGCATTGGCTGGGTGGATTTTGACAAATGAGGTGTCATTTTGTTAGGGAGCTAAGGTTCAATCTAGTAGACAAATTAAACATGACATTTAATCACTTTTGAAGAAAATGTCCAAGTCCCTAAACTTGGACATTTTTCTGGGTTTTGCAGGTCGGGAATGTGTTTGCAGTCTCCTAAATCAGCAGAACTTTTTACATAAAACCCTGAGGGGTGACTAAAGAAGGGGAGTGACTCACTCTGAACTCCTGTTTTCACTGGACGCTGATCTGTGCTGACCACCAGAGGAACGTGGCGAGGATGGGACTTCGCTGCTGCTACACTCGCAGACTTCTCAAACACAATGTAACCGACTTTAAACCCCTAAGAGAAACAGACAGAGGACTCAGTGCGCTGAGGATTCTGAAGGAAAGATTAAAAATAACAAGAGGAGTGGGATGAAGGAGAACCTGTTTCTCAGCTGGTCTGAAGAACCTGGACAGTTTGGGTTCAGAACCCTCAGAGGAACCAGGATGGTCTCTCAGTTCTACTGAGCTAACGTTGCCAAAGATGGAGAACAGTTCCCTGACGACCTCCTGAAACAGAAACAAGAACTAAGCATGGCTGACAAGAACCCAGTTACCGCTCCCAACGGACCGGGCTCCGGCTCCCACCCTGGAACAGTACGGAGGGACGTTCAGCACAAACAAGGTCCGGTCCAACGGTCTGCCAGAACTCCTCTCAGCTCGGACTTTATGCTCCTTCACGAACACGCTGTGTTGAGCTGGACTGTCGGGGCTGAACTGGAGGGAGAGAACTGAAAACAGATCGAACACGTGAGCAAATGGTTCCTACCTAAACGAGCCGGTAAATATGGGACTTATATAACAGATACAGATGATAAATACCAGTAAAACCACCAGGAATGACACATGCCGTGTTACGGACATGTTTTTTCCCGGACGCCGCCATTTTGGTACGACCTTTGTCTGAACCGGAAGTGATACCGTCTGTGATTTATTATATTTTATTGTTGACATTGTTTATTTGAATTTGTTTTCATGCTATCCTAGAAAAAATACAAGCGCATTCATGTGTAATGAAGATTCTCTAAATACTTTTATTGTGAAACAACAGTCATCGCCACAGCCGCCATCTTTGATGGGTTGCCCCCAAAGTATTCTACTGAGAAAGGTGCTTACCCAACTAAAAAACAAATTTTACTATGCTTTTTCCACAAAATATGGCACGTGGTGTAGGTCCCTTAATAAAAATATGATTTAAAAAATACAAAAATTGAAGTAAATTTAAAAAAAGTCTCAACAGGTGGGCAATACCATGTGTTTTCTGTAATGTGTTTTTTTGTGCCTCTTTCTACAGTCTCTGGTTTGCACCTTGCCACCATAGGTTGCACAAAAATGGGCATAGTTGGGTTTGGAGAGTGAAGAACCCACCCAATATGGCGGAGTAAGTCTTCTTCCTTTCCGGTTGGCTCATGGGTCCCCAGAAGAACATAAAAATTAAAAGTCAAAGACGCTAAAAATGCTATTTTCTAATACCGCTTGTTATGTGCCATGGATTTCTCATAGGATCTCCGTGAATTTTAAAGACACATTTTGATACAAAGCAAGGTCTTATTTTCGAACGTGGGGTGGGGGGTGGGTTATTCATTATTTTAGTTTTTTTGTGAAAATAAGTCCAGAACTACAAATGCGCATCACCACAAGTGACGTCACCGAACGAGACACAACGAAAACCAGAAGAAAAATGGCTGTAGGTTCAGCAAACTCCAAATTCTTCCTTCAGGAGGAAAGACCATTCTGGCCATGCACGTGGTAAGTAGCAGATAAGCTAGGGAAGAGGAGATTATGTGGTGATGTCATATATGCGACATAACGACGTCCGCTTTGTGGACGTGCTAATTACGAACTTTTACAAGGTGATAAATCTCAAAGTACGTGACTGGTGTGGTCGAAACACCCATCATTACTTTTCATTTAAATAGAAGTAACATATGTGCGATCCAGGGCGTAAGGCAAAGCAGATTAGAAAATAGCTCTTTTAGCCCCATTCAGGAACCCATGAACAGACCGGATGGGGAGAAGACAGAGGCTTTAGGCTTTCTGACAGTGGTGTTTCACATGATCTCAGATCAGTAAAGGGCATTCATAAGCAATGACTGTTGTTTAAAACCTTGTTTATAAATCAGGTCTGTGATAATAAGGCATCTGTTTGCAGAAATAACCAAACAAACCCTGGGGTTGGATGTTTATTAACTTTCTCCCTGTGATCCTCCACAGAAACTCACTTGTGTGGATGATAAAACTGGGTGTTCCGTAAACAACGGAAATGACGCTGCTGCTGCGCATACCACGTGACTTTTACCCCCTCCAGTTTTTCTTGGGTCTTGATCTGGAATGGTCTTTGATGATGTAATCAGCCTGACATCACCAGAAGGGTCTTAACAGGTGCATTCAACAGATCAAGTCATTTGAAGTTGGACTTTAACCCTTGGAGGTTCCTTAAAAAGAGCTACTACACTGGGGACCCTCGCAAAAAAAAAAAAGCATTTTGGCTAAAGGTTTAATAAAAATTATATATTATTTCAAATGTCACATTTTTACCCAAATCCCATCTATAGCTTCAGTCCCCTCCAAACTTTGTGTGTTTATAAGGTTTAACCCCTTTAGCGCCATGTTTTGTCAAAAGAAAAAAAAAATCAACATTATAAAAAGTAAACAATTTAAATCATTTTTTCTGTGTTATATCCAGAAGACTTCTTTTGGGGTGAATTGTGAGCGTTTTGAGTCACAAATGAGAAAATAAATAAATAAAATTTTGTTTTCTCTGTATTTTTTGTGTAGTGTTGGAAATAAATAAATAAATAAATAAAACTCACTCTGGACCCTCTGCATTGAAAGATGCTCAAACAGTCATTTTAAAGTTTATTGAAACAACAAAGTGTGAGTGTCTTTATATGTTTAAGTGGACAAAGTTTGACTTTAACCTGTACTGTGTGGACATTTTTACATTGTGGGGACATTTTGCTGGTCCACACAATGAAAAGCACCCTAAAATTTGGTTTTAGATGGTCTGAATTAACTTTTAGTTAAGGTTAGGAAAAGAACCCCATTGGTTACGGTTCTGAGAATAGTTAGTTAAAACCCAATCTCACGGCATTTTGTGAAATAGTCACAAATTCTAATCTAAGGTTAATAGCTCTTGAACATAAACATTTGTTTTTCACACTGCTCAGCGTAACTTTTTAAGTAGCTAAAAATATTTTTGAACTGCTGCTCATGAGCGAATCAGACTCATCTTAATTAGCCTTTAACCTGTAACAATTTTATCTATATTTTATTTATTTTTCTTTATTTCTGATCGGTCACTCGGATGTGTGATTGCTTCTATGGATTAAAATACAATTGTTTGTATTTTTTACCAGGTTGCAATTAATTATGTAAAAAAAAATGGATGCAAGTGAAAGGGGATACAAAAGCTATTATCTAAAACACTTTGCAGCCCTGATGTACACATAATTTGTATTTCAGTTTAAAGAGCAAGTCACCCCCAAATCAACTTTTTGTTTCTAATAAACTACATAAATGTGTCTAATTGTGCTGCACACACGTGTAAATAGTTTTGCACTTTAGTTAAAATTTTTATTATCTGCTTTAAACTGTCAGTGTTGTGCCGTTGTCAGGTAAAAACTCAACACTGCATTTGAATTTAAATCTACCATCGCTATTGGCTAAGAGGTACCCTAGAACGTTAGCTGGTACCACATGATGTCACAATGTTGTGCGCCTGTGTGTGTATTTGTTAGCGACTTCGCCCTCTCAGTCTGCTAGGCAACAGCATTTGTTGCATTTTTCAAACAGGAAGTGGGAGTGGAGTAATACTCTGGCAGGGGGGTGACTTGCTCTTTAAATAAAAGTGATGTTTCAACTGTCAAGTACGCGACATTAGCTTTTAAAAAATTATAATTAAAATCTCAGCTCTGACGTTGCCAGATTTATAGTGGTTTTCTCCACTTTTAATGCTCCTCTCATCCTGAAAGAAAGATTCGAAGCTCACTAAACTTCTCTTCTCCGTGTCTGGTTGGATGAAGTGAATTTGGAGAGATGAACATTTGTAGTTAAATACGTCTTCTCGCACAATGTTATCCTTGCAGACATCTTCTAGCTTTTAGGTCTGACTGGTTCATCTCTTTTCCTCCAGAGCTGACACACAATGAAGCAGAGATCTAGTTTTGTCTTCTGCAGGTCTGTTTGCTCTGTGGAAGTTCTGCTGTTCAGTAGGTTTCACCAAGTGCATCAACATATGAATACATTTCAGACATTTCTAGATCATATTTATTGATTTTTAACCTCTTACCAAATCCTGAGTTTCTGAAAGCCTAGAAATGAAACCGAGGTTAAAACATTTTACTTCACCGCGGCACGAACAGTGGAAACAAGTCTCACGACAGCTACAAGGCTAGATATTTAATGTTGACCCCCCCCTCCTCTGATGACAGAACAAGGAAACAACTTAAAAGCAGTTTACAAATGCAAACTGAGAGTAACGTATAAAACAATCAAATTTTAATAGTCTGTCCCAAAAACAACCAGAAGTGGAAAACCAGAGACGTGGTGCTGGAGGTTCTTCCTGTTTGCTGGTAACATCAGTTACTCCTGGAGGCGGCGCAGCGAGAAACTTAAGTCAGAAAAGGACAAAGTGTGATCATTGTTCTGCTAGTTCATAGAAAACTGTAGATGCATGTACTTTTAAACATTAACTTCCAATTCTTCCCAATCTAGCTTTGTTCTAAATGTGCAGATAACTGTAGCACAAAAGAAAAATTCAATAAAAAAAAAAAAACATCAAATCAAATGTCCACTAGACCGATTTAAATCATCGCTCAACACTTCAACTGGTCCGTTCCGGGGGAACGTGTGACACCAGAGAAGAAAATGTTACTCGTTTAAACGCTTTAAGTCAGAAATGTGTAAAAACCAGCTTGATGACAGAGACCGGGCCGTTCGATAGGATAATCATCGTTTAAAGGTGAACACTGCAGCAGAGCAAACTGGGTTTAGCTAGATCTTGATGCGAAAGGCTGTGGTCTGTGAGCTAGGAGCCTCGGTGGTGGTGGTGGACTGAGTGGTGGACTTGAACAGAGCTTTGAGGATAGTCTGGGGGTCCACCTCCGCTGTGGGCTGAGAAGAAGCCCGCTGACCAGAACCACGGGCCAAAGAAGGGGGAAGACCTTCCTTCTTTGTGCTGCTCCCTGCTCCTGGTGTGTCGCTGAGCCTCCTGGAAGAGCAAACACAGAATATCACCATCAACCTCATACTAGGCAGTAGGGCTAAGCGATATGGCCTCAAATCAATATTACATTGTATATATTTAGTATATTGAGGAGTTCACCCCGATAATGATAAACGTGCGATAACTTCGTGTATGCCCAATAACAAAAGGTGCCCACTCGATGGGGCTGTGGCAGCATAATCACCCCACCACCAGTTTTATTGATAGTATCATTCCCCTACATCTGTTCATTGCAATTATTTTGATAGCTAGTAGCAACTAGAAATAAGTTCTCAGTTTGCAGTTTTTTTAAGGAGAAATTTGCTTCTCAAAAAAAAAAAAACTGTAAACTGAGAACTTTTAGTCAAGACTGACTGAAAAACCAATCACAACTGAACAAGTACTGAAGTAAAAGAACTAAAATTTCCTAAAAACACAAAGTATTAAGAAGCAATCTCTTATATTCTAAAGATAGATACTACAACGAGCTGCATCATGTGAATTAGGGCTGCAACAAACGATTATTTGGATAATCAATGACTCGGATGAGGTCTAAACACGATTAATCGATTAATCGGATTACATGGGGAAATTTTTTGAAACTGCTAGGGAAACGTTTTTCTCTCCTTCCTTCACTTTATTAAACACAACGTTATTAGAAAACAGTTCAATAGCAGAAAAACAGATGCTATCACCTAAAATGTCTTACAGCTTCAGATACGTTGCAATGCAAAAATGTAAGCATATCAACATGCATGGCAAGTAAGGAAGTGTTGACTCCACCCAGCCCCTTCCATGTGTACCATGCGGTTCGCCAGACAACACCTCTTTCTGCCTCATTTTTCAAAAAATGAAAAACCAGAAATGAAGCCTTCAGAATACTTTGGAAGGGGATGAGCAAGGGAGAGTAAGGTGTATAGACAGAGATCCTAAGCTACACCTATCTGTGACCTAAAATGCTTGGTCCAAGTTAAACAGCTTAAGAGCAATTCTCATCTGTCTTGTTTGATCTCATCTGTAGACATTTACTATAATTGGGGATGTCAAACAACTAATTTTTAAATGTAACTAAACATAGGCTGTGAATTAATCAAAATTAATCACCATTTCCAAAAATGACTGAAAAAAATACCAAATAAAACAAAAAATATTGGATGCTGCCCTCCTTGTGGTGATGCCCTGGGCAACCGCCATAAAGTCACATCAAGAAATGCTGCTGATCGTTCCAATGATCCCAAATTCCATTTCCAAAACAACACCAAGAAGAGTTGTGCGACACAACAAATCGATGACGCAATTCGTTGCCAACACTTTTAATAATCGATTTTATCAATTCGTTGTTGCAGCCAAAGTGTGAATATTTTCCCACTTGAGTTGTCAGGAAATCAGGTTTTTGATAGTGTGTGGTTGCACCGCAGGTCTTTCTGAACTTCACATTTGTCTTTTGTTCTCTTGTTGCCATGAGATGAAGTTTTTCTTTTAGAAACAAACTTTTCCCCAACCAAATCTACTGCTACCACTGCTTCCGCTCCTAGCTCCCCACCGAGCAGCGCGCGGCCACAGGTGGTGGCGGGTAACGGCGAACCGCCGCGAGTGACGCAGAGCGACAAGCTCCAACCAGCCTGCTGCTTCCGTGTTTGAATGGATCCCCATTTCCTCGTCTTTCCCTTCCTGCCACTGACTGGATGACTCCACGTGACTAGCTGTGACGAACATACCGACGTGGGCAAAATGACGGCAAATTTGAGGTTTCCTGGCCAGCCGTGCTTCACACGACTATACTACTGTGTCCATACACCGTACCTTCAATGCAGGAATTAGGAGTTTTCCCCGTTCAGGAATTATGTTGGATTATGTTTTTAACTCATTCGCTGTCAGCGTTTCTCACCGTTTTTACTGTTTTTTTAAGAGTCACAGGACGTTGCGTGCTAGGATGATGTCGACGCTTAAACAACCAAAACAAAGCGGAGACTCACCTCTTACATCAGGAAGAATCCGCGCGTTTCGAGCTTTATCCGTTCTTTCATGATCCGTTGTTGAATTGTGATCGGCAGAAGCTTTTTCGGTTCGCGCCTCACTTTTTTTTTACAGCAGCGGCCCAAAACGATCTCCTAACACATGGATGTTCTGCTTCCTGATCATGTGACGTGTGACGTACGCGGATGAAGATCGGCTTTAGAGCTGAGATGTTTGTTCTCACGGTGCGGGGGCTCGTCCGACGCCCACACAGTAAAAACATGCAAATGAGTCGTCATTGGCAGTGAATGAGTTAAGAAAACCATGAAAGCGATCATCCATCCCTGTACTGCGATGTAATGAAAGAAATATGTCTTTTTATTTTGCTAAGCCCACCCCCGCCCCGTAGAGCCTCGTGAAATCTTACGAGAGCTCCACTCCGCATTAGTTTTGATGCTAAATTTACTGAAACAGCTGAAAAACTGTTGGGGTAGGACAGCTAAATGTATGGAAAATAATTGGACATATAAAGAGAAACAGGAATAGGAAATGCTTGAGCATCGGATGGATTTAAGTGAAGGCACTGTGACTTACAGCAGAATCGGCTGATCGGAGGTGATGACGTTTCCCTGGAGGTGAATGTTACACTTCATGGGTTGGCCTGCAGGTGAACGAGACAAGTTAGGAACAGCAACACTCAGAGGGCACGCCTGATCAGAAATAGGTCAGTCAAGAGCTGTATGCAAATCAAACATCAGAAGTCCAAAGAGTCTGTTATCATGTTCATCTTTGCCTAAGGCGCTCACCATCCAAGCAGCGATTGTTGTACTTCCTGTAAGCGCTGACGGCGTCCTCTTTACGGACAAACACCACCTCAGCTAAGCCCACTTTCACCAGCCTCGCTCGCTTTAAAGCACCACACACACAGAACAGCTCCTGTGGAAAAACATGGGTCAACATCACACCCGACTACAGAGCGTAGGTCATCACCGAAGATGAAACACAAGGAACAGCTCTGCTCACCACGATGTCTTCTTCTGTAACGCGGGGGTGAAGGTTGTTCACCGTTATTTTTGTCCCTTCCAATGGGCTGAAAGCCGGCTGGGGAAAACAAGTCAGTAAGGACGTTTAACTCAAACGGTTCACATTACAGAATGTGTGTAGAAACGACCGGTGGTTTTAATGTCGGAAATATCAAATCATTCTCTCTGGACAAATTAAGCTCAAGTTGACCTAAACACCTAAGCAGGCCTCTAGAGTGCAAATATTTTGGTCTCTAATGCAACCCAATCTATCAATAGTGCACCTGGGAAAAAAGAAAAAAACAGGTCATACCCAACAGGGAACCCGTGGGTGTTTCTCAGTGTCAAGGTGCCTGCCCTTGTGAGGCAAGTGTGCCTGCACGGAGCCGTGTGCAGCACGAAAAATCTCACAACACACAAAGTTGTGAGATTTTTCCATTTCCTTTTTGAACCATTTAGTCTGTTGAGAGTTTTAACGTTTTAAACCTGTTAGATTGTTACTGACAGCAGCTATATTTACGTTTCAGTTTCCCTTCTGACTGAATCGCTACTGCAGCATGGAGGTGTAGACTCGGCCAAGTCAACCCAGGGGCTTCTTCCAGACTTTGGTTGTGGTCATAAACAAACACACTGAATGTGCTGCAAGTCTTTTTTTTTTCTCAAAAACACGTTTTTGTCTAAATGATGGTGATGTTATTGTTCATAGAATTTAAATTCATGTCGAGGCTAAGATTAATTCATCGAGTAGGACCTGTGGTTGTTAGCTGGCTCATGTAAAACACGTCATGTCTTGAAAGAATCGGAATCGATTAAATTCAAACGATAACCAACCCTATAAATAACGGACACACGTTGGTCCCATATGGTGGTGTAAACCAATCAGAAGCGGTGAAGTGCATAACCTCTCCTGGGTGTGTTTACATGTGTGTGCTAGGCTAAGCTAGTCAGGTAAAGTAACGAAAGCCATCGTGAACCCACCACCAGACCTCTGACACGGACCCATCAACCTGCCAGGTTACTCTGAGCCCTCGTCAGCAGACGACATCAGATAACGAACGACTCCGAGCCGCTGATGTTAAAAGCAGGAAATGTTTACATTAAAATGTGAGAATCTGATAAAAAGCACGTCTAAAAGTCATTACACGCCATGACGAGTGTCTCCTCTCATCGCTGCTTTTCAGCATCAAGCAGGAAACAGATGACTACAAAGTTTAATGTTGAAGCTATTTAGTTTATTATAGGCTTACACTAGGGCTGCACAATATATCGAAAAATTACCGTCATCGATAGGCCCATCGATAAGCACGTCAAAAACAGAGATAAATGTTTGGTTCAACGTTTCCATCCGTGCCATACATCAACTTTTCGTAAACCAGCTCTGTTTTTACGCGGATGTATTATTTGACCAATCAAATGTAGCCCTTCTGATATGCGGCCAATCAGATGGGTCCGTTCACGTAATACGCCCGCCCCCTACGTAGACCCTTTTGGAAAGCAACACCCGAACATTAGCGGCGCCGTTCCCTTGTTCGTCATGCTGGCTCAGAGCAATGAACGCACTTTGTGCTGAGGTTTCTGGAATCAGCGCTGCTTTCAAACGTGAACGTGAGTCCGTTCGGTGTCATTAATCATTTTTTCCAGGCCGACTCCGACACGTGCCGGTGAACCAACCCATCTGCGGCGTGCTAAACACACGTGCAGCTTGACCCTGATTGCTGTGAGACCGGGTTGGGGGGTGCAGCTGTGGTTGGGACAATTATTCCATTAACTGATGGACCTGTAAATAAATAGTTTATAAATAAGGAAGAAATAGATAGAAATAATTTCCTCACACTGATAAATAATAACTAATCTCTCTGAGGACACGGTGCTAGTGCACTCTCCTACAGCACCTTGACACGACTTTAATAAATGTTATGCAACATTTTGTGAACATCAATTTATTTGCATTTATTTGTTATAAATGCCACTGTATAATTCTTGCTGTCAGTATTTGCAAGATATTGGTATTTGGGTCTGTACTGTTAGACTTAAATGAGTTAAACCAAGGTCTATAGCCCTTGGGTCATAAACTATGAGCTATAAGTATATTAGTCTTTTTACACTGGGAATCAGGAGTTATTTTAGTGATCATCTTGTTTCTTATTTTTGTCCAGATTGTGCCCTGAGTAATTTTATGACTGAATAAAAACAAATAAAATCAACATAAATAGAAAAATCGTCCTAAATAATCGTGATCTCAATTTCAGTCACCATAATCGTGATTATTATTTTTGCCATAATCGAGCAGCCCTACTTTATGGTGGTGGTGATGTTTTAAAGTCAATGAGAAGCTGCATGCATGCAGTTTGTTGTTTTGCTGCTAATACAGTAGCAGGTGCAGCTGCATATTTTTTCAATAAAAATGTTTTGTTGTAATGGAATTCATGCATTAGTTTTTGTTTGCTTTGAACCCAGAGCAGACGTCACACGCCAGACGACATCAACACTGCATACTTTAGTATTTGTTCATTTATCGTGAGTAATATCGATATCGCAATATTAAGCACTGTTATCGAATATTGCAGGTTTTCCTAATATCGTGCAGCACTAGTTTACATTATAGCCTAGTTTATTTTCTTTATTTTATGCTAAAGTTAGTTTGTTTTGCATTATGCTTTTTATTTATTATTTTGGCTAATTAGTTTATTGTTTATTGGTCAGGTGTGGGTGATTATTGGTATAAATAGGTCAAGGTGGGTGGAGCAGCCAGGGCTGTGAGGGGACATGGTTTTATTTTAACCACTGAGACTGAGGACGCAAAAAATCTGTGCTCTTGCTGCTTGTGTGAATAAACCACCACCAAACGCAATTTTAGCATGGACATTGCTTGATGTGAAATCTTTTTACCCGTGCGTAAAGCCTAAACCTTGACGTAGCCCAGTGGCCATTTGAAAGTATTTGATTATTTTTTGTTTAAGTTTTATGGACAAATAGCCGCTACATTTAACGTCTACAATAATTCACAATTTAATAATAGGATGGTGTTAAAGGAGTGAGTCATCGCTGAGTAAAAGACATCCAAGATAGCCGGCACTGCTAATCGACAGGAATGCGTCGCCGTGCTCACCCGCGTCCGGCAGGGAGGAAGAGCGGTGAATATAATGTAGTGACCGGCAGAGCTGGGTAGAGTACTCAGATTACACTCTGGTAAAATTTGAAAATGCAGATCAATTGTCCTGTTATGTGAAGAACAGCTCACGAAATCCAGTTTGGAAACAAAGGTTTGCAGAAGTCTCATGTTTTAAGTGAAGCTAAATCATAAACAAGGCTAAAAATGTACCCTTAACTTATCCAAGCAAGACAGATTAACACTTTCAGATTTGGAACTGTAACAAAAACGAGTAGAGAATACAAACGGGCTTAAACCGGCTGCACTCTTTTGATTTTCACCCAGAAACAAAACTTTTGGTCACGTCCGTGGTCCTTTAGCCTGACAGTCTCACCTAAAGACAAATGTTCTCATGCTGAAGATGTTTATGTCACAATTAACACAACAAGATGACCTAGCCGGTCAGTGAAAGCACACGGTGCTTACCTGAGGAGGAGTGGGCGCTGTGGTGCTGGTTTCTGCTGCACTCTGCTGTAGAGTCCTGGAGACCGGCTGTAGTGCTGCTGCAGCAGAAGGCCGGGCGGCAGCCATGTTGGTGTTGGGCCGGGTGGGATTCACAGGGACGGGAGGACGGGGTGCTGTGTAGGCATCGTTTTTAACCACCTTGGTGATCGGGGCTGTCATGGAGAATGTTGAACCTACTGTACCAGACTGTATGAAATAAACATAAACAATTACTGTAGAAAACAAACAAGACTTTGGCTGACGATCGAACTCAGCTCACCCGTGACTGCAGCATTGCGTTGGCGGCTGTGATCTTTATTTGTTTGCTAGGGATGTCATCAAATTCATTTGGGGCAGGCTGGGAAAACAAAGCAATCTATTAAGTTACATCCCTAAATAGATTTCAGCAGATATGGGATATTGTTCTATTAGAGCACAAAAAGAATCGCACCACTTGAGTAGCTGCACGTATTCCGGCCAAAGCTCCCACGGGACGCTGCTGCAAATAGATACACTACATATTAAAAAGCCTATTCTGCTTTCAAGGCTCATAAACACCATATATGTGCAGGTGGCATAAATGATCCAAATGAGTTTTTCCATCCTCACCTGTATAGTCTTTGTTATTTGTAAAGGTGGGCCAGCAGTTGCTTGTGTTTGTGTTCCTCCAATGCTCCTTTTGAGGCTCAGTCTATCACGGGCATCCATCACTCTTATGTTGTTGTTCAGCTGTGATGCTGTGCTGCCCCTCAAATTCAGTCCTTGTACAGTAGGAGTAAACTGCCTCGTGTTTGCACCGCTCATGTTGTTGTTGGTGTTAATCTGTATGTGTGGCACAAGTGTGTTGCCCTGTAGCTGCTGCGTTATGGCTGCCTTTAGTGTGGGCTGCACAGAAACACTGCGCTGAACCTGCCCCTGTTTCCGTGAGTTGATCATCTGGCGAGCATCTTGCACTGTTCCGGCTCCTCCCCTGCCACGGATTTTGAACCGAGCATCTTTCTGAACCAGTTTTTCTCTGGCATCTTTGACTTGAAAACCTGAGATGCGATAATTAGTTCAACAGCAAAATGCTCACTGGGCACTGCTTTTTCAGCACTGAAGACTCAACCTTACCTGTTCCCCCTCCAAGACGTCTAACATCACTCAGGCCAATTTTCTGCCTGGCATCAAAACTTTTCAAATCACCTCCTCCACCTCGTCCAAATACGGGCCTGAGGGAAAAATCAAACTTCAAATTAAACCACAAACGCATTCTCAAGTTGTGGAATTTTTAGTAGAATAGACTTTTTATCGTAAGTTAAATATGTGAAGGTAAATATATTTACGGGTCGCCTAACTGCTATTTCGTGAAGCTATAAAACGATACAATTAAATTATCCAGGGGATTTCAAGCACGTCTTTTAGCAACAGCGGTCTTAGCCAAGCACGGCTAAATCCCGAATAAATATTAGCTAAAGAACTAGCTAATATGAACCAGTGAAGCTACAAAACAAATAACCCGCAAACGCCCATTATAGCTATAGTTAAATGCGTTTAAACAAGCTAAATAATTACACTACAGGTTAATTTATTTTAATATAACGTGATTTATAACTTGAGGCCTGTGGCTAACAGCTTTGCTTTAGCCTGGGACGGGATTGTAGCTAACCATAACAGGCTATCGTTAGCATGCGGTCCCAAAAAGGCGAACGGGAGCGCGTTATGCTTTTAAAACACCAACGCGCTCGTCTTAAGAAGCATTTTTCATTTTAATTGTAATAAAATTACCGTTTGACTGAAATCTTGCGGTCAATACCGCGCTGTCGTATCACTTCATCCAAAGAAACGTCTGCCATTTTCTCTCAAACTTTTTCAACTGCGCCTGCGTATATTACCGCCGCCTAGGGAAGACACCTAAACAGCAGTTTTAGGCCAAATAAGAGATCGATTGTGCATTTGAGGATGATTCGATTTGCTTTGATTTGATTCCCCCCATTTTAAATCAACAACATGAAAGAGGTAAACCATGTTTTCTTCATAACAAATTAAACAGAGAAGAAACCAAATCAACTTGTGAACAATCTGTGATCATTTACCCTTGACTGAAAGCAAAGGATCGAGCTCGCCAAATACCCATGAGCCTTTGCGTCATTTCCACCACAAATGTGAAATGTTTTGCCCAAATCCTGATGTTCACGTTAACGTTAAAACATATTTTTACGTAATATTACTATTTAAAAAGCAATATATTCGTTTAAGTCCACATGGTTAACTGTTGACAGCTTTCACAGGTGACACCATAATAGAGAATGCCATGTGGTTGTGACTAGTGGTATGATCGGAACTCACTTGGTTATGCCTTAAACTGATGAGTAAGGAAAATAACGATGCGGGGTGACGCCCGTATCCTCGTTCAAACTACGAGAAGAATTTTTGAACGGGTACAGGTCTGCCTGCTATGGTGACTCGCCTACTTTGCGAGATGCCTCGTGGGACTAGGACCTTGCCCGAACCTTTTCATGTAAAAAATAAAAACCTTTCAAAATCTTTAGACGTTAATTGGCTCAGTCATGTTCAAATTCTGCTGATACTTCATTTAGTTTAAAGAATTTACATTAGCTTGTTGATGTCACTCTAGATAGGTATTATTATCGTAGTATTTTGGAAGCTGTGATGTAAACAAACTCAAACTCCCAGAATGCATTTGGGCAGAGTTAGCTAGGGAGCTGTTTCTTCTCAGTCTCTCAGTCGGTGTCCCTCGCACGGGAGAAATGGCTGCGGCTCTGTCCCGTGCCCTCAAACTGCCCGGTAAGATGCGCCACACCGGTTCCTCCTCCTCAGACAAACAGAACAAATCGAACCTGTCATTTTTAAACCATCGACGCTTTTCGGTTATCTTTTTTTCAGGTGTCGGCATGGCGCATGCGACCCATTCATTTCATTCATTATGTCAGCCGTTTCAGATTAACGTGTGTTAAAGTGTTATATAATCTGGATATTAAAATGCGTGAATGCAACCAGCGGGTTTTAATGCCAGCTAATGTTTATCCAACGCAGATGATGATGATGCGCATAAAAACCGCATTCCATTTTTTTCCCTGCTAGACCTGTCCGCTCAGAAATAGTCATTTATTTACGAAGGAAAAAGGTTTTAAAAATAAATTCACCGAGGTTTTTGGGATATGGCTGCTATCTACAACAGTATTATTATTATTATTATTATGTGGTTACAACCAGGGGGGCTGCCAGAGATTTTGGGCCCCATGAAAAAATATCAAGTTGGGCCCCCTGGACTGATTTAATAGTACTTTAATTAATTATTTATGTAGATTAAGTTTTTACAAATCAAGTTTTTTAGTGCATATAGTTTTTTTTTAATTGTGACTCTGCCCAAGGACTAACAACATATTTTCTGCAAAGTAGAGCGCATGTTAACACATGAAATGTGACTACGTATAATAAATAAATAACAGTGTAAACAAAAACGACTTCATAGAAAAAGGAAAAGAAATCACAGGCTGCATACCATTCTGCTAAGATCTACCTGCATGCATGAGTGGAATGCTGCCCTCATGAATAGACCTGGGCGTCTGCTATGAATATATGTAATCTAATTACTTTTACAATGAAATGGGTCATCTCTATAGTCCCTTTGTAGAACGCTACCTAAACTAAAACCAACTCTTCGATGTTCATCACGCGGATGTGTCACAGCCCATTTTTAGCTTTATTAAAGACCAAGTCACCCCCTACCTGAGTATAACTCCACTCCCACTTCCTGTTTGAAAAATGCAACAAATGCTGCAGACCGAGAGGGCAGAGCTGCTAACAAATACACACAGGCTCACAACGACATAATGACCCACCAGAAGAGTGAGATGCTTCGCTAATAACAAACCCTGGATCGCCAGTGAGCTGAAGAATCTGCTAAATGAGAAAAAAAGAGCCTTCAAGGAGGGAGACAGGGAATTATTGAGGAGTATACAGAAGCATCTGAAGATCAAGATCAGAGACAGCAAGGAGGCATACAGGAAGAAGCTGGAGAACAACCTACAGAGGAACAATATCAGAGATGTCTGGTCAGGGATGAAGAAGATCACAGGCTTCAACCAGAGGAAGGATTGCAGAGATGGCAGCCTGGACACAGCCAATGAACTGAACAAGTTCTTCAATAGGTTCAGTTCAGGAACAAACCCAGCATCCCCCTCGCCTGTCCCCAGCCAATCAGACATCCCATCCTCCTCTGATCAACATTTTCCTGTCACACGCCAGCTCTTTTGTCCTCTAACTCAGTCATGGACTCTTCTGGTTCTATAAATCTGTCTTCAACCAAGCCAGGAGATGCTGCTGCCCCATTTACCTCCCCCTCCCACCTATCTGTCTCTAGAAGTCAGGTGAAGAGGCAGGTGGAGAGACTGAACAGGAACAAGGCTGCAGGTCCAGATGGTGTCAGCCCCAGAGTACTGAAGGCCTGTGCCGAGCAGTTCTGTGGGATTCTGCAGCACCTCTTCAACCTCAGCCTGGCCCAGGAGAAGGTTCCAGTCCTGTGGAAGACATCCTGCCTTGTTCCAGTTCCAAAGAAAACTCGCCCATCAGTCAATGACGACTACAGACCGGTTGCCCTCACATCCCACATCATGAAGGTCCTGGAGAGACTCCTGTTGGTAGGACATATCAGGACCTGCTGCAATTTGCTAATGGCCATGGAGTTGGAGTTGAAGATGCCATCATCCAGCTGCTTCAACCAACCCACTGTCATCTGGACAAAGCAGGCAGCACTGTGAGGGTCATTTCTCCAGTGCATTTAACACAATCCAGCCTGATGTACTTTGCCAGAAACTCCAGAAGACACAGGTGGGGGCCTCAACTATCGCCTGGATTAAAGACTACCTGAAAACAGACAGCAGTTTGTGAGGCTGAAGAACTGCACATCAAACCAGGCGATCAGTAACATTGGAGCACCACAGGGGACTGTACTCTCACCACTCCTTTTCACCCTGTACACCTCAGACTTCCAGTACAAATCAGAGACCTGTCATCTACAGAAATACTCAGATGACTCTGCAGTTGTCGGGTGTATCAGAGATGGACAGGAAGCTGATTACAGAGAGCTGGTGGAGCGCTTTGTGGCATGGTGTGGAAACAATCATCTGACCTTGAACGTGAACAAAACAAAGGAGACGATTTTAGACTTCAGAAGAAACAGGGTGGAGTCAAACACTGTTTCCATCATGGGAGAAGAAGTGGAGGTGGTTGAGGAATACAAATACCTTGGAGTTCACCTGGACAACAGACTGGACTGGAGAAAGAACAGCGAAGCCGTTTACAAGAAGGGACACAGCAGACTGCACTTCTTGAGGACGCTTAGGTCCTTCAATGTCTAGCAAGATGCTGCAGATCTTCTACAAGTCTGTTGTTGAGAGTGTAATCTCTTCAGCCATCGTCTGTTGGGGTAGCAGCATCAGAAGCAGGGACCTGAAAAGGCTCAACAGCCTGATAAAAAAGGCTGGTTCTGTTCTGGGGACGACTGTGGAACCGCTGGAGGAGAAAATGCAAAGAAGGATTCTCCAGAGAATCAAGAAAATGATGGACAACCCTGAGCATTCTCTTCACAAGACTGTCCGACAACGGAAGAGTGTCTTCAGTCAGAGGCTTCTTCAGTTTGGCTGCAACACTGACCGCTACTGGAGATCCTTCCTGCCAACAGCCATTGTAATATACAACAACTCTTTGATGACTGGATTATTATTATTATTCTGAGCTACTACAGCAATCAGTTTCCCTCTGGGATTAATAAAGTATTTTTGAATTGAATTGAATTGAATTTGAATTGTGACATCATATGGTACCAGCTAACGTTCTAGGGTACCTCTTAGCCAATAGCGAAGGCAGATTTAAATTCAAATGCAGTGCAGAGTTTTTACCTGACGACGGCACAACACTGACAGTTTTAGGCAGGAATTTTAAATTTTTAACTAAAATGCACTAAAGTGCAAAACTATTGACTACACGTGTCTGCAGCACGATTAGACACACATTTATATAGTTTATCAGAAAAAAAAGTTTAATTTGGGGGTGACTTGCTCTTTAAACACCAAACAAGACCGTGTTTAGGACACCAAAGGTACTTTAAGATTTGAAACTAACCTTCTGAAATGGAATTATGATGCCTGAATGTTTCTGATGGACTGTGTTGTTAGTTTACCTGCCCACCGTCGCACCAGTTACTTCTGGAAATAAGGCATGGACCAGAGTTAAACCTAAAGAGGGACTAGGCGGTTTTGGCTTGCTTTTAGCACCCCCCTAGTGTCTGTTTAGTAGAAACAAAATTAAAACTTCTCACTGTGCGTCTGTCTTTTTAACACCTTAATCCAGGGGTATTCAATTCCAGGCCTGGTATCCAGCACGTTTTAGTGGTTTCTCTGCTCCAATTTACTTCATTCAGTGGTTGAATCACCTGTGCAGCAGCTCATCAGGCTCTGCAGAAGCCTGTTAATCACCTGCTGATTGCTTCAACATACCTTGTTTCAGAGTTAAAATTAAAACATGCTGGAGACCGTCCCTCCAGGACCGGGATTGCATACCCCTGTCTTAATCTAACAGCTGAAACGTCTCCTCAGCTTTCCTTAGTGTCTACAGGAGTGATTCATCACTGAATCAAACAAATCAGCTGTGATCACGATCTAAAACATGCAGGAAATGTGCTGGAAGCAGACTGCAGAGCTAGCATGTCAGCTCCGCTTTAACAAGTCCACATAGGGCGATGAGTCCAGCAGGGGCCAAACTGGTAACTCTGGAGTTGTAAGTGCGACATTGTGGCCACAGAGGGCGGTGGGGTCAGAGTGACATTTCATTAAGTAAGTAAATTTTATTTCTATAGCACTTATCACAGACATAGAATCACAAAGTGCTTCACATAGATCAAAACAAAATAAAACAAAGTCATAAAATCATGATGATCTCAAAAGATCCTTCTTCCGGCTCTCGGAGGGTGCAGACGCTTTTTTCCTCCTCTCTTCCATATCTTATCCTCAAGGCCCTTTGTCTGTCTGTGTGTGCTGGGTGCACGGCTGCTTCTGCATGTTTTCTAGAAACTGGAAACTGAAATCACTAAAATGGACGTCGTCAGTTGGTCTCTCAACGCAATTGATAAAATTTTTGCAACGATGAGAACGGGAGAAGGGGCTCCCGGATGCCCCTCCGGGACAGACCCAGTTGGACACATCATGGACTCCTGGGAACAGTGGAACTTGATTTGTTTATCTCAGCTGTCTGTGGAGGACTCTGAAGATGTGTGGATATTCGTGGTGTTGGTGTCATGTTTCCTGCTCAATGGCCTTGGAGGCTTCCAGGCTTACCGGAAAATTAACGAGCTGTCGAGGAATATTGGCGTGATCCTGGAGCTCAGAGATGGATTGCACCGCGCTGTGAATTCACAGACTCAAATAATTGTCGAGATGAATCGTAAGCTTGGAACTTTGGCCGAGAATCATTCTTTGGCACAAAAGATGGATGCCATCAAGGAGAGAGTGGACGAATCAGCACGGATTGGGATAAATTAACGTCCATTATTGGGATTCTGAGAGGTTGAGGACCAAGGAACTTTAAGACAGAGAGGAAATTATCTCTGTCTGGCCCGAAAACAATTTCTAATCGGAATCTGGCGCCCTTGAGCCTGCAAGGCTACAACGAAAACTCCCCCCTCAGAAGATATGTGGAATGTGCCGTCGCTATGGCAACTCAACTCTGTCTCCTATCCCAGCCTGGGCGGGACTGCGGGAAGGCTGCCGAATCGTTCCAGGGTCACTCCAACCCTCAATGCTCCTCCTCCTGTCCAGACTGAGGTGACATGCGCTGCTTGTAGTGGCTGCAGGAACCGAAGTGTGGATAGTCCCAAACCCACCACCCCACCTAGTGGCAGCTGGCGAAAATAAAGCCAATTCTTTCACGGCAGCACATCGAGACAGTGATCCACGCCTTTGTAACCACTCGGCTGGATTACTGTAACGCACTCTATATTGGGGTCAGTGCATCTCATATTAGTCATCTACAGAGGGTGCACAATGCCGCAGCCCGTCTTTTAAGTAAATAAGTAAGTAAAAGTTTATTTATATAGCGCCTTTCACAGATATAAATCACAAAGCGCTGTAACAAGATGGGAGTAACTGGCACTCCAAAGTTCGAGCACATTTCCCCTGTTTTAGCTTCACTTCACTGGCTGCCCATTTCTTTTAGGATTCATTTAAAAATTCTTTTGTTTGCTTTTAAGTGTCTCCATGGCCTTGCACCTTCATATCTCTCTGTCCTGTTACAGCCTTACACACCCTCCCGCTCTCTCAGGTCAGCTGATCAGCTGCTCCTGAATGTACCCAGGACTGGGCGCCTTTGCTGTAGCAGCTCCTAAACTGTGGAATGAGCTTCCTTTAGAGATAAGACAGGCCAGCTCCTTACCTGTTTTTAAGTCTCTCGTGAAAACACACCTTTTTACCCTTGCTTTTGACACCATGTGAGATGTCGGTTACTTTTTTTTTTTAGTTTTGACTTATTTTAGCTGTTTTTGTGTGTTTCAATGCTGTTTTTATCTAGTTTTTATTCTTATTATTGGGCTGTTTTAATTTTATGTCTCCTGTGTTTTATTTATTTCTCTTTGCTGCTTTCTGTTTATTCTATTGTTTTAATGTGTTTTCTGTACAGCACTTTGTTCCTGTGCTGGGTGTTTTAAAGTGCTTTATAAATAAATGAACTGAACTGAACTGAACTAGTGGACACTTATGTTGTGTTGTCTGATGTCTGTTGCATTTCTGTCTGAGGTGTTTTTTTTTTGCAGAGCAAAGCTGCCCTCCCGGTGGAGGGTAACTCTGAAGTGCCTTTTTTCCCCTCCACCTTAACCAATCCTCATGTAACCCTCTGATCTCTATTAAGGTAGCGCGACTCAGGGTTGCAAATGACCACAGTCACCAATTCTTGTCATGTGTCTTGCCCATGTATGTCTGATCTCTGAATTGTGTGTACTGAAACTCTAATTTCCCTCTGGGATTAATAAAGTATCTTTGATTTGATTTGACAACAGAAACAATAAAGTCTTATAATTATAAAATTTCATAAACAGATGAAAGATTAAAAATTTGAGTTAAAAGTAAGAAAATAAAAGATTTAGGTAAAAGCAGCTTTAAATAAAAGGGTCTTCAGCTGTTTTTTAAAAGTGTCCAGACTGTCAACGCTGCGTAAGGATAAAGGAAGATCATTCCAGAGTCGGGGTGCAACAGTCTGGAAGGAGCGATCACCTCGACTTTTATATCTGGTCTTTGGAACTTCTAGAGGGTTCTGGAGTGTGGACCTGAGGGCTCAGGTTGGAGCAAAAGGCTTTAACAGTTCAGTAATGTAGAGAGGAGCTTGACCACGTAGAGCCCTGAAAGTTCTAGTCAGGATTCTAAAATGAACTCTAAAGTTAACGGGTAACCAGTGCAGAGACATCAGAATAGGAGTGATGTGTGCTCTTCTGTTTGCTCCATTTAGGAGCCTCGCTGCAGAGTTCTGAACCAACTGAAGGCGGTCAAGGGCTTTCTTGTTAAAACATGTGAAGAGTGTGTTACAGTAATCTAGACGGGAGGAGATAAAGTCATGGAGAACCATTTCAAGTTCATGTTTTAAAACTAACCTTCTCAGTTTGGAGATATTTCTTAAGTGATAAAAACAGTTTTGGATCAACGTTTTTGAGTGACCTTCAAGAGACATCGATTGGTCAAAAATAACACCCAAGTTCCTCGAGTTGACTTGACAGCAGAGGATAAATGACCAAGTTTTAGACTAATCAGGGGAACCATGCTCTCAGGGGCAATAACCAGACAATCAGTCTTTTCAGAGTTTAACTGGAGGAAGTTACAGTATCTTCTAGCCAGCTGGTGATAGCTGATAGACACTCTAGTAATTCAGATAGTTTGTAGAACTCAGAATCCTTAAAGGAGCAGTACAGCTGAATGTCATCTGCATATAGGTGATATGAGACGTTATGAAAAGAATCAAGTATCTGTCCAAGAGGGTGTATGCACAGCCTAAACAACAGTGGACCCAAAACAGAGCCTTGGGGTACCCCACAGAACAGATAGGTAGAATCTGACATGATCTGGTTTCTACAGACACTGTAACTTCTGTTAGAAAGGTACGATCTAAAGCAGTCTAGAACAGTTTCAGAGATCCCCACCGAGTCACCAAGTCTGTTAATTAAGGTGTTGTGATCAACAGTGTCAAAAGCTGCAGAAAGATCTAACAATACTAACACTGTGAACTCCCCGTGAATTAACCCTGTAAAGGGTCATTTTTGCACAAGAAAATGATTAAAATACATAAAAAAGTTGCATAGTATGGCTTTAAAATGCATCCTGACAAGCTGTGTGTGTGTGTGTGTGTGTGTGTGTGTGTGTGTGTGTGTGTGTGTGTGTGTGTGTGTGTGTGTGTGTGTGTAGGAAAGAAGGGCTCAGATCTCGGGGAATACGACCCTCTTACCCAGGCGGACAGCGATGAGAGCGAGGAGGACGACCTCGTCCTCAACTACCCCAGGAACGGCCTGGGCAGGGACAGCTGCCTGGGCTCGGGCTCCATCAAGCTACATAAATCTGAAAGGCTGGTGGGTGAGGCACGGGATGACGATGAGGAAGAAGATGACGATGATGAGTGGATGCAGCGGCTCCCCGGCAAATCCAGGCGGGACAGGGGGGAGCCGAAAGATGGCCAGCTCTGGAGCCACAGGGACTTAAGCAGAGAGAGGATGGGGGAGGAACTAAGGGGTGCTGGGACATCAGGGGGTGCTGGGCTGGGGGTTCACAACGCTGATGCAGAGAAGAAGAGGATAAGAGCGAGGAACGTGGTGCGGAGTATGTTTTTCCTGGTGCCTCTTGCCTGCGCCACCCTGCTGGTGCTGATGTGTGCATTCCTGATTCCTTGTCAAAAGGCAGAGCTGGAAAAGAAGTTGCAGTGGGAGAAAGCTCTGGGAGACGCAGCAGGTAAACAGTCACAAGTCTGATACAGCAGGCCTGCATATGCAAATCACCAAGGAGTCCAATAAATCACACGCCCAGAGGCAGAAGACCATGAAGACTCCGTACTGACATGGATTTACCTAAACGGGCATCGTAGTCCTGATATTTAATAAATGTTACACATATATTCAGATCAGATGCATAAATACTCATTAAGTGCCTACACTGTGTACATGTACATAAGAAGGAAGCTAGAAAACAATAATCGTCTCAAAGAGAAGCCATGTTGTCTAGACGACGACAGGGGCGTGTCCAGGGTAGGGGTTCTATGAACTAGTCGACTAGTCGACTTCACGGCTCTGTAGTGACTTTTTATGCCTGTCATCGACTAGTCGCTGTCACGTGATAATGACTGACAAGATGCAGTCCTCGGAAAAGACAGGAGGTGATGAGCCCCTGCGTCGGGAGGCGGAGGTGACGCGCTGTCGGTACTGACACCGGCGGTAAAACGGACATTTAACCAAACTGTTGACCTTTACCCTCTTGCAATTTTACCTTCCCCTCACCCCCATCCTAATCTTAACCAGTTTGTGCATGCAAAGCTCTGATCGCTGACGCGCTCCAGACATCTGCGTCACCGCCAAATCAGGTGTCACCACCTCAAAAACAAATTAAACACGCGATCGTTCATGTCGGCTCATTTCCTTTAATGTTTTCTGTCTGTTATTTGTGCCTGATGCGTTTCGCTGCTGCGGAGCGAGGCGCATCACCAGTTTTGTTCTGTGGTGACGCACCCCCAAAATTCCACTATCTCCGCTCCGCTCCGGCACGAACTCCGCAGCAAAAACGGTCCCGTTGTAGTCGGCCGGCGAGCAGCGGCACTCCGCTGTTTTTGCGGTCGGTAGATCTTTCAGAACTGCAGTTCAAAGGTAACTCATAAGGTGAATATATATGAACCCAGGTAGCAGTTTTTCTTTAGGATTGAGAGGAGATGCAGGAAGATAATAAACAGAAAGGACAGAAAAATAGTCAAATAAAAACAAGCTAGTTTTTGTACCTGGTGGTTGCAACAAACAGACACCATTGAAGGTAATCAGAAGTGAGGAACAGAAAATGAAATAATTATTTTAATGTTTAGAGCAGCAGGAAAGGCTGCAGGCGCATCAGTGAGTTTGTGGCTGTTGCGCAGGGGGAGGGGGGAGAGGGCTGGAGTAGGATGCAGAAACTACTGTTGTTAAAAGAGATGTGTTAACTTAGAAAATGTGGGCGCAATTTTAATCGTCAAAAACTCCAGCGAAGCTACCCCCCCCCCCCCCCCCGGCCGCTTCAAGTGTATGACGTCATCAACGACTAGTCGAAGTCGACTCGATTTTCATTACTTGACTGTCGACTTTTAAAAAAATTAAGTCATGCAACCCCTAGTCCAGGGAGTGGCCTGGGGTAGCTCATGCCACCCTTGGAATCTGATTGGCCACCCCAGGTGTCACCACACTGAATTCCCTTTAAATAGGCTTTTCATTGTCCACAAAATGCTTGAGGTAAGACAAAAAAGCATAACCACTGGTGCCACATATGCACAAAGTAGTGCCTCACATTGGCCACCCCGTTTTAAAAGATCTGGACACGCCACTGGGCGACGGCAGTTCGCCCAATACTCGCTTTTGATTTACTTCATCGTGAAATACCTGCGTTCCTCTGCCTCTGTGTGAAAAAGAAAGGAAAACTAACAAATTACGATAACTCAATAGTGTTGGGTTCATGTTGGATGGGTTCTTCTTTACCGTTCAGATCCGACCCCCCCTGCTTTGGCCCTGTGGGATGTCGATGGGGACGCCATAGAGGACGTGCTGGTGGCTGTTACTGAATGGACCAATGAGACTCACACTGCACAACGGAACAAAAGTACTCCATTTAAAAACTTATCACTGATTTGTTTTTGACCTGTTCTTTCAAAATAAGAGCATTTTAAAACAGGAAGCAAGAGAGGGCACGCCATTTTCCGGTTCTCGTTTTCACACATTTAATAACATTTAAACATTGATGGGATAAAACTAAAATCATAATAATAAAAAGCATGCTTTTGAGGAATGTGATAATCCTGGTAGGATTGCAGGTGTAAGGGCTAATTTCTACTAATAAGTAGTATTTTATGATAATATTTAGCGTTAGATCAGGTTCTGGGCTCAGAATCAGCTGCTTGACTTGTCCCGTCTGCCCTTTTACACAGTCCCAGCCTCACCTTGCAGAGCAGACTAGTTGGCGCAACGGTGCCCTCTAGTGGCTGGTAGATGTAAACATAAACCCAGTGTTGTGCCCGACAAAATTAAAAATTGATTATTTATTTTTTCATATATAGCTTTTAAAGGAAAAACTGTACGTTCATTCTGCACACCTCTAAATGCTCCGTGGTATTATTGCATTAAAATATAGCTTTTTAATAAAATGTTCCATATTCCACCTTTAGCAATGTTCTAACAGCTGTAAATATTTTGTGGGGATAACAAAAAATATATATATATATTAATGAAGTGGTTCTTTCGCATTTGTCTAAAAATCTCCACCAGTAACACGTTTCAAAGCAAAACCAACTATCAGACCATCCGGTTGTTGGTCTCACCAAGATGCCGCACTTCCCCGGGTCACACATTCAGCAACAGAACACCACTGGTGTGAGGGGTTCTCCGCTCAAGTACATCAGAGAAGGAGAAACAGCCAACTGCTACTACTTTAACTTTAGGACAAACTGCCAGATTCCCACAAAGAAACACACCATTTGAAGTCATGGCCAACAAAAGACGTTTGGACCCAGAAAACATTTAGCGCTATCTCGTTTGCTTTGGTAATGTGGGTTTTCGGTTCCGGCAGAAGCATCCCGAGGGGAGGGCGGAGCATCCCATGAGTGTGTTTGCGTTCAAAAGCTAGCTTGTTTGCAGATTTGTTATAACAGCTTTAATGAGAGACAGCTGGTATAGATAAGTAAATTGTTCAGATTGTATTTAGATACACATAATTAGTGTGTTATATTTACTACAATACATTTATATTAAATATATGAACTAGAGCTAGGCAGTTAATAGAAAATGTATCATTATCAAAATTTCTGACTTTTATCGAAATAATTTTTTCCATGTCAGTAAATTTGATAATAAAAAAATGAAAAGATGTGTGTAGGTTGGCAACGTTCATGTCCCTTTAAGAAGCTGTACCACCTTGAGTCACGTAAAAATGTGACTCGACGTAATACCTTGACAGCCCCATCTAGTGGACAAGTTTTGTTTCTGCGCATACCTGTAGTTACCGTCCATTTATCTTATCGAGTTGAAATCCTCAATAAATCGTGATATTGATTTTAGGCCATATCGCCCAGCCCTAATATGAATATATATTGTAGCTTTATTACTTTTTAGATTTTTTCTCCCTTTATGTCAGGGATGGCGGTACCCTAGTGCCCCCTGTGGACAAGCTGCTACTATTATCATTCTTTTTTTTCCTCAGCTTTGTATTTTAATGTTATATTCCAGATTACAGCATGGTGGCAGTATCTGCTCTCAGTGGTCAGGTGTTGTGGAGGAAAGTCATGCGCGAGTCTGTGACGTACATCCAGTGTGGTTTACGGTACAGCGAGCAGCCCTCGACGGTTTGCCTCCTCATCGCAAAGTCCATCCTCATGGCCATCAACGGCACCACAGGTAACCAACGACCAGAGCGACAATCCACCGGGATTGGATCACAACTCTGAGAGGTTCTCTTTCCCACTCCTTCACAGGAAAGAGACTGTGGATGGTTCAGCTTAAGGACATCGAGTCTCAGGCAGTTTTACTCCCCAACATCGACAGCGACAGAGTCCCAGACCTGCTCATTGCCACTCTGCCTGATGACAAGGTAGAGCGTCGATGTTGAACACACTAATTATAAACGATGCACCGACGTTTCTCAAGTAAAATAAACTGGGCTACATGTTAAGAACTAATCTTTTCATATCTACAGGTCCTTCTAAAAATTTGCATATTGTGATAAAGTTCATTATTGTCTGTAATGTACTGATAAACATTAGACTTTCATATATATTAGATTCATTACACACAACTGACGTAGTTCAAGCCTTTTATTGTTTCTAATATTGATGATTTTGGCGTACAGCTCATGAAAACCCAAAATTCCTATCTCAAAAAATTAGCATATTTCATCTGACCAATAAAAGAAAAGTGTTTTTAATACAAAAAAATCAACCTTCAAATAATTATGTTCAGTTATGCAGTCAATCCTTGGTCGGGAATCCTTTTGCAGAAATGACTGCTTCAATGCGGCGTGGCATGGAGGCAATCAGCCTGTGGCACTGCTGAGGTGTTCTGGAGGCCCAGGATGCTTCGATAGCGGCCTTAAGCTCATCCAGAGTGTTGGGTCCTGCGTCTCTCAACTTTCTCTTCACAATATCCCACAGAGTCTCTATGGGGTTCAGGTCAGGAGAGTTGGCAGGCTAATTGAGCACAGTAATACCATGGTCAGTAAACCATTTACCAGTGGTTTTGGCACTGTGAGCAGGTGCCAGGTCGTGCTGAAAAATGAAATCTTCATTTCCATAAAGCTTTTCAGCAGATGGAAGCATGAAGTGCTCCAAAATCTCCTGATAGCTAGCTGCATTGACCCTGCCCTTGATAAAACACAGTGGACCAACACCAGCAGCTGACATGGTGCCCCAGACCATCACTGACTGTGGGTACTTGACACTGGACTTCAGGCATTTTGGCATTTCCCTCTGCCCAGTTTTCCTCCAGACTCTGGCACCTTGATTTTCGAATGACATGCAAAATTTGCTTTCATCTGAAAAAAGTACTTTGGACCACTGAGCAACAGTCCAGTGCTGCTTCTCTGTAGCCCAGGTCTGGCACTTCTGTCGCTGTTTCTGGTTCAAAAGTGGCTTGACCTGGGGAATGCGGCACCTGTAGCCCATTTCCTGCACACGCCTGTGCACGGTGGCTCTGGATGTTTCTACTCCAGACTCGGTCCACTGCTTCCGCAGGTCCCCCAAGGTCTGGAATCGGCCCTTCTCCACAATCTTCCTCAGGGCCCGGTCACATCTTCTCGTTGTGCAGCGTTGTCTGCCACACTTTTTCCCACTGAGGTGCCTTGATACAGCACTCTGGGAACAGCCTATTGTTCAGAAATTTCTTTCTGGTCTTACCCTCTTGCTTGAGGGTGTCAATGACGGCCTTCTGGACAGCAGTCAGGTCAGCAGTCTTACCCATGATTGCGGTTTTGAGTAATGAACCAGGCTGGGAGTTTTTAAAAGCCTCAGGAATCTTTTGCAGGTGTTTAGAGTTAATTAGTTGATTCAGATGATTAGGTTAATAGCTCGTTTAGAGAACCTTTTCATGATATGCACATTTTTTGAGATAGGAATTTTGGGTTTTCATGAGCTGTACGCCAAAATCATCAATATTAGATACAATAAAAGGCTTGAACTACTTCAGTTGTGTGTAATGAATCTAATATATATGCAAGTCTAACGTTTATCTGTACATTACAGACAATAATGAACTTTATCACAATATGCTAGTTTTTGGAGAATGACCTGTATATCTGCATTTTCCAGATTAACTCTTGCTTGCTGACCACGTTGCTTTTGCAGCTGCAGGACATACATTTGTTGTTGTTGTTTAACATTTCAGATGCTCTTTACATTTTCTTTCGTTTTCAGGTCTGCGATAAAAGTCGGCAAACCTTTATTTTCCATGTTATGTCCTTTAGTTTATAGATTTGTCGCTGACTTTGATTTCTGGACTGTCTGGCACGGTGCTTGGCCGTCCCGTTCCTTTCAACCTGACAGGACAAGGAAAGCTCATCGGACCTTTGCTGCACGAGACCCAGCAAGGAGCGTTCTACATACTGTTCGGACTAGGTGAAGGCGATCAGATATTACGCCACGCAGAAATCTCAGCTCAAACGTTTGTTTATGAGACGCTACAAAGGTTGAACACGTTATTCGTGTTTTCTCCATCAGGTAACGTCCAGGCCATCTCCCTGCAAGACATCTACTTCCGTGCGTTTGGAGACATGGCCATGACTCAGGCGCTTCGAAGAAAGGACACAATGTGGGAGGGACTCAAGAAAAACAACTTGTCCTCTTTTATACGCATTTACAGGTACGCCTCAGCGAGTCAGGCTCTGGTTTCACAGGACAGAAAGTCTTTATCTGAGAAATACGAAACTAATCCGTCTGTACAAAGGAGATGGAAACCCAGAGGTACGCCAAGGCACGTCTCAGTGGTGATTAAATCTTAAACTAGTTGATTGTCCTATTTGACTCTCTAAAGCTACAATACCTGCTATTTTTGACCAAGGGACTTGAATGCCACTCAAATGAAGAAAAGGAAAAATAATTATGATTTAGGTGTTTTAACAGTTTCATGGTTACCAAAAGTAAAAAAAAAAAGTGGGGAGTAAAGTTGAAGCAGCAGGAATATATATATATATTTTTGTTTTCCAAAATAAAATCTAAATATTGGGAAAAGAAAGCCTTAACACGGTTTTCTAGGATAAAAGGAAAATCCGGAGAAAAAAAAGCTGAAATGTAGGAAATAAACAAGGACATGAAAGGAAATGTATGATTCTGCAGGATAACTTTTTTTTTTTTTTAGAAATTTGTGGGAATTAAACAGAAAAATAGACTTTTTAAGCATTTCTGCTTTAGTCTGAAAATCATATTTCCACTTTATTTGCAAGCATGACTTTAATCTCAAAACTTGAAAATGTTTCCCCATTTTCTTTAAAGAGCAAGTCACCCCCAAATCAACTATTTTTTTCTGATAAACTTTATAAATGCGTGTCTAATGGTGCTGCAGACACGTGTAGTCAATAGTTTTGCACTTTAGTGCATGTTAGTTAAAATTTAAATTTTCTGCCTGAAACTGTCAGTGTTGTGCCGTTGTCAGGTAAAAACTCTTCACTGCATTTGAATTTAAATCTGCCACCGCTATTGGCTAAGAGGTATGCTATGATGTAAACTGGTACATTATGATGTCACAATGTCGTGAGTGTGTGTATTTGTTAGTGGCTCCACCCTCTCGGTCTGCTAGGCAACAGCATTTGTTGCATTTTTCAAACATGAAGTGGGAGTGAAGTACGCTTCTTGTAAGGGATGACTTGCTCTTTAACATCAGCAGCTTAATGTGTTGTAGGTATGACTGATGGTCAGAGAGACTGTAGGTAATGCTGCGTTCTCCTTTAGAGGATCTGAGCATGTGGAGTTCTTGCTCCCTCTTGTGGCCAATTGGGGAAACAACCACAACAGCCTGGACACCGTCGCTAACCTGAACTCCACTAGAAGTAACTGGGTGTTGGTTTACGGCGCCAGCACGTTGTCGGTACTCAGACAGAAAGACTTACGGAAGGAATGGACCTTCACCTCGGCCTCCATCCACAGGTACAGCATCAGCTCACTGAGCTAATGAAAGGCTCCAGAGTTACCCCACGTGGCATACTTTATTAAAGGTGCACTATGTAAGAATTTTATAGCGAAACAATCACAAAACTGTCTAATATCTCATGTCAGAAGGAAGGTTATATTGAAATAGATTTGCTTCTCAGCTATCTGGGGTGGTCGTCAATCTTTCTCCTTTCAAAATGGCCAAAGAGGCCCGTGAAATGTATTTATCTACTTACCAACTCACTTTCTATGACTCGTCTTCGCTCGTCATGTAGAACCTTCCGGCGGCAACAGTCTGAAACTCACGGAACGGGAAGGAGAAAGTTTCTCATGTGTTTGAAAAATGGGCTGCAGTACCCGAATTTCACCACAGGATGTCATTATTACATCCTTTTTACATAATGTACCTTTAACAGTTTAAGTAAGAAGTTTAAATAGGTATAAAATAACTTGCATAGTTTTTGTAAATGGAAAATGTTCTTGATGCAGTCAGCCAGCCTTGGGACACTTCAATAAGGACAATGTCCTCGATCTTTTTGTTCAGCATTCAGCAAACGGCATCATGCAGGTATTTCACGCTTCATCAGATTTCTCTTCCTCTGGTTTGCTTCTTCATTCGTTGCTACGTAAATGATTGTTTTTTTTCTCAGGCGCAGATAGTCGACGGGTCAAACGGCAGCCTCCTCTGGAGAGCTGATTTTGTTTGTCCCCGTCTGGTTCTGGAAACATCTACGATATTCACTTCAACGGGCCAATCGGCTTTCCTGTTCTGGGCCAGTGAGCCCATTAAAGCCCCGAGGAACGCCACCAAGACGACCGTGAGTTTGCAGTCAAGAGTGTTGGGGCAAAAAAAAACGATCTGAGGGGGAAAGTCTCTGACTTTTATGGATGTTGTGTGTTTAGAGGGCGCCCGGCATCGCTGCAGCCAGGCCACTCATCAGAAAGCTCTTCCTGTTGCATCCTGCATTTCCCACGGTTCTCCTGGAGCTCAACAGTACGACAGAGACAGCAGTCACATCTGCAGGTAGTCTGCTCGGTCGAAAACTAATCCGGGTTTAACAAACACAAAACCACACGTAAAAGATGTTTTTTCCTGACAGTGAGTTACCAGGAGCGTCTGAAAGATGCTACCTACATCACCGTGTCATCCCGGCCCACGCCCGACTCTGAGCCTGCCGCCCGGGTGGTCCGGAGCATGAGCCTGAAAGCCGCCGTCAGCCGGGGACAAATCGTCAGGCTGGCGGGGAGCAACAAAGAGGAAGCATCTTCAAAACCCGCAACGTTTGAGCTGAACACCTTCTTCAGACGGCTTTACTTCAAACGCCAGGTATAACAGGTGGAGTCAGCAATTCAAAACCTAACAGTTTGATACTTTTATTAATTTTTTTTTTTTAGTGAGGAGCACCAACACCACGACCTTCGCACGGGGGGCTGATGGACTAATTGTGAACAAACCTGCACTAAGGAGACACTTCCAGTTCGTTTAAAGCTATTAGAGTCACCGAGCCAGCTTTAATTTCAGTTACATGTGAAAGATTCCTCTTCCTTTCGTTTATTTCTTTGTACTGTGAAATAGCTAATTTAATGACTGAACTGCTGTAGCTAGGATTTATTTCACTGAAGCCGAGTAACTTCTAGTTTGTTTCTGACTGAAAAAGCACAATAATCATGATCAAGTGTATGTGGGTGCTTGCAGTGTTTTATTTCTGCTGGTCACTTGCTGCTAATGGTGTCTCTAATCATCACAAAGATAAATATTGATGGGAGTCTGTATATATTTAATGCTGTACAGTTTTTATGATCTTTCTGTTGAACTTGTTTTTTTAAGCGTACGGTGGATTTTAGTTGTAATATATTCTGAATGTAACGTGGGATTTCACCTAATGCAAGTAAACAGTCCAAAACCGTGCCTAAGTTTTCGGTCTCTGTTTGACCTTTGACACTGGGGGGGAGGTGGCGCACTTTTCCATCGGGACCACCAGATGGCGTTGTTGCTGCTAGCTTAATGCTAACTCTTCACCCCAGTTTTCCGCGTAACTGACGCAGTGGACGCTGCAAGTATGTCTTCGGCCCTCGTCGGTCGTCTGATCCGGCTGTCTGCTGTCAGGAATGGCCCCTCCAGCCCACTGAGCACCTCCGACGTGTCGGGGAGGGCGAACCGGACGGCCGTGACTACGTCCACCGGCGCCATTCTGCCCAGGCCCAAGCAGGTGAGCGCTGAGGCGTTAAATAAGTAATAAAAGAGTGACAAACACGAGAAGTGTGGGTGACGCTGACTGTTATTTCCGTGGTCGGACGTGTGGGGGGCAGACCCGCTTCGGCCTGGTCCGGATCGCGCTGGTGGTGCTCCCCTTCCTCTATGTGGGGACGCAGATCAGCAAGAATTTCGCTGCGCTGCTGGAGGAACACGACATCTTCGTACCGGAGGACGACGACGACGATGACTGAAGGATCTCGTCAGGTAACTCTGGCACGTCTCCACCCATCTTTCATCTGATTCCCAAAAGCAGCGACACGGGCGGTTACCATGGAGACGGCAGTGGCGTGCCCAGGCTTTTCAAAATGGGGTGGGCCCAGGGTAGCACCTTTTTGGGGGGAGAAGGAAGGGGTCTCTCCTCACAAAATCACTCTTTTTTTTCCTTTTAGTAAGATAGCAAACTCTACGTTGTGCTTCTTTACTCACATCCATTGCTGTGTAGGAATTTTAAGGAGAAAAGGCTCAAGTGCCTTTCCTGAAAACATGTATCTTCAAATGAAAGAAAAAACGTGGTCAATGGCCCAATTCCACACACTCGTGTACTACACAATCAAACCCTTACTGCTCACTTCTTCTAAGTGCACTTCACAGTAAACTGTAGGGCACGGTGCGAGTTTTGGAATTGGGCTTTCTTCTAGTTGTTTTGTATAAGGATGTTAGACTAGCTGTTAGCTCATCAGTCATTTAGGACATAATACTTTTTTTTAACAGATGCTTTCCAGGAAGCTACAGTTATTTGTAACCTTTACACATCAAAATGATAAAAAAAAACTACATAGAGGAGCTGAGCGATGCCATTAGGAGGTATGTTTTTGTGGCTTACAGCTCCTGGTGTAAGATGAAAACACGACCTCTTAATTCTCTATTTTCTCCACAGATGGTCCTGTTTGATCACCACCACCAGCAGGTGTCGATAAACACCTTCCTGGAGGTCCTGCTGCTGCTGCGTTTTGAAATCACGTCTGCTGTTACTGTTTTCGTGGATTCTGTCGTCACTGACAGACGGCGCCGTCACCAGCTCTTCGTGACGTGTTGTACTGTAACACAGCTGGTGTGCTTTTGAGTGAGTTGATAGGATTCTCGATGTGACAGTTGTGAAGATTTTTGGCTTTGTTACTAACAGAATACACTAAATGTTTATGTGAGCATCTTTGGAGTTAATAAACAAATATTTGTATGGAACCGGATCTTCAGGCTGAATCTAAAACAAAAGACAACAGTATGAATGTTAAAGTGTGTATTTACATTGTAGAGGAACATCTTTCACACGGGACACAAGCAAAGATGAGTCAGAGGTCAGCTGGCATCTACACAGTTCATGGGTCATGGCCTTTGTAGAATTTGGACAGGAAGTCGTTTGCTCGAGGCTCTTCGGTCTCGTGGAAATAACGCATTAAGTGGGTCCTCTGTTTCCAGACGTGAATGGTTTCCTGAAGATCTATTTTACCCTGCAGTTTGAACAGAAAATGAAATAATGAGTCTAACCCCTTCTTTCCACCGGAGCCGTCGGCAGCACGTTACTGCAGCAGCACGTCTGGCTCGCGTAAGCTGCTGCTTGGCCCTTCCCACGAGACGCGAAGCAGCAGGGGAGCAGCTGTCACCGACAGAGCACGAAGTCACACGAGTTAGTAACTTTTTTAAAGTAAAGCAACCGAAGGCAGTACGTTTCTTTATTCTGAAAATCTCGGGAGCTTCGCTCCGATTCCGCATCCGATTTCCTGTCTTTCCTTCCCCAAAAATTTCGAACTTGACCCGTTTCAGAGGCGTCGCGCGTAGAAAATAGAATCGGCGCATAAGGGCCGCGACATGCTGCTCCTGAGACGCGGCCGACTCGCGCTGCTGACGGCTCCAGTGGAAAAGGTTCTGTTGACCACAGCGGTTCCTATCAGCAGCTATGACGTGCTGCTGCAGTAACGTGCTGCTGACGGCTCCGGTGGAAAGAAGGGGTAATGCTGCTGAGAGAGGCTTTAACCACACAAGATCCCTTAAACCCAATCAACCAATCAAACTACAGATCAGTGGCAGGCTCACACCTTAATGACTAGCATGTCAATCACGCGGGGGTCAGTGACGTTCTTGTTTTTGTCGAACATCTCCCGCACCTTGTCTCTGCCCTGGCGTATTGTGATGTCCAGGTGATACATCGTCACTGCAGACACAGAGAGGTACAGAGTCACTGTTTTCAACACTAAAACTCCAAATCTCAACATTTAAGCAAAGAAATAACAGCAACTGTTTAAAGTAGTCAGGTAAACGTTGCGCTGGACACAGCTGCATATGTAAGTAAGATCAAACCGGTTTTGTCCCTGATCTCTTGTTTGATCTAATGGAAACAAAACTCCACGTGACTGAATAACTGCTTTATCGTTTAATCTAGATTATTGAGGAAAAAGCTTTGCACAAATGTAGTTTAATGAGGTTTATTCAACCAGAGATTGAAATTTTCAGCTCTAAATGGTATTTATACACATTGTTGTTAATAGAGAACAACAAGTCTCTACGTAGCTATTTTAGTCACGGAGTAACTGATCAAATTAAATTAAAATCCTGAGACTAAATATAAACACACTAGCCTGATAGATGCTGGCACGTGCCTTTTATCTGGGGTTGTAAGAACAAACTCTTAACAGTTTGACATGAAATACGTTAAAAGATTTGTTACACAAAACAGCAAAGAGGCGTTCACGCTCCCACCTGAACATCTACCAAATAATTAATGACAAAAGATAACTACTAATACCACGAGCACTTAGTCGTTTCCTGTGCTTATCTTGAATTCTTAAAGGCACCAACACTTGTATTTACACGTCGGTAACTGTTATTGTTGGGGGGGTTGTTTATTAGCATCGAAGCTAACTTGGACGCGACCTTGACGCTAGTTGCTTCTCGGTCAACCCGCCACGGAGGACCTTTATACCTGTGTTTGGTATCTCCCGGTACCAGGCTCGGTAAAGTTCTCGGACCCTGCGTTTAGCCTCGTCCACATCACGGCTAAAAATCGGTTTGACTATTTTAGCGGCACCAGCTGCCGTACGGGTCGCTGCAGCAGACGCCATCACTGCCTATGCCACTGTTTCCGGTGTTACGTTGAAATGTGACCCCACCCCCGTCAAAAATTGCTTCCCTGCTGGCGCCGCTCCGTTTTTTAATTGAGTGACCTCGTTTAAAAATGTGTACATATTTTAGATTTACATATTACACCCCCTCGTAATTTAAGACTGTAGGGGATTTTTTTTCCCGACAGGGGAACATATTTCACCGTAACACTTGTTGATCCATGACTACCGTATTCTGACTCTAGAGGGCGCTGTTGCCATTATGATGGCTTTGGGTTCCCTTAAATGTAATATTTCCCCAAGAATGAATGATAAATGACCATCCTATGGGGAATCAGGCCAGATTTTTCATATAGTCATATATATATATATATATATATATATATATATATATATATATATATATATAAATGATTTTGCACTGAAATTTGCTCACTTTTGTGCTTCAATATGGTGACAAACCCTCAAAGGATCATACACAAATTAGCATTGTTCTTGCAGTTTGTTTTCAAATGTGGAATAAATATAATTATGTATGGTAACATCTAAATGACAGATGTGGATGCTAGACTTAAGTGTTTCTGTTGAAGTTGTAACAATTTGTAGGTGGTTACTTTTAATAAAATGTCAATAGAATATTCGATATAATGTAATATTCCATAAAATATGGATTATCAATGTTATTGAGCCTTTCATATTCGATTAACTAGGTACTTTGGTACCTAGTCTCTCAGAGCGAGGGAGTGGGTTTCTGATGCATCTGAAGGTCTTAGGCACCCTCAGCATACGCACAACTGGTCAGAAGATACTTCCTAGGTGGCTTCTGGCGGACAGTTTCACGTCTAATGAGTGGGTGGTGGATTAATTCAGAAGGATGGTTCATATGCTGCTAAAATTATTCCACTGGAAAATCTGGCCTGATTCCCCATAGGATGGCCGTTTAATTCAAATCTGAGCTCTGACAGAACCGAGAAAAATAGGAAGGACACTGCTGTGAACAAATTAATTAGTAAGCCTTTCACAACATTACAAAGTCATTTTATTGATTGCAAAAACGAGTATCATTTACAAACCGTACAGGCTCTTTAGGACATTAAATATGAAAAAGTAGGTAGTTAAATTATTTTGTCACAATACTTTTTATCAATAAGAAATATATTCATATAAAAATTGGCTCATTGATGCAACACCTGCGTTGTGGTGCTGGCACATGCAGAAGATGCCGACGTGCAGTCAGGAGACGGGAAGTTTGGGGTGAAAACACAAACAGCTGTGATGCGGGTCAACAATCATTAAGCAAATGAAAGATGTCCGAATCCGTTTCTGTACAATCGTAGCTCCGCCCCGCCTTCGCTCTGCTAGGACTTGTGACATCATGCTGTATTTTCATGTTCAAATCCCAACATATTTACCACAAAAGGTTGAACAGAACATAAATACGGGGTTTGAAAAAAGGAAGCAAAAAAAAAAAACAAAAACAAAAAAAAAAAAACCAACAATTACAGTAAATTTTAGGATCCTTTTTCTTAAGTACAAGTCAAAAGAAATTAAACAGAAAAAATAGTTTATCTACAAGAAACTCAACAGACGTTCCAGTTTTAGGACTAAATGTGTTTTTATACAAGCTCGCGCTCCCAAAAGCAAAAGTGCACTCTTAAGATTTGCCCAGTGTAATGACTCCTGGCTTCTGATTGGCAGAACGGTGGAGAGCCAAGTCACTAAGGTTCTGATCCAACTGTACAAGGCTTTCTCTTAGACTCCGTCACCATATCGACTGAAAAACCTAACTTTTTAAAAAATGTTTTATTTTTGCCCGCACAACGCCAGTCGCCGTTCTCCACAGCACCAGCACCGGCACCCTCAGTGGTCCAGGCTGTTCCCTAGTTTTTGTCCCTCCTGTAAAGCAGCCATGGCCAGCCTCAGGTGCTCCTTCAGACTCTGGATCTCTCGCTCAGTTCGGCCCTTCATCCCGTTCAGCTCACCGTGCACCTCGGCATATCGCTCACAAGCCAGCTGCTTTTCCTGCAGAAAAGGTCCAAACCATCAGCAGGGCCTCGGGCTAACGCCTCATCTGCTAGTCAGCATCCAACGTCTGCATCCGAACTTTGAGATTGAAGCAACAGACCGTACCGTGTTTAAAAACTGTAGCTCGCTCCTCAGACAACTGATCTCCTTGTGCAAGTACTCGATCTCATTCTCCTTCACTCGGAGGAGAACCTGGAACAAAGAGAACGGTTTTCCACAAACAAAGATTTTTAGGGAATGAGAAGATCTAAACTGCATTAGAGCCCACAGTGCCGTGGTCTCTAGTATGAATGAATGAATGAATCCCTTATGAGTCCATCTCTGTGGCGCTCCCGTTTCAGGAAGTAGAAGTTGGCTGGAGGAGTGAGGTTTGAAGTCGTACGCCGGGCCGTTTTTGGCTCATTTTGACCCGATTTTCCTCTCATGAGAGAATCTTTGCGGGCGGGACACGTTCTGCGTTGGGGCTAATGAGGTGATTACGTCCTCACAACCAGCTCCCAATCAGCAATCGCACCAACGCCAACCATGTCTGACATTTTGCTCGTCCCTCTGAGGGTATTGCACTGTTGAAGCGGCGCTGCGACCCAAAAGCACGTGCCCAACTCAACGCAGCTCCACGGGTACTTCTATCACACGTCGTTTCCTCCATTTTTACAGTTTTCTTCGCACACAAAGACGAGGATCGGCACAAAAGCGTCTTTTATATAATACAGACCCCCAAACACTGTTTACTTCCTTTGTCTTCCTTCTCCAACACCCACAAACCCCTGCGTGTCCTCCTACAGCAAGCCCGAAGGGCAACAGACACATCAATAACACCACAGCAGCCTCCGGGTCTTCTGGGTCTTCAGACTTGAAGGTCTGACGTGTGAAAACTATGACTTTTAGCACGTTTTTCAGGTTCGAAGCGTCGCTACCACACGTAGTGTGAGAACACGACTCAAGAGCTTTGCTCTGCGATGACGTCGCACCGTTTGAGATGGAGCTGAACGATATGCCGGGCTTTACTCGTGAATATTCATCATATTTGACCCTCTCTCCTCTGATTGGCTAACAGCAGCACGACTTCACCGCTGACTGTTTCTCTGCAACGTTGATGTTTTATCTCCACAAATAACACCAGCTCGGAGGAGTTCTGCTATGTGGTGGAGTTGCTAATGCTAATGGTTAGCTTCTACTATCTGAGACGTTCTCTGCCGTTTCCTGGAGGCTAAACCAACAACAGCCTTCCCCGCCGTGAGTCAAGATTAATGTTAAGTGACAGCGTGACGTAGATCTGTCAGGATTTTCTAATCCCACCACGTAATCCCCACGTTCTTTCAGTGTCACAAACATCAGTACCTCCAGTTCACAGGACATCTTGTCTTTGTGGTCCTCCGAGTTCTGATCTGCCGATCGTACTCGAGTCATTTCTTCTGTCAAGCGCATCTTTAAGCCCTGCAGAGGAAAATTCTTTAACCTCATGGACATTTGTTGCTGAGCAGGTGCAGAAGACAGGTGGACAGGCGTTTTTAAATCACGCTGCAGGATACGTCGGGCATCTGAAATGCTCCTGTAGGTAGCTTCTAGAGCGTTTATGTATCACATGACTTATGAGCTAACGGCTAATCCGACCAGTAAACCAGGTGCAGTTCGAATTTCACCACCATTTCACCAGAATGCAGCACTTCTGGTACTTTTTTCTGCAACGGTGCGAAATTCCCCTTCAGGCTAGCCGTTAGCTCATCAGTGCCGCAGCAGCTACGCCGTTTATCTGCCCTCCTTTCATCCGTCACATTGCAAACACCATGACTCTAGTTTAGAATGACATCATCACCAGGTTCTCCTTCCTCAGCTGCTCCACGTCCCTCTCCTTCTGGCTGATTTCGCGCTCCCTCTCGGCGTTCCTCTGCTCGGCGCGGTTCAGATCCAGACACTTGTGAGAGTAGCGCTCAGACAGACTGGCCAGCTCTCGCTGCAGCGCCTGAGCTTCTGCCCTGCGGCGACACACACAGGAGAAGAGGCGGTGAACGTGTTGGGCTCACAGAATAAAAACCTCCTCTCTTACTTGACCGTATCTTAGTGCAGGGATAAACTGTAACAGCACCAACATGACGACTCGTGCATTTCCTGCTGTGGTTGTGAAACCTCTTCTGCTCACCAGCAGGGACCGCAGAAATGAGGCAGACTATGCAGAGTAAACGCTGCCGGTCCGCCAGACCGTCTGTGTGTAGGAAATCTAACCCACGACTTAGCTCTTCTACATCTCTTCAGCATTAACAGCAGGAAACTTGGGTGGCGTCACTCACAACATCAGAAAACCCTAAAATGGCCGCCCACGTGAAGCGGCCCACTTTAGGGGTTTTCACCGACGTGGAGGACTTGAGTAAAGACAATAAAAATAAGAAGGTATTTATGAAGCTGTTGAAATGGGTGGCGGAGATGGATCAGTCACATCTGATCAGGTGAGCAGGAGGTCGTGTAAAGTTGCTCACTGTTGGTTGGTTCGTAGAGTCTGGGGGTCGACCCTCCCGCCGCTCAGCCTCGTCACTCTCTCCACCTCTCGTTCCAGCTCCTCCTTGTGTTTCTTCTTCAGAGCGTCCATCACTGGAACACAAACGTCTGGTGTAAACTCCAGCTTTTGTACCTGGGGGGACGTTTTCTGATCTGTGGCTTAAATGTAATACAACACGCCCACAGCCTCAGCCTGCAACAATCGCACCATCTACAGCAGCCGCTCCGCAAGCCTAGACCTGGACAGGAAGTACTAAATGTAGAACGCCATCAGCCCGTCTATTAGGATCCAACCATCTCCTACACCAGTGGTCCGCAAATGGCGGCCCGCGGGCCACGTCCAGCCCGCGAGCCCTCTCTTTGTGGCCCACGAACCCCGCGCGCACCCCCCACCCCCGACGGCCGACCGGGAGGTGTAGGATAGAGCTGAGGAAAATAATCAATGCATGAGATGCGGGCATAAACGATTCTGCATCAAATCAGTTATAGTGGAATGTGGTTTTGTTATTTTAACGGCGGCTCCAGCGTAGCATCCACATCTGTCAGAGCGGAGTTCTCCACATTTACCGGGTAGGAAACTTTGGTCCGCCTTTATGTGATTCTGCAGGGCTGAGCGCTGGAGTTGGAACCTGAGACCGAACCCGAATCGAATCAGCCCGACCGGCTCTGTTGGATTTGGGCCGTAAATTATGTTGATTGAGCGGGTTGTCGCGCGGCGCGCTCCGCTCGCTCGATCAGCGACTGAGACAGAGAGCTAGAGAGAGAGGGAGATTGTCTGCTCACACAAGAGAGAGGATCGGAGGACGCTCCTCCAAACCGATGCTCCAAACGCGCGTTATTATTTTCATAATTTCATTATTGTTTCTCCTGGAAGCGCTCAGTCAGACCGAGTGCTGTGATGTCGGGAGGTCCGGTCTTGGGGAGAGAGCGGGGTCGGTGACGGCGGCTGCAGCGTAATCATCTGTCTCTTTTATTTAGGGACACTGAGACGTTAAAAGGAGAGAGAAATAGAAGATAGAAGTTCTTGTTCCACAATCCAACCCCCCCGGCCCTCTTGCTTCTGGGTCTTTTTTGTGTGTGGCCCTCAGACCATTATAATTGAGGACCCCTGTCCTACACTGATGAAAGTGGTAACATTAGCTCACGTGGTTACAAGGTTGTTATTAACTGTGTAATCCGAATTATTAGAAATGATTTAGACCTGACTGCCTAAATCAGCCGTATTCACCAGAAAACAAGCGGTTTAGACCGGTGGTTCCAAACCTTTTCTCTTCGAGGACCCCGGTGGAGCTCTGGCGCTCCCGTTTCAGGAAGCAGAATTTAGCCGGAGGAGAGGGGAGCAGGTTTTGGAGTCATACTCATTAGAAATCAGGATATCTAGACATCTGTCCTCTGATTGGCTAACAGCAACACAACTCTAACACTGACTCTGTCTGCTCTGCGACATTGGATGTTTTATCTCCATGAATACCACAAGCCTGGAGGAGTTCTGCTGTGGTGTGGAGTAGCTAATGCTAACGGTTAGCTTCTACTAGCAGAGACGTTCTCTGCGGTTTCCTGGACGCTAAACCAACAACAGCCTTCCCTGTTGCGAGTCAAGATGTGAGTCCATCTGAGCGTTTCCTCGTCTGTTTTCCATCAGCGGCTAATGTAGGAAATAGGGGTAGAAGACTTTTACACGTTCAGCCCGGATGTGAAACTGAGTATTTGATCGTATTTAAAAAAGAAGTGAAAACTTGTTTCTCGGTGAACTTGCTCTTTAACTCATTCACTGCCAGCAATTTTCACCGTTTTTACTGATTTTTTAAGAGTGACAGAACGTTGCGCGCAAAACAACCAAAACAAAGCGGAGACTCGCCTCTTACATCAGGAAGAATCCGCGCGTTTCGCGCGTTATCCGTTCTTTCATAATCCGTTGTTGAATTGTGATCGGCAGAAGCTTTTCCGGCTCGCGCCTCACTTTTTTTACAGCAACGGCCCAAAACGATCTCCTAACACATGGATGTTCTGCTTCCTGATCACGTGACGTGTGCGGATGAAGATCGGCTTCAGAGCTGAGACGTTTGTTCTCACGGCGCGGGGGCTCGTCCGACGCCCACACAGTAAAAAAATGCATTGGCAGTGAACGAGTTAAACTTGTAAAAAGCCTGAATCCGACTGATGACGTGTTCATTTGCTACTACGAGGCGTCTGATTGGCTGACCTCGTGCCGTGTCCTGGGCTTCCTCCTGCAGCAGCCGGTCCTTCTCCTTCTCCAGTTCCCTCATCTGGCGCTCGTGTTGCTTCTGCAGCACGTCCAGCGCCTGTCTGTGGGCGCGCTCCATGGCTGCCAGGCTGCGGCTGCAGGGAGCTTCAGGCCCACAGACGCCTCGCACACTTCCTCCTCCTCCTCCTCCTCCTCCTCCTCCCTGCTGTAGTTGCTCCAGTTGTGGCCTCAGTGACGCCACCTGAGAAGAAGAAAGAGTAGATAAAGCCCACTGAGCGACACTACGGGGGTGACTCGTTCAGCCTGCAGGTACGGAGGGAGAGCAATCACACCACAGCACACAGAAGCACACGGGCCTTTCTTTCAGAAGCATCTTCCACAAAACCTCAGTACTTCTCAAGTCAGTCGTGTTTCTACTGAGTTTTATTTAGGAAAACACTTGTGAAAAGCAGTTAGAAGTAAAAAGTGTTAAAAGCCAGAAACAGAAATGACTTCATCCAGGAAGATGAAGGGTTAATTTGCATTTTAGATGATTTGCAAATTAGAGAATCATCTCCACGCACTACCTCCCTCTGCAGCGCCTCGTTGGCTGACTGGCTAGAGGACCGCGGTCCCGTCAACGGGAAGGAGCTCATGTCTTTTAACGGCATGCGTTCAAACTCCGCCCACTTCTTCTCGATTTCTTCCTCCACGTGTAGCCTCTGGTTCGAGCCCACGCCGCTGCCCTTCTTGGACAGAATGGCCTCCCACTGCCTGCTGGTGTTCCTCTCCTCCTGCCACTGGCCGTGCTCTCGGCCTTGCCCCTCTCCTGCTTCTCTCTGACCGGCAGGGAGAGAGCCGGAGAAGGCCGGAACAGGAGAGAGCTCAACGTAGTCAAACCTGGTTTTGGTCACAGGAGCCGAGGCGGGAGCATCCGAGAGGGAGTCGCCGTGGCGAGAAGAATGGAGACGGGAAGACGGCAAGAAGCGTGTGTGGGAGTTTTCCTTGTCGCTGTTGTTGTCGGGTAGCCTAAAGGATGGAAGTGACACCGATCAGCTGATGAATGAGTCGCACAATGATGGATTTAGCTTTACACAAGAACACCAAACATGCGTGTAGCACTTTAAATGCAACACGGCCACAGAGCTTCACAACACAGATCTATAAAAGTACAGTAAAAACGTAAAACAGCTGTGGCAGACTGCAATACAAAAGTCGGTTTTCAGTTTGGACTTAAAAACGGCCACCAAGAAGAACGCCTATGTGCAAAACGTACAGGTCGGTCTAGCCACGCCCCTTCGTAGCCTCAGCAGGTCTACCATTGGCTCGGTTGTTTCTACAGCACCTGCAGTTGTGTCTAAAAGGTGAAAATGTCCCCTGCTGGGAGCAAAAGCACTAGATATTACAATGTGTAAAGTATTTGCTTGGTGAGGACACACGATCCGGGGTGCCCCTGGTTAGTGGTAGCAGCGAGCATTGGTGGGGTGGGATGCTGGAGCCAATCAGAACTGCGAAGCGGCGCATCTGGTTGTTTAGTCGCTTTCGTGGTGCTTCTACGGCTGTAATATTATCCGTGTTCTACCTGAGTTTTTGTGAGGAAAATAAATAAAAACACATTCAGGTGATCCAGAGAAGCAATCCGGCAGCCCACCCTGGTAAATGAGAGCAGGGAAACCCTAATAAACACATTTTAAAACACGCCTCACCTTTAGTTTACCTCCTTTCATTATTAGAGTAACACCTTTTCATGTTTTGATGGTGTGATGTCATTTCCTATCATCTTTACAAACATTACTGCGCGTTAATACAGATTTGTTTACTTAATACTGAGACTTCGACTGTTTCTCAATGCCAAGGAACCTCGCCTTGATGTCTTGGCCCCGCCCTGGTTGCCTAGGAGATACGTCATCGGGAGCCGCCAAGACGTGTTCCAACGTTCACGTTCTACCGAGGCGTGTGTTCTCCGTTTGTTAGCCGTTTAGCTAGCTGAGCGAGGATACACGGGAGGTGTCTTGTAGCCTAGCCTTGGTAAAAAATTACCCACAATACACCGCGGTATTTTCAAAAGGACGGCGGATCAGAAGCCGGCAGCTACTTCGGGGACAATTTTCAAGTTTAAAAGTAATTCAGCTAATTTAAAATGTTTATTTTAGATCCAAAGAAGTTATCTGTGGTTGGTTAGTTGCTTAGTAGTTGCAGCTTCGGTGGCTAGCTGGTAGTAACTCACTTATATTTTTAATTTAATAAACATATACACAATTTAAAAAGTAAAAGACTCGTTAGATATTTATAAGTATAAAATATAACGTTATCTCCCGTGTCACGTGATGCAAGTATGTTCCATTTAACCGTTTTCTTTGACCAAGGAAGGACAGTGTCCTCGTAAGCAAGGCGCCTGGCCCTCGCAAGACATCGCCTCGCAAGGGTAGGCGCCGTGACACTGAGAAGCACCCATCGTTTCAAACTGTCGGCGTCCATTTTTGGTATTTACCATTCGTTTTGTTATTAAAACCATATGAATAGTTGTAGGAGTGGTTAGCATTCCCTTTACAGACTTTTGAAAATTATTGCATCAGAAGAAAGTTACGGGTACTCTAGTCGACTGAATTAAAACGAATTTAAAACTAACTGGACGACTAAAATAAAAAATAAATCAACATTGCCTTGAAGGAATGCTGTGCTTCTAACTTTAACACGAATCTGACGACAAACTGGAGCTCTGCTGCTCCTCTTTTCTCCTCAAACACGAAGGCTTTAGTCGCGAGCCATTGTTCCACATCTCTTCGTTTTGAATTCAAGCCCTTTCAAGTGTTTTCAATTGGGCTTGCAGGATTTTCCATTAGTGATTCACAGTTACTTCCCTCCTTTAGTTACTTTCACCAGTGAACGCATCAAGTCTAGAGTAAAAAAATAAAGTTAAATGTAGGTATTAGAGTGGCCTTCATCATCCTTTTTCTATGTCGGTACTTACTGTGTGAGGTCTGGAGAGCTGCTGGGCCTGATGCACTTCTTCAGAACCTCTATCCAGTTCCTCCTGATGCCCGCCGTCATGGCCGACAGCGTGAACACAGCCTCCCGCGTCTGAGGTCAATAAGAAACTATTTAACCGAAGCAGGCCGAGACGGAGACCATATGGGCAACCCAAAAGAGTGCCCAGTAGGACTGAAAAGTAAAGCGGTCACCTGTATTTGAAACCCGTAGTTCTTCTCCACATCAAACTCCGACACCTTCACGCAGGACTTCAGGTCGATCTCCCCGTCCGAGTCGTCTTTCTGCACGGAAAACGTGCGACTTTGTTAACACCTGGCCCTGAAAGGTTGCGTTACCGCGGCAGTCGCAACCGATATTTAACAAAAACACACACCTCCTCTGCAGTGGAGTCTCTGTAGTACTTCAGCCCGGCGTCGGTCAGGACAAACCAGTGCTTCTTCCACTAAAGACATCAACACATCAGGTCGCTGAGAGCAAACATGAACTTTATCACCACTGTGATGTCATCAGGCTCAGATGGAGGTGTTGATCTAACAACATGTGGCCTGAGATGCTTGTTTTCTCAGAGAACACACACTTCACTCTTCAAGCATGCTTTCTACAGCAGGGACAGGTGAGGGTAAAGAGCGCCAATTCATCAGGCTTACCTCGCCGCCTTCATCCAGTTTTGACATCCATCCCTTTTTGAAGTTTAAGAGGTCGGGCTGCCGAGCAGAGCAGAGTCATTTTAGTCCCGCTTCACTTGTGCGACTGAGAGAAACAACGCTAACAGGAAGGAGGTGAGTGATGCCTTTGTGCTACGAGGCCGTTTGTGTGTAAAGCCACACCGGGGATCGTAACCCGGTTAGAGCCGACGAAACCAGACAAAAGGTGAAGGACAGAGAGGGAAGAGCCACACCCCCCACAGGTTCACTCCATCACTGTACGAGAAGATGACAGATATTTTACCCCGCGGGAGACGAGCCAGTTTTCACAGCGAGGATATGAGCTTTTGGTCTAGTGGAGCTGGTTAAAGACGACACGTTGTACACACGGACGAGCTTGGTCAGCAGAAACACTTTCAGGTAAACTCAAGAGTTTCCACCACTCGACGCAGCCGGCTCCTTTGCTGCTTTTCACTCAAATACAGGAAGAGAAAACGCGCTGGAGGCGCCTCTAGACGTCACGATCGGAGATCGAGATCAACAAACGAACATTCCTTCTCACTTATCTCTCTGCAACACGTGCTTCATTTCAAATCCGTCTCCATTTTAATATCTTCTTCACTGTAACTCACTCGTGTTGATTTTAGTCCTGCTTTAGTCCCATCCTCCTAAACGGCCTTTTTCCCCTCCATATCAGTCACAGCACCACCACCTCATTCATTCTTTCAGCCAACAAATCTCAGACTAAACAATAGATTATTACAGTCTCAAGATGGATTAGACGAAGGACTTTTATATGGACACGTGATCCGGTGTGTTCGGAGACATTTTACACTTCCCAGTGTCATCTGGCGAACGCAAATCTAGCTGTAACGTTAGCGGCTATAGTTGCAGGGCAGTGAATGCAACAGAAAACCTGATCTTCATGGAAGATGAGAGATAAAATAAATAATATCGGTCTGCTCTTCCAGAGAATTCACCTTCCCGCCTCACCTTACCAGTAAACTACAGGTGCAACTTGTGACGTGTCATCGTAAATGAACGCTGACTTGTTGATGCATGCCCACAAGGCAAGGTCAGGAAGCAGACAGAGGGAGGGAAGTATACCTAAAGAGTCACTGTAACACATTCAGCCGTCACGTGATTTCAGAGCAGCAATGCTGCCTCTGACGGAGAAGAAATGGTTTAAAATGCTAGCTGCAGGAGCGTCAGGCACTCTCCTTAACGCCTGTAAAGCAGCATTGTCCTTTAGGCCAGGTCAGATAGGTTACCTCTCTGCACAATGCACACAGGTGGATACAAAGACACAGCTAATAGGGTTGACAGCTAATATTTCCTCATTACTTTAGAAAACAGGTTCTTAGAGATGTGTTCGATTGTGTACAAACATCAAAGTGATCACTGAGATGCAGCAGAAATGGACAAAACAACCGTCACTTTTCAGAAAATATATTTTAAATGACGAAAGAAAAAGAAAAACGTAAGTGTTAAAAGTCTGCTGTTCACGTCTGAGGAGTGTTTCTGTGAAACGGGTACGAACAGCAAAGGAGATTAGCTCTGACAAGAGCTAACAGCTAATGTTGAGCTAACCGCGGCTGTAAGCTAGGCCAGCACCAAAGTGTTGCTTCCAGGTGAAAACGACTTTAAAGAGCAAGTCAAACCAAATTAACTTCTTTCCCCTGATAAACTAAATAAACGAGTGTCTAATCGTGCTGCAGACACATGTAGTCAGTAATTTGGCACTTCAGTGCATCTTAGTTAAAATTTAAATGTTCTGCCTAAAACTGGCAGTGTTGTGCCGTTGTCAGGTAAAAACTCTGCACTGTATTTGAATTTAAATCTGCCACCGCTATTGGCTAAGAGGTATGCTATGATGTAAACTGGTACATTATGATGTCACAATGCTGTGGTGAGCCTGTGTGTGTGCGTATTTGTTAGCGGCTCCGCCCTCTCTGTCTGCCAGGCAACAGCATTTGTTGCATTTTTTAAACATGAAGTGGGAGTAGAGTTAGACTCTGGTAGGGGGTGACTTGCTCTTTAAAGAGCAAGTCACCCCCTACCAAATTGGAGGCCTTGGGGTACCTCACAGAATAAATCGTTGGAATTTGGCACGATTTATTTATATAGACACTGAAACTTCTGCCAGACGGGTACGATCTGAACCAGTCAAGACTGTTAACTCAGGTCTCCTCTCCACCAGCATTTCCTGATCGCTAAAGCCCTTCGACCTAAACTGCCAGCGTTTCTCACCGTTTTTACTGTTTTTTTAAGAGTCACAGAACGTTGCGCGCTAGGATGATGTTGATGCCAAAACAACCAAAACAAAGAGGAGACTCACCGCTTACATCAGGAAGAATCTGCGCGTTTCGAGCGTTATCCGTTCTTTCATAATCCGTTGTTGAATTGTGATCGGCAGAAGCTTTTCCGGTTCGCGCCTCACTTTTTTTTACAGCAGCGGCCCAAAACGATCTCCTAACACATGGATGTTCTGCTTCCTGATCACGTGACGTGTGACGTACGCGGATGAAGATCGGCTTCAGAGCTGAGACGTTTGTTCTCATGGTGCGGGGGCTCGTTCCGACGCCCACACAGTACAAAAATACAAATGAATTAGTTAAGCAAATACTAATTCCTAAAACTTGGCAACACCATAGATTTCATAAAACTTTGATTACTCGCTGTGAAATTGGGTTAGAGTTATGGGATGGAGCTGGAAAAATCCTAGCCAGTTTTTCTGAGCTGGAATTTCTTAATAGTTGTGCCAAAATGCTGAACCAGTGACATTTAAATATTTTGTTCACTTATTTGTTATTTCAACACATTTGGTCTCTATTGTAAATGAATGCCTTGAGTCAATCTCAGTGGGGAAAACGCGCTAGCGCTCCTGTCTGGAAAAGTAGAAGGTAGCCAGGGGAAGAAACCAGCAGGATCATTATTAATCATGACATGTCCAGTTGTCCACATCTAATCAATTTCCCTCTGGGATTAATGAAGTATTTTTGAATTGAATTGAATCTAGCCTCTGATTGGCTAACAGAACTGCAACTCTTCCACTGCCTCTCTGCAACATTAAAGAGCAAGTCACCCCCTACCAGAGTCTAACTCCACTTTCATTTCCTGTTTGAAACATGCTCCACAAGGAGACGTTGCCTGGTAGATAGGGAGGGCGGAGCGCTAACAAATACACACACAGGCTTGCAATGGCATTGTGATGTCATAATGTACCAGCTGACATCATAGGGTACCTCTTAGCCAATAGTGATGGCAGATTTAAATTCAAATGTACTGCAGAGTTTTTACTTGAATAGGGCGCAACACTGACAGTTTTCGGCAGAATAATTAAATTTTAACTAAGATGCACTATAGGGCCAAATTATTGACTACTTGTGTCTACAGCACGATTAGACACTCATTTATATAGTTTATCAGCAAAAAAGAAGATTTGGGGGTGACTAGCTCTTTAATGTTTTATCTCCACAAATAACTCAAGCCTGAAATAGTTCTGCCATCTTCACTTTATTCATCGTCTGTTTCTTTTCTAGATTCTTATGCATTTACTCTGCATAGCAAACCTTAAAACCGCCAACAAATAAAATCATGGGAGATAACAAAAATTTAGCTACTCTGTAAATACATAATCAAGAAAAGAGTTCCACTCTATTGTGGAGATGCAAATGCTAGCAGTTAGCTTCTACTAGCAGAGACGTGCTCTGCTCTCTCCTGGCCCCCGAACCAACCAAGATTTCCCCGTCATGAGCCAAGATGGGTGAGTCCATCAATGTTTATTTTTAACGTGCGGTGGATCTGATTGGCTTTTCTAATCCAACATTCCTTGAGTATTTTCTATAAACGACTAATGCAGGAGATGGGGTAGAAGACTATTTTGACATTAAGCTTGCATGTGAAACTCAGAGTGACTGTTCGTATTTCAGAAAAAACAAGTAGAAAACGGTTTCTCAGTGAACCTACTAGCAAATACAAAAGACACATAGCCCTATTTTGACCTCGCTGTTTCTCCAAACTGAGGCTCTTCATCAGGTTTAATTTAAAACTTTACTAATTTTTCACCAGGCTCCATTAAAATGTCCCAGTTTGTGCATGTCTGAAGTATTTTCTGCTTTAATGTATCCGAGGAGGTCCTGAAAACACGCTTGTTACTTTTTGGTTGCTGTGTCACAGCTGGCACGAAAACTGTCGCATCGCTGCAGGTAATGACACATCTCACCTCTGTAAACAACTAAACGGGGTAAGAAACTCCCTCACAAAGCAGCAAAACCCTTTAGGACCAAGTTTCATTTGTACGAGTTTTTAAGCTCACCTCGAGCACAACGGTAGCCAGAGACGGCAGCTAGCTACATGCGGCTAACGAAAGTTAGAGGGAATTAAGCTAACTTTAGAGTTCATTTGACACACTTCAGTTCAGGAAGACGTGACAAGAAAAGAAAAACAAAGTGTTTTCAGGACAGAAGCAAAGACTACTGAGCGGGAAGCTTACCGTCATGATAACAGGATCCGGAGAGGTCAAATAAAGACAAAAACACAGTTTAATCCACGCGCGCGAGCTCTCAAAGAGTTAGCTAAAAAGTGCCTGGAGCAAAAAGCACCTTACTGTCTGCTCACGCACTTCACGCACATTAAGATAACCCCCGCCATTCATACTGGTTTCCAACTTCCGCCAGCGAGACCTTCCTGAGCGGCTTCTGTTTCTACTCTTACACAGAAAAAGGTGCGATTGAACCGCCAAAACGAACTCGAGCGCCGGAGAAGAAACGAGCGTGTAAAGTTTCTGATAAATTGCTCTTCTGCCTCGCTGCTCTTTCTCTGCCCTGTCTGCCACTTCCTGGGCGGATCCGCTCGGATCGTTTTTGAAGAAAACACGCAGATCTCAGCGCTGAAAGGTCCGGAGACCTCCATGAGGAACTGCTGCTCCATTCTAGGTGGAGAAGACCCCCAAACATGCACGCTACTACCGAATTACATCAGATCTGTTCAGGTGGTCCCATTCCTTCACTCTCCATTTCCGTCCCAAAACCCTGTGATCGGTTTCCCCTTTTTATTCAAACATGCAAAAACAAACTTGCCATCTTTTCCTGGCAGAATCAAGTCTTTTGAGCTTGGAAATGAAATGCCACTCCACCCCCTCTCTTCAAAATCCTCCAGCAGCTACTGGTTTCAGTTCAGGAATTTCAACACATGCCTCAGCAGCCCACAACCGACAAAAGCTCAGTCAAGTCTTATGAAATGACTGCAGGCTGTAGGTAAAGTCTAACAGACAGGCAGCAAACAGCTGCTTAAACAGGAATTCAAAACAAGCACAGAGATTTAAATGTAAACAATTTGGGACGTCAGAAAAGAACGGAGAGATCCCTGCAAACAGCTGTTGTTTATCATAATGATAATAATAAAAAGGAAGCAATACACTTCAGGATTACAACATGCATTTCAAATATGAATACTAACAGCAAGCCTAACCCTCCGTTCGGTTCAGAGATTGCTCCACTTAAACAGTAAGGAGGACGCAAATGCTTTCAACATACTGGCTGGGACAGCACCTACCTGCATCTGCTCTGATCTGTGATGATTACTTTTCCAAGAGCCGCCCTCGTCTGCTGTGGGACTGCCAGATCTCTGGATAAGCACAGCGTGAAGATAATCAATATCTGACAAACAGAGAAGACCTCCACACAGTTCCACCTTCATTGATTTTCTTTTTTTTACCAATCAGTGTGTGCAAGATGTGGTTAAGCATTAACACACAAAGCAGGTGGAAAAAACAGGGAGCAATGCATTCCTCTGTAGGGTTTCAACTTTGTTCCTTGCCCCATCTATACTGTAGCCTAATTACAGGATACATTTAATAAAACCATAATAAAACAGCTATCCAAACCAACCTGGACACATGTCAATAACAATCCCCCACTTCATTAGGCCATGAATTAGCTGTGATTAACCACATTATTTGGAATGTTCCACCAGCCACACTCAGACTGAACTAGTGGGCCAGTTTAAGGGCCAAACCACCAGGAAGTAAGTAAAATTTATTTATAGAGCTCCTTTCACAGATAAAGATATCACAAAGCTCTGTACAGCATGAATGAAACATTATACACAAAGAAAAGGCATCCAAATTAAGCTGTAATATAAAAATGGGGCAACAAGGGTCCCTTTATTAACTTTTCCAATATTGTTAAGTGTCTTTAAAGAGCAAGTCACCCGCAAATCAACTTATTTTTTCTGATAAACTATATAAATGCGTGTCTAATCGTGTTGCAGACACGTGAAGTCAATAGTTTTGTACTTTAGTGCATTTTAGTTAAAATTTTAATGTTCTGCATAAAACTGTCAGTGTTGTGCCGTTGTCAGGTAAAAACTCTGCACTGCATTTGAATTTAAATCTGCCATCGTTATTGGCTAAGAGGTACCCTAGAACGTTAGCTGGTACCATATGATGTCATAATGTCGTTGTGAGCCTGTCTGAGTGTATTTGTTAGCGGCTCCGCCCTCTCGGTCTGCTAGGCAACAGCATTTGTTGCATTTTTCAAACAGACGCAGAACAAGGGTGGCCAATTTGTCCAACTGGTGTCGTTTGAAGGACATGCACAGCTGAATATCATCATCATAGAAGTGAAATGTCTGGGGAAAACTGGATAATAGTAGCTAAAGGAAGGATGTAGGAAAATAATGGTCACAGAACTGAGCCTTGTGGGACCCCACAGGTTTTGGGGGTAGTGTCCGAGGAGATGGTTTCTGACCTTCACAGAGAAAGTTCTGTTTGGGGATAATGTTCTAAAGAGTGATCAGACAAAAGAAAAACTGTATGGAAGGTGTGTGTTCCATTCCACCTGGTGTAAAACTAATTCTATATTTCAGAAAAACATAAACACAACAGTCAAGCATGGTGGTGGTAGTGTGATGGTCTGGGGCTGTTTCAGGACCTGGACCACTTGCTGTAATTGATGGAACCATGAATTTTGCTCTCTTGCAGGAAATCCTGAAGGATAATGTCTGACCTAAACTGTAAGCAGGCCGTTCATGCTGGAAAACCCTGCAGTGTGGTTGAATTACAACACTTCCATGGAGTGTGATGTAAAAAAACTCTTTACTGGTTATCATTATGCTTAACAGAAGTTGTTGCTACCAAGGGTGTTACAACCTATTATTAGGTTTAAGGAGCAATTCATTTTTCACATAGAGCCAGGTTGGTTTGGAAAGCTATATTCCCAAAATTAATAATTATTTTGAATAATAATAAATAAAAAGTTATAATTTCAAAACTGCATTTAGTATTTGCTCAGGTCTCTTTCAGATATTATAATTGAGTTGCTAAAATGAAACCTTTAATGTGGCATAAAAGACATTTGTAGAGAGGACAAATGATTTTTAACAGCACTGAATATTGGTCTCAATCATTCTACCTGTAATGAGGTAGTGGATTGAGCTCGAGACAGGTACCCACTGCCCCCATTGTGCCATTCCTTCTCTGTATCCCAAGTATCATCCCAGTCCGTTGAGGGATGCCTGCTCAGGGAGTGGCTGAAACGACACAAGTTATCAGAGTATCCAATCAGGCGAAATCTGATGGTGTAGTGAAAGCATAGTTAAATACAGGTTGGTTCAAATACGTAGCAAACAAATAACACAAAAACAACTTGGTGAAGTGCAAGAACCAGCCCACCATTCTTTGTTTTTGTGTTGTGTCAGTCTGACCTGGCAGGTTTAAAGAGTTCCTGCCTCCGCATAGGCTGGTTGGTCAGTGGCCGCCCTGCGTGGCCTGGTTCTTCCACCTGATGGATCATTTTGATCTTCGGCAGGTCGGCCATCATGGCGTACTCCTCCTTGTTTCGTCCTGTTGATCCCACTGAGGTTCGACCCGACTCTGAGGACTCCAAGGAGCTCTGTGAAGAAGTGTGGCTTTGGATTTGAATTTGTGGTGGAGGAGAAGAGCTGCGTGCTCGATGGGAAGGCCTCTTGTCAAACTGAGCCAGTGGAGGACGGTTCTGTGCTTGATGGGAAGGCCTGTTGTCAGATGGAGGCAGAAAAGGGCTCTGTTTCCAGTGGGAAGGCCTCTTATCAAGTTGAGATGAAGGAGAGGGACTTTGTGTACGGTGAGAGGACCTCCTGTCAATCTGAGGTGAAGGAGAGGGACTTCGTATACGGTGAGGGAACCTCCTGTCAGTCTGAGGCGAAGGAGAGGGACTTCGTGTACGGTGAGGGAACCTCCCGTCAGTCTGAGGTGAAGGAGAGGGACTTCGTGTACGGTGAGGGAACCTCCCGTCAGTCTGAGGCGAAGGAGAGGGACTTCGTGTACGGTGAGGGAACCTCCTGTCAGTCTGAGGCGAAGGAGAAGGGCTTTGTGCACGGACGGAGGGGTTGTTTTTAGGAGCAGGGTGGCAATCCTCTTCTCTGTACATGCCATGTGCAGATCTGATGCTACTAGAATTTCTTGTTGTTTCCAAAGTGACATGAGCAGTTCGGTTGCCAATCGTTGATTGTTTTGAAGTGGACCAAGATAAGGAGGAACAAAGTTGGGAATGAGTAGAGCCTTGACGTGTGTGTGGTGAGCTACTTGAGTTTGATTTGGTTTCAATAGCAGAATTTTTTCTCTGAAATGAATAACTGGAGTCCCCATTGGTGGCACTTTGGAGCAATGAATACCCTGGTGGGTCATTATTGCCTTTTCGAGAAGGAGAGTAGCTGCTGATGCTTTGGTTCCTGCTGCTTAGGGAGCTACCAGTTTTTATATTAGTAGATGTGCGTTGGTCAGAAGCATCATAGGTTTTCCTTAGACTTGAGGCACTGTAGCTGTCATGGCTTCTGACAGAGCTGTTAACTTTAGACTTGTGAAGCAAAGATTGAGAAGGTGCTTCATAGTTTCTCCTGGAAGGTGAAGAGTTGCGTGTTTTATGCCCATAACCATTTACTGAACCACCACTGAGGTCTCTACTCCTAAGCTGATGCTGTTTGAGGGTCTCATGGCCCCTTCTTCCTGGAGAGGACGAACAGCTGCCCCAATCTCGACTGCTACCAACAGTGTTTGATTCAGTTTTGCGAAGTATGGATGGTCTCTGTCTATCATTGCCTTGTCTAGACAGAGGCATGGTGGGTTCTTCAACTTGTCCATATTCTTGATCATTCAGTCCATTTCTACACAACTGGTTACGCAACTCAGTCTGACCTTCAATACTATATCCTTCTCTAATTGGAGAACCACAGCGTCCATGGTGGCTATGTTCATTTAGAGACATGGCTGATTCAGATTTACGAAGGAGGTTTCTGCTAAAATTCCTACTTGGTAGTGAAGAAAAGTGACTGTCACGCATACGTTCAGAGGTTCTTCTAGATGGAGAGGAAGCCCGACTGCTGCCTCCGTGGCCTTGAGATAAACTAGTGATGCCTTCAGTATTACGAGGAATTTGAAATGAAGAATTATGATCCCTCCTTGGAGGAGATGAGCTTCTAACATCAGAACCCCGTCCACTTGAAGAACTGTTAACTTCGTTTTTCCGCAAAGCACCTCTAAAATCAGAAACTGTGTTGGACTGGGATTTGACTGAACTTGCAAGTGATTTGAAGTTTCTTGGCAGAGTTCCTGACTCAAAACCTTGACCCTGTTTGTTTTGCAAGGGGCTTATTGGCCTTGTCCCCTGAGATCGTCCTGCACCGTCAAAGCTTTGCCCACCGAGAAGGCTACTGGACTCACTCCGTCTCATTAGTAGGTTTCCACGTGATGGGGAAGAGGAGCGAGATGGCAGAGCTGAGCTTTGCCTCGAGGACTCATATCGTCCGGACTGTTGATAAATTTGAGATGATGGATTTCCTCGACTTAAACCCTTACGGCCACCTGAGGCCAGTGACTCTGCTATTTTAAAGGGAGTGGGACTGGGAGATCGTGGTCCAACTTGGGCCTCAACTTCAACTGCAACATCGTAAGGGTCAGGGGGAGGGATTTCTATATGTAGATCGTCGTTGTAAACCTCTGGTATGAGCCTGTCAGAGGCCACACCAAGATTAGGGTTTCTGAAGGGGATGATGTCTTTAGGCTCAACGTTTCTGTTACTGAAGATGGGATGGCCTCTTTCAAAATGTCGAAAAGGAGAAGGTGGGGTTTTTTCAGTTAGTGAACGAGCACCCGCCGCCCTTCCCAGGGAGTAGTAGCCACTTTCGCGCTTGTCTCTGTCTTCTTTTAACCCTGGAAGAAGAACAATATTTAAAAAGGAAGACCTTTAAGGGATCGTAAAGAAGAAGAAGAAGTAAAGAAGGATGAACACATCAAAGTTCAGGTTTCCCGACACAAACAAACTGATATTGTATTACTGATAATTGCTTTTTGACACCTCAGCTGGTGACTTCAAATAGTATTGCCAAGAAAAGGACACCTCTCTCTGTAACTGGATATAGTTTGGTCAAGTGCAGTAAGTCACTGGTTTAACGAGGACCGAGTTAACTCCTGCACAGGATATCTTGTACATTATGTTTGAAAAAGACATCGTCCAGCCACTACTTGTTTTCGAAAGTTTATTTCAAGTCTGTTATATTTTCACTGTTAAGAAATTCCACAGCATATCTCCAAGGTCTGTTTGAATGTACCTGACCGCCCGGTGAAGCTACCGCTGCTCCGAGAATCTTCCATCCAGGTCAGCGAGTTGGGTCGATGAGGTGGAGGGTCGAGCCTTGTCATGCTGGGTTTGGCAGGATGGCGGCGAATTGGCAAATATTCCTCCTCTCCACTAACAGAGGTGTTGAACCCGTCGCTTTGTTCACGACAGCTATGAGGAAGAGGAGACAGAAGAATGACCAGAGTGAAGATGACACAGTGAGAGTAGTAGTGTAGAGAGCCAAAGAGAGAAGAAGTGGCTATGCAACGCTAAAAGCTTTAGCCTTTACCTGTCTGTGCTGTAGTCGTCGTCGCCGTCACAAATGTAGAGCTCACAGTCGGGGCTCAGGATGCAAAAAGAGCTCTCAACGTGACCTCCGTTGACATCACAGTAGCTACTCACCACAGAGAAACCATCAGACTCTTCCTGATTGGGTGACAGTGGGAAGACAGAGGCCAATCACAATGCTGCAGGAAAGCCCATCTCTCTCCAAGTTACCAGGATGTCACTATTGAGAGAAGCTATGCCCCCAAGCAAAGGTCAAACAACCAATGTGATGGAATGGGCAGGCCAGCTTTTCAGCCTTAGTGACCATGGCCGCCTCTGCCCGACTCCATCCTCTAGAGTTGGACGGGTAGCATTCGTCCACTCACATTCTCATTCTGCCGTTCGATTAGGGTTACACCTCTGTAACGCGACCTGCCTTGTGGCTTTCCTTCATTATTATTTCATCACTACATTTTTTGTCTTTCGTCAAACCTTTTTCTCAAACTACGCATTTAAAAAAGATCCCAAACCATTTGCGTTTGTCCGAAGGAGGCATCGGTTGGAATTCTAGCTCTGGAAGACCTCCTGCTCACCTGAATGTTTAGAAACATTAAACACGAGTAATAAAACAGCAGTTATGTTACAAAAGTAGAACGACCAGTAGTCTTTGCTGTATTCATTGTTTTATTTCTTCAAATTGTGTCCTTCTCTAAAGAGACAGGTAATTCCTAGGAAGGCGGTAAGTGATCCAGCTTCATTCATTTATAATAGGAAGCACTACTGCTGCCTTGCTTCGTGCTGTTACCTCACACCTTCTCTTAATTCACCCAAAAGCAGCAAACTCATCAACAATCCCACTACCTGGGCTTTAAACTCGCTTTAATCCTGTCACGTGACGCTCAAGTAAACACTTTGGGGTCACATAAAAGCCATCCTAAATAGATTAGTTAGAAACTCTGAGAACAAATATAAGCAGTCCAACATTATTTCATTTAATCTGGCGTCACCCCTCATCCTGCTGGTTTACTGCTTTCACCTCTGACCGGTACTGGTCTCACCTGCCAGACTTTACTCTAATCCAGCTTATCCCGTCAGTCAGTCCTCGTGGGTTCTCACACGGTCACTCTAATCCTGGTTACCTAAACTCGTCTCGATTTTCTTACCTTGCTGGCACTGGCGTTGCGGTCTTCTGCCTGGGATGGGATTGGCGTTAACAGAACTCCTCTACCTGATCCAAACCCACTTCCAGTCCCTGCGTCAGTCCCAGTTTTAGCTCCGCTTTCTGGCTCAGGTAGAGATTTCTGTGGAGGGACCGTGTCGCTTTCCTCGCCTGAGCTGGTGTGCAGGTGCCTCTGGCGGAGGCAGTCATGGCAGCGGGAGGGGTCAAAGATATTGGGCTGGAACTTGGGACAGACGGGCTCATCGGTGCAGAGGGACATGATGAACCCAGCTCCACTGGGATGTCTGACACCATGGGAGCAAAGCACCAAAACAAAATCGTGAAGATACAAGAAAAATGAAGGATTTAATCAAACTTTCAATGATAAAACATTTCCATGAGTGTGTTCCTAAACAACTTTACACATGCAATGATGAGATGGAGCAAAACTGCAACTTCTAGATGAGTGTGCAGGCGAGAGCTCATGTTTCATGCAGAGATCTACAAAAACACAGCCTGTAAGAGTAAAAAGTGTGGTTTAAAAATAAACAAAGGTAGAAAACACAAGTTACCGGACAAGGGGGGCTCCAGGAGGGATGATGAGCTGCTCTCAGACCCCCATCAGACTCACGCCGCCTCCTCCTCCTGCTCTCTGGCAACAGATGCATTGATCTAATTGGCTGCTGTCAGAGCCACTGAAACTGAAGTGTCTATGACAGCCATGGTGGCTCTTGGTTAACAAAACCCAGAACCAGCATGGAGCCGATTATTGGGCGCTTGTATTAAATATGAGCTTTAGAAAGCGAAGCGAAACGCTCTGGCTGCCGACAGCTGGCACACGCCGGCTCAGGTTGGCGTAAATAAGTAAAGGCGGCTGCTCTGAGGGGAGTTGAAGAAGAAAAGATCTTTTCTATAGCGCCTCTCAAGATAAAAATCACGAGGCTCTTCACAAAAACAAAAAATATAAAAATATAAAAAAGAAAGGCTGCGCTGTGGCGCAGTGGTTAGAGCTGTTGCCTTGCAGCAAGAAGGTCCTGGGTTCAATTCCCGGCCTGGGATCTTTCTGCATGGAGTTTGCATGTTCTCCCTGTGCATGCGTGGGTTCTCTCTGGGCGCTCCGGCTTCCTCCCACAGTCCAAAAACATGACTGTTAGGTTAACTGGTCTGTCTAAACTGTCCTTAAGTGTGTGTGTGATTGTTTGTCCTGTGTGTCTCTGTGTTGCCCTGCCATGGACTGGCTCTCTGTCCAGGGTGTACCCCGCCTGATTGCCCATATAGGCACCAGCCCCCCAGTGACTCTACGTGGACAAGCGGGTTCAGAAAATGGATGAATGGATATAAAAAAGAATTTAGAAAATATTTTAAAATATATTTAAAATGAGCAAAAATAGACAATTGGGATTAAAAAATGTAAAGAAAGCGAGAGAGTGAATAGGAAAGGATCCTGAGGAAGGTGGAACAGGTAGAGAGAGCAGAACAAGGAGAGGGTGATGTTTAAAGGAGACCACTGAGTCCACTGATCTCAGGCTCAGGGGGAGAGAGTTCCAGAGTCTGGGGGCCACAGCAGCAAATGATCTGTCACCTTTGGTCTTTAGCCTGGTGCTGCACAACCAGTAGGCTTTGGTCACTGGACCTCAGGGACCTGCTGGGGGTGTAGGGACTACAAAGATCACCAATGTAAGATGGTGCTTGTCCATGTATGTAAATAAGTAAAGGCGGCTGCTTATAGGGGAGTTTACATGCGTGACAGCCACCGGCTGCACAGGTTGACCCAGCACGCACACACACACACGCGCACACACAGGTAATGCTGAGCTGTAAGGAAACAGAGCTAAAGGGTTTGTTTCCTGATGGGTAGAGGATGTGGACGGCAACAATAGAGTGAGAACAAAATTCCAAACAGAAAAACCTCCATCAGATGTCGTTATTGAACATTTCCTTTTAATCAAAATCTAAATATAAACAGGGATGTTTGTGTAATATTTACAACAAAAACTACTGGAAAACGTCTCCCAAATGTGGTCGTAATAATTGAAACAACTGATTGAAAAACAACAAAAAGGCCCAAAAAAAGATGAAAACATGATTTTACAGACTTGTCAGCATTTAGACTTCCTGCTCAAACACGGGAGCTAAAATGGACACAGAGTCTCTCCGTGAGTCAAACTCGACATCAGATTTGTGCGTTCTCAGTCCTGATGCGGCATCTTCCTCCCCGTCTGCCGGCGTCTCTGACACTTGCCGGTCCTCCCTCTTCGGTGTTTACTCTCTGGTCCCGCTGCCTGCCTGTCTGTCGGACGGCCTCGTTTGCCTTCCTGCTTCCCTTTCCTTTTCCGTTTGCTGGTGAAGGTGCTGAGCGCTGCCGTGAGGGAGCGGATCCTGCAGCAGAGCGGAAATAATACAGCCAGACTGAGAGCGGGCAGGTAGACGGATTGAAAAACAACACTTGAACGTGACCCTGGTGCTGGTTCAGAGCTAGTAAAGGGACCATTTTGAAGCATTCCTATGTGAAGGGTTAAATAATTGCATTCTTTACTTGTTGCAAATAGCTTCCTGAGCAGCCTCTGTTTGGAGAAATGGAGTTTTGTGGATTTGGAGAAGGCTTATGACCGTGTCCCCAGGGGCACCCTGTGGGGGACGCTCCAGGAGTATGGGGTGGGTGGCTTTCTGTTAAGGGCCATTCAGTCCCTTCACCAGAGGAGCGTGAGTTTGGTCCGCATAGCCGTTAGCAAGTCGGACCTGTTCCCGGTGAGGGTTGGACTCCGCCAGGGCTGCCCTTTGTCACCGGTTCTGTTCATCACTTTTATGGACAGAATTTCTAGACGCAGCCGTGGTGTGGAGTGTGTCGAGTTTGGTGGCAGGAGAATCTCGTCTCTGCTTTTTGCGGATGATGTGGTCCTCCTAGCTTCATCCAGCTCTGACCTTCAGCTCTTGCTGGGTAGGTTCGCGGCCAAGTGTGAAGCGGCTGGGATGAGGATCAGCACCTCCAAATCTGAGACCATGGTTCTCAACCGGAAAAGGGTGGCTTGCCAACTCCGGGTCGGGGGAGAGTTCCTACCTCAAGTGGAGGAGTTTAAGTATCTCGGGGTCTTGTTCACGAGTGAGGGTAGGAGGGATCGGGAGATCGACAGGCGGATTGGCTCGGCGTCTGCAGTGATGCGGACGCTGAGCCGATCCAGGCTCTCGATTTACCGGTCGATCTACGTCCCAATCCTCACCTATGGTCATGAGCTTTGGGTAATGACCGAAAGAACGAGATCGCGGATACAAGCGGCCCAAATGAGTTTCCTCCGTAGGGTGGCCGGGCTCAGCCTTAGAGATAGGGTGAGGAGCTCGGACGTTCGGGAGGGACTCGGAGTAGAACCGCTGCTCCTCCGGATCGAAAAGAGCCAGTTGAGGTGGTTTGGGCATCTGGTCAGGATGCCTCCTGGACGCCTCCCTGGGGAGGTGTTTCGGGCATGTCCTGCCGGCAGGAGGCCCCCGGGTCGACCCAGGACACGTTGGAGAGGTTACATCTCCAATCTGGTCCGGGAACGCCTTGGGGTCCTGCCGGAGGAGCTGGTGGAGGTGGCCGGGGAGAGGACGGTCTGGAGCTCCCTAGTTGGGATGCTGCCCCCGCGACCCGGACCCGGACAAGCGGAGGAAGACGACGACGATGAGTTTACAGCCTTTAGGACTGATGTGCTAACAGCTAGTCTGAATGTAGCCAATATCAAAGTGTTGCTGCTGTCTTAAAACAGCTCCAGGCTTCAATATCTCAAGAGTTTCATATGATTTTAATCTTTAAACGTCTTAAATGCAGCGAGTATATTTTATCTGTGAGCATCAATATCACCAGAAGGCTAAATGTAGAACTTCTGTTGCATTCAAGGGTCGTCTGGCAGGAATGTATTCATATTTAAGCCAAAATAAAAGTGTAACGCTAAACTGGTGGAAGTGTAAAGGTTTATGAAGCAGTGCTCGGATAAAACATGAAAATTTTAAGATTTCAGCTGTTTTAAGACAGAAAGAACACAATTTGTTCTAACTAGCCTTTAGCTCATCAACCCTAAAGGGTGTAACCTCCATGTCTCCTAAGTGAGGTCAATCAGGAAACTATGAAAGGTAAGATGGAAACAGAAACTCGCCTTAAAGCAGCTGAAATATTAATTTTAGAACCAAAATAGATGAACTCAGATTAGACGTTCCCATTCCGAGCCCCAGACTCCATTTTGTTTGGCTTCCTTTTACAGAATGCCACATATTCTGACGTGTCAAGTGTCCATCGGCGGGGAAAAGGGTTTTCATAGGGCTCCTTGTTATCTATCAAATGTTTTTCCAAAACGAGTAGAAGTAACCGAAGCTCCTGAGTGAAGCTTACTTTTTGTTGACGATGGGATCTCGGGCTTTTTTCGGCATCGTGTGGGTTTGTTCTTCCTCTTCTTCCTCCATGCTGCCATCCTCGCTCTGCTCGTCGGCCTTGAAGTCAGACACAAGTCGCGATAAACCTCAGGGCCGCCATTCACAAACACCTTTTAGGTAGATCCAAATTCTTACACAGTTTGCTACAGGTCCGAGCAGGTGTGTCCCCGAGAGGTCAAGGTCACTTATGGTTGTCACGGTAACAGTGTGGTTTGGGTGATCGTACTGGATAGATTCAGTTTTACTGATTACTGCATTCTCCAGGTCATCTTCAGCTTCCTCTGTGGGATAGAAACTCAGATGTAAAGAAAAATAAAATAAAAAATTAACAGTTTGGTGATTTCCTGAACTCACCAAGAGCTTCTCTCCTCTCCTTCAGCATCTTCACGTACTCTTTATGTCGCTGAAAACACACCAGGAGATTTGGGACTCACTCTGGAGGTCAGCCATGACACATTAAAGGGACTTTACGGAGTTTTGAATTTTTATGCTCGCGATTGCCCCCTCGGGCCAAAAGCGTAACGGCAGCTTCAATAGTAGGCTCGTGCACGAGGCGCGCATGCTGTACGTGCACACTCTTTAACGAAAATAACAGCTGAGACAGTCCCTTGTGTGTGTGTGTGGGGGGGGGGAGAGAGGACAGGAGAACGTGCAGCTATTTAATTAAATAATTTGGTTCTGTACCTTTCTCTTCAGCACAGCCGACAAAGGTTAAGATGGGTCAGTCCTCCTGCATGCTCAGATCATTCCCTTCCCTTGCTTGAAAAATTGTTCCAAAATGAAAGTTGAACCCACATCTTTTTTATCTGTGAATTCAATGCCGTTCGGCGAGTCTCAAATAAAAATTTGGGCATTTTACTGTAAAAAAAATATACCATTAATGTAAAAAATAAACGATGTTCACACCCAGAATCGAACACCCCGGGTCTTCTGCACGAGAGTCCGACGTCTTACTAGGTGAGCTATAGCACCAGTGACGTCTTCTGTATCTGTAACATTTATATCCTTGATGACAGCTGAAACAACGTTCAAAGAATTGTTCGGAGCGAAAATGGCTATTTTATTGCTAATTTGCAGGAAATATCTAGAAGAAAGTTCTACAGAAAGTTGCTAAGGGTCCTCAGAAATGTAGCTAGCTTTGTCACTAGGCGTTAGGGACAGCCACAAAGTGGCACTGCCTCACTCTCTGCTGCTAAGTGTCTGAATTGTGTGCACTGAAACTCAATTTCATTTCTCTGTATGTCCTGCACATGTGGTAGAAATAACAATAAAAACGACTTTGACTAAAGCTACGGATAGCAAATGCTACGGGCGATGCCTGAGCGTGAACGCGCATGAAGCAGCCTGCTCGACCCAAGCATCTCTCTTTTTCTGTGATTTTACAGAAAAACAGGCAATCACAGTAAAACTGCCAGGGCTCATTCTACAGGACCAGGGCATTGCAGGAGAATGTATGAAGAGGACATTTATTATTTCTATACATGTTTTGGCTGTCAAACTTCCATAATGCCCCTTTAAAGCCACGACACTCACCTCCTCTCTCACTCTGCTTTGCTCTTCCTTGATTTTTCTTTTGATTTCCTCCACTGCTGCTTTCCTTCTTTCCACCTTCCGCTTATGGAAGCCAGTGAGATATTCCCTGACAGGAGATGGGAGGAGATATTAAACCATCGCTTGTTTATGTCTCTGAGGCATTTAAACACACACACGTAATAATTATAGACATCTCCCATCAGTATTTATTGTATAGCTTCAGTTTTAATAAACGAAAACTCACATTATCGTTGCTAAAACGATGCTAGCCTTCCAGTATGTACATTTGAGACATTAGCTGTAAATATCTTAAACTTGTTGCCTTACATTAATAACAGTAAACAAATAAATATGTCAACATTTCTCCAAAACAACAATCGTTCCAATATCATGCTAGGCTAATGCTAAATCGCTAACAGCTTCAAAATGGTGAAGACGTTGCGATCGGCTTACTGTCGGTCATCTTCGTTAAAGTTTATGACGCATTTGTTTTCTCTCTTCTTGAATCCCGGCTTAAACTTCTTCCTTTGGGATTCATTTTTGTTATTTTTATCGTTTTTCATGTTGTACACGTGAATCCAGAGTTAACAGCGTCCGTCATTTAATGTGGTCCGACAAGGAATACGTGTCTGAAGAAAGGTTCCGCTCAACCGGGACAGAAACGCCTTATTTAAAGAGCAAGTCACCCCCAAATCAACACCCCCCCCCCACCCCCCACCCACCCCCCCCCCGATAATCTATATAAACGTGTGTCTAAACGTGCTATAGACATGTACAGTCAATAATTTGGCACTTTAGTGCATTTTAGTTAAAATTTAAATATTCAGCTTAAAACGATCAGTGTTGTGTAGTTGTCAGGTAAAAACCTGCACTACATTTGAATTTAAATCTGCTATCGCTATTGGCTAAGAGGTACACTATGACGTTAGCTGGGACATTATGATGTCACAATTTCGTTGTGAGCCTGCATGTGTGTGTTTTTGTTAGTGGCTCCATCCTCTCAGTCTGCTAGGCAACAGCATTTACGGCATTTTTCAAACAGGAAGTGGAAGAGGAGTAAGACTCTGCTAGGGGGTGACTTGCTCTTTAAGTCATCCCAGAGCAGGTGAAGATGTTGGTAAAAATCTAATGTTGAATTTAATGTGATGCTCGAGCACCAATATGTCTACCTTCACACCTAGATTTTGTTTATTTCTATGCACTCAGCTACTGATTTTTTTTCTCATATAACCCCTAGATTTACCAGTCATACCAATTTGTACAATAACGAAAACTTGATAAAATTTAGAATTACAAATAAACTATGACAAAATCAGTTCATCTTAGTGCTTACTAGCATCAATGTCTTCATGTACGCCATTATTGGATTTAGAGGGGTTGGAGACCAACGGAACTTTAAGACAGAGAGGAAATTATCTCTGTCTGGCCCCAAAACAAGTTCTTATCTGAATCTGGTGCCTTTGAGCCTGAGGCTGACGTGATTACTCCCCCTCAGAAGAAATGTGGAATGCTGTCATCGCCATGGCAACTCTTGTCTCCCTATCCCAGCCTGGGCGGGACTGCGACTGGTGAAGGCTGTTGAATCGTTTCCAGGAGTCACTGTGCTTTCTAAACCAATTACCTCCCTCCCCTGTCCAAACGGAGGTGACGAGCGCTGCTTATCGTGGCTGCATGCACTGACGTGTGGAGAGTCCCCAACCCTACCTCCCCACCTAGTGGACACTTATGTTGTGTAATGTCTGAAGTCTGCTGCATTTCTTTCTGAGGTGTTTTTGCATGCCTATGTATGTATGTCTGATCTCAGAATTGTGTGTACTGAAACTCTAATTTCCCTCTGGGATTAATAAAGTATCTTTGAATTGAACTGAATATAACGTGTGGCTGAGGTCAAACCACAAAACTTAGGAGTGGCTCTAATATTAAGACTATTGAAACATTTCAACATCCACTTAAACACACAGGGCACACCGTTGTTTTTTTTTAATTAGAAAACATTAAAAGAAGCACATCATTCCAACAATAAACAAGCTGAGGGGAGACAACAAACAAAAAAAAAATGAAAGGTAACATTTACAACTATGCAATGGCTGCTGATGCACGGCTGACTTTTACCAATCAGGGAAACGGAAACTGATAAACGTAATGTTAGTGCAGAAACATTTGAGTTAAAGGCCAAGTCCCGGTTTCCTCTTATCTTGTTTGTGTGCGAGTAAATTTTACATTCCTACACATTTTGACCAAAAACAAAACAAAATGTTTTTTCTACTAATGTCCTGAACCGTAAGTCTCCGGTCTTTTGCTGCTGCTGCTAATAAAAACAAAACTGGCCCCTCAAAAGCATTCAGCTCACATTAAATAAGAGAAAAGACAAAAGTGCTGCGTCGTGACTAATAATGACAAATAAAAAGCAACCCCCCCCCCCCATTATTCCAACCTGATAAAAATATTTTCTACCGAACACAAAAGGTTTACGTCTCCTCCAGGAGCTCGCCGCTGAGCCACAAATGTCTGTGGCGCTGCTTCAGATTTTCAAAGGCAGAAAACCATTTTTGCACGTTGCCACGGTAACCGACCACAGCAGCTGTAAAGGCCTCCGTATGAGGAAAACTCAAGGATTCAAACGGTTTGGTGGAGTGGAACTCAGACCTCTGAATCACGTCTCGGCCAACCACTTCCTGTTTACCTGCTTATGCACATTTTATTTACACAATCACAACATGCACCTGTACCTGTGAGCGACGACGGGGTTTTAAAACTTCATAAACTAAGGCTGCTTCCCTCTGAAGTTTAAGAGATTCTCCTGATTTGATATAAAAAGCTCTGATAATCTGAATTCACTTCCCCGGGCTGAGGCGTGTTTGGGGTTTCCTAGTTGCTTCCCGGTACAACTCTTAACATTGTACGGCGTTTGAGGTAGATGAGAGCCACCAGCCAGCGTAGCAGTTAAACCAGCTGATGTGTGCGTCCTACAGCACACACTCAGCACAGTGGAGCCCGTAAATGAACTGAAGGCGTTCCTAATTAATGCAGAGCTCACGCTGCATCAGACAGCTTTGTCTCCTGCAGCGAACGACCGAACTGCTGCAGATAATGGTCCCTTTGGACTTTTATAACCCTGTTAGCATCATTTACGTCTTTGTCTTTAAAAAACTACATTTGTGGTCCTAATACACGTTTTATTTTAATTTTTGGATGAATGAGCTGGATAAGGTACTCGTTAGACAGACGGTAGTACTACCAACGGCCACACGGTGGAGCTGTAGCGAATGAGCTAACATTTTCTAAATGCTTTTTTGTATTTTTACATTTTTTTTGTTTTTGTGAAGCGCCTCGTGATTTTCATCTTGAGAGGCGCTATAGAAATGATATTTTCTTTCTTCTTCTTCGAACACTGGGTTCTGCTGGGTTTGGGATCTTGAAGTCTCGTGGTCAGTCTGAACGGCAGTTGTAACGTTGCGGGTCGCCCGGTTTCTAGAAGTCGTCGCTCAGGAAGCAGCGATGGTGGTGCCGCCGCTGAGGCGCAGCAGGATCTGCTGACAGTCCTGCAGGGAGCGGCGGTCTCCCACCCGCTCCAGGGTCCGTTTGGCCTCGGCCAGCAGGCGGGCTCGGTGACCCGGCGGGGTGAGCAGGGGCATGGGCAGGTGGCGGCAGGCGAGAAGAATGGCGTGGGCCCTCTCCCTCTCACCCACAACACACTCGCCCTCTGATGGTGGCAGGAGGGAGAGAGAAGAAACAGGAAGTTGAGGATTAATAGTCAGCCTCCCTAAAGGCAGCCATGTTGCTCCTCAAACGAAGCAGAGTAGCAGATTGTGACCCAGCGCTGAAGGGGTCTGATTTAAGTGGCTCTACGTACCGGCCGAGTAGGGGCTGTGGGTCCTGCGCCGCAGGTTGTGCTCCAACAGCTGGTGAGTCCTCGTTGGACTGGCTCCGGCCATCAGCCGCACCGTGGTCTCATGGAGGAAAACCTGGGGGGTGGGGGCGTGGTTAGAGGCATTATCCACACCTTTCAGGTCAACGATTTTAACCGAGACGTGGAGGAACGACGGAGTTGGAACTGGAAGTAAAACGGGGCCAAACAGGAAGGAAGTACCAGGATGTACCTTGTGTTGGGCCTGTCTGTAGCACTGTGTGAGCTTCCTGAGCGCGCTCAGGTCCCTCTGGAAGCCAGCCAACTGGGATCCAGGAGCCGGGCCGGGCTCCCCGTTACTGCTGCCTCCTCGCTGCCACAAACTGGTCCTTAACGTCAGCAGCAGGTCGCACACGAGAAGCTCCACCCCCTTGGAAGGTTAAAAAGCAAACAACTGTTTCTATATTACCAAATCATGTTGTGATTTACCAAAGTACTGAAGAAGTCAAATTTGCACTAGCAGGAAGGAGCCCAGCACGCCAGAAGTCCACCCCCCCCCACCCCCGCAAGTGAGGTGGCATGGAGCGGGTGCGTGCAGATCACAGAGGCCTCTGTATTGCACTGCAGACACATTGCACTCAGGTTCAGGATCATGCAATGCAACTACAATGCACCACAGCCGCCTCCTTCCACCCACCCCCCCACCAACATGCAGCGACCCGAGACGCGTGCATCAGAAACACGGAGGTGAAGCCCTCAACCCAGACTCAGGTTTTAGGAAGAGCAGATCCGCGTTTGCAGGTTCGGTGAGGACGTTTGTTTGGACCCTGACCTTGTTGAGCAGGTTTCCCGACTGAGAAAGAGGCACAGAGACGCTGGAGCGCAGGTAGCTGCTGGCTCTGTCACAGTGGGACAAGCAGGAGACCACCGCCTCTCCTTTCAGAGGGGACAGGCTCATCTGGACCACCTTAGAGAGGAGAAGCACGGCTTTGGGTAGACGGTGGCTGAAACGGAGAGGGAGGAGATCGTTACGATTATTGTTTATTAAAGATGCTTCAGTGTTTGTGCAGCTCTGACTTAGGGGTTGGAAATAAGTCAGAAATAACCTTTAATCTGCTCATTTAGCTTTAAGGACCAAGTTCACTCATTTTATTCAACACATCTGCAGTGGAAGTGTATGAATGACTCGTGTGCGGATGTCCGTGGAAAAAAAGCTCTTGCGCTCCTGTTTCAGGGAGTAAGAGTTAGTTGTTGGGTATTATTAATGATAATCGGACATCTCACCCGTCCCCCACTCTACTCTCCACTCCTTGTTCACTTCATGACTCATTATGCTGCCTCACGGCCACCGAGGACTGACTGATTGGAGTTTTGTTGTTAGCCTCAAGGGCAACCTGCTGGCTGTAGGTCACTCTGGACAAAAGCATCCTCCAAATACACAAACATAAGTAAAAAAAAAAAGGTTTCTCAGTGAACTTGGTCTTTAAAAATAATTTTGACCAAACTTTAGGTGAAAATGTGCTTTAACTAGATAAATTGCATTTCTTGCAGAAATGCTGTTTGAATGCTGGATAGCTTAAACTGTTAGCTGAATCAGCTTAATAGCTGAACTGAAGCTGAAAGTATGCAAAACTGTCAAAATGAGCTGAGTGTGTTGAAAGATGTAGAAGCAAAAATCACTAATGAGCAAATAAAGCACAAAAAGTATGATCGGACAATCGAGGAGGAAAGTGCGGAGGAGAGGCCGCCGCGCGTTTCATAAATCAGCCTTTTGACTGTTCGCGTACACGTTCTAAATTTCAGTCGTAGGAGAGAATCAAATGTTTAACGCAAATGATAATATCTACATTTGATTACTACATTCCTCCATAGTTTACTTCAGCGCACTTACTCGAGAATGTGCAAAGCTCTCGGCATTCGCTCGGCTTCTGCCAACAGCGTCCTGACTGTGGCGTCGTCCCCCTGCAGCCAGAGAACCGCAGCCTTCAGAACCAGAGCCCACCAGCGACTCACCGGGTCTCGCACTGGACACAAGAACACCAGGAAAACTTTAGGCATCGTTTAGTCCTTAGCCCCGCCCCCGAACGTCACACACTGAGTTTTTCTGCGAGAAAACAAACTGAATCGCATGAAAAAAAAAAAAAAACACAAACAGATTTGTGCCGGAAGACTAAAACACGAGAGTTCTGAGAAACAGGAACTCTGTCTTCCTGGGACTGAACAACAAACGGGTGGTGTTCAAACCTGAGACGGTGGTGTGACTGGGAGGAGTCGGGAAGGGGGGAGGAGGGGAAGGAGAGTCCTCAGTGCAGCTGTTCAACAGCTCGAGGAACTCCAGGGCGTTGGAAAATTCCCTGGAAAAAGAGCGAGACGGTTATTTGTACGGAGGAGGACGCGAGTGAAGAACCAGAGCACCTGGATGGCGACTCACCCACAGCTGTTCTTGCCGCCATCAGAGTCGCTCTGCGGCTGGATGAGCGTGTGAACGGCTCTCTCCAGGAGCTTCCTGCAGAAACATCGGTGCAGCTGGGCGATGGGGTCAGCTGGGGACAAACACAAAGCGTCGACTTCATTCAAATCACAAAACAAAAACCGAACCAAACAGGAAGAAACAAACCTGCGTCTCTCTGAGAGGTGTACACTTCGTCGCCGCTGTCGGACTTCACCGACCAATCACAGCTCAGGAAGAACTGCCTACCCAGCGGTGTGAAGAGCCAGCGGAGGCAGTCGGGGATCTGCTTGGTCTCGGTCTGGTTGGCCACGCCCTCTGCGCAGCCCAGAAGGTAACCCTGGAGACAAACAGGAAGTGAGTCAAAGCTGCAGAAGCAAATGCGAGGATGCCTTTGGTCTGGAGGCGGGAAGCAGACACGTACAGGTAGACAGGACAGGTGGTGGCCCAGGACGGAGCGCAGGGCCGTCGCTGCAGTCACGTACATCTGAGCCAGCTGAGTTGGCGCCATCTTGCCCTGAGCGCTCTCACTGAGGTTGACGGCGTTCAGAGACAGAGACAGCGCCCACCAGCTGCTGCGCTGAGGCAGCTTCCCTGCAGAAACACGTTTAGGGTGGTGTGAGTACGAGGGAAGCCCTGAGCTGACTGTGCAGACGACCTCTGACCTGTGAGCTGCAGCTGGCTGAGCTGGTGGTAAACCAGTGCTGCGTCCCTGGCGCTGGTCCTCGCCTCCTCCCCCTCGTGCTTCCCTCCGACCTGGTGGACCAGCCAGCCCAGAGGCGTCGGGCGATGCAAGCAGTAGCGAATAAAATTCCAGGAGAGAGAACAAACCAGGTCCAGACCGGTGGAGGGGAGCGCTCTCGTCAGCACGGACAGGCAGGTCTCTAGACTGGCCATCGCCGCCGCGTAATCTCCCTTTGAGAGAGAGGTGAGAGAAATAAGGAGCCAGGACCGAACCGGCAGAAAACTGAGGGGGGATCACGACTCGGACACGAGGAAGAAAAGTAAAAAATAAAACCGCTCGGGGAAAAGGAGAACTAGAGACATCAGAAGGATCAGATCACAGGCAGGAGAGAGCGAGGAGCTCTTCGGTGTAAAAACGCTGCGTGTGGAGAGAGAGGGAGTCCAGCACACGCAGCGTTCACCCGCACCGCTTCGGTTCTCACCCGCTTCAGATGCAGGTCTGCTTGCTTGCGGTGCCTCCAGAAGGACACGGATTTAGGCGAATGAAGCGGCGTCACCGGCTCCCACAGGTACAGAACCCTGACGCACCCCCACAGAGCTCCCACTCCACTCAGCACCCAGACAATCACCCACGGCAACAGGCACCGCAGCCACGACGCTGGCGAGATAAAACACGAGGTAAGATCTCGGCTCCTCTGTAGGGAAGCACAAACCCTAAAGCCTCACCGAAGTCCTGGGAGTGGGTCGGGAACCAGACCAGAGTCCTGGATGGGATGTGGCCTGCAGACAGACCCGGGTTCCCCGCGGCCTCCGAGCCCAGCAGCGAGGGCAGCGGGTTCAGGGACAGACAGAAGAACGTCAGAGCGCAAAGAAGGAGCCGAGAGCGATCCATCACCCCCACCGTGGAGGGGGAATCCGGCTCGCTCTTCACCTGAAACACAAAGACGGGTTTAAATTAGGATTTCTGCCACTTTGAAGAGTTCCCGCAACATTTAGGACGTAACCTCTTTCTCCAAACTGAGGCCCTTCAGGAGGTCATCTCCGCTGAACGTTTGGACAAAACAAACCTGTAAATCCTGCCGGTGATGAAACAACTCACCGGGTCGTGATCCAGTAGAGGACTTCCCGGCTCAGAGTCAACGCAGTACGGAGAGAACTGGTGAGGAGAACCGGAGCCGGAGTCGGAGGCGGGAGGTGACATCATCACCACTTCTGGTTTGAGCTCCACGTCCTCGGGTAAGGACGCGGCCCCTGGGAGAGACGGGGGCGCGTTCGTTTCAGTGTCAGGCCGCTATGAATGATGCTGGAGTGTTTAGAAACACTCACCGTTCTTCTGGTTGGCCATCTTCAGGGTCAGGTTCTCCTGCCGCAGCTTGTGGTTGACCTGCTGCAGGTATTTTATGTAGTCGATGGCCTTCCTCAGCACTCCGGACTTGTGCATCTGAGTGGGGAAGGTAGAGATAAACAAATGCAGCTTTTCTCCGTTACGCCTCTAACACCTTTCCTGGTTGCACCTTCGCATCGTTGCCCATGACCAGGTCTCTGAGCTCCATGATCTTGTCGTTGATGGACGACCTGTATCTCTTCTCGATGATGTTGTGGGTTGTTCTCCTTTCACCCTCCTTCACCACCACTCCCGGCCCCATGCCTCCTGCCATCACCTGGCTCGGCTCCACGCTCGCCCTGGGCCCGGCGGTGCAGGGGGAGGAGCCTGGAGGCAGCTGTTTGATGGGCAGCTTGTCTCCTCCCATCACCACGGGAACGGTGGTCAGAATGTTGCTGCCCATCAGAGTCTGGGGACGAAAGACAGATGTGAGGGCCCATCAAGACCAGTCACGAGCTGGTCGCGGGTTCGCCCACGCCGCCTACCGGGACTTGTAGCGCGGCGTTCTGGATGGGCGTGGTCAGGGTGGCGATGCCCGCGGGGCTCTGCACGGTGGACAACACCTGCGTCCCGTCGGGTTTCAGCGTCGTGAGGACCAGCGAGTCCGTCTTGAGGATCTGAGGCTGCTGGACCAAAACCTGAAGGGGTGCATAAACCTTTCGTTTTTACTGAAATGAAACTTTAATCAGGTCAGACGACCTCAGCGTTAGTCACCCTTACAGGCACCTGCTGCTGCACAGCGTGGACTGTGGTGGGCGCTGTGGAGAGGGTCTGGATGGTCTGACCCGTCGCGGTCAGCAGGCGCTGATGCTGAATGGTGACTGGCTGCAGCTGTGGCGATGTCATGATGCTCTGCACTTGTGGCTGAATGACTGGAGGAATAAAAACAGAAATCTGATCACGTTTAAAGCGCCGGAGCTCTGCAGCAGAAGCTGACAATCATCAGCAGATCTACTCCTCTCCATCACTGCGGTCACCTTGGAAACTAGGAGCAGCACTATGATGGCAGATGACCGGGCTCTGGATGAAGCGTGACTGTCCACCGTTGGAGGCGATCATCACGGTTTGGGCTGCCTGCGTCTGGATGGGGAGGGGCGTCTGGCTGTGGGTCTGAACCAAAGTCTGGACCGGGAAGTTCTGGGTCTGCAAGGAAACTCCCTGCGCGTGCACCTGCATTTAAACCAAACAGAATCTGCTTTAGAAAGCCGATGGTTAGCTGACACGGAGCCCGACCGCAGACAGAATAAAACACGCCCATACCTGGATGGTGGGCTGGGACGTCTGATGGGGTTGGATGGGCTGAGGCCGCGGCTGGAGCAGCGGAGGGCTGCGGGTCACCTGCTGCACCGTAGGGGTGGCGGCGGTGGCGAGGGAGGGCGTCTGAGCAGGCGTGAGGGGAGGGGTGAGGGGCAGGGTCTGGGGGGAAGCGAGGTAGGCAGTGGCGGTGGGTGTCTGAATGGCCATCTGGGGGGCGGAGCCAACAGCTTGCACAGAGCTTGCCGTGGTCATCTGTTCTTCAAACATGTCTGGGAAGTCCCCCACCTGGTTGCTGACGAACTGCAGCATCTCTGTGGAGAAACCCAGAAACCCGTCACATGTTTAAAAATGTGAAACGTTCACGAGGATCACGTTTAAGCGAAGAGAGGTCCTCACTGGGCCGGCGTTTGTGTCCGCGGTCCTGAAACTGATGGAAAGCAGTAAAGAGACCAGAGTGCAGCTTTTATTAAGATGTCTGAACCTCGCTAACAGATAAGAGCACAAACTGACCTCGACGTGACGCCTTGACCCCCACAGGTGCCGCTACCGTTCTGCTCATGAGTTAACTCGAAGCAGCCGCCACACAGAAAACCTTGAGAAAGGAGGGGGGTTATCTTCACGGCCCTGAACCACGCCGCTGTTGTGCAACTACTGATAGCTTTCCTTAAGAACTGGGTCACAACCGATCAATAATTAACCAATCACATCTCAGCTACACGAGGAGCCCACCCAGGTCGGTCAGGACGGGTCTTTCTGTGACCTGCCACGACCGTTGGACCAACGAGAGTTCAGATTTCCTGACTGATCGCGGATCGGGCGTCCATCGGTCAGGGCCACCGGCCCGTAGCCTTGAACTTCGTCCCGCTGTCCCGCATCCCGACACTTCCACAGACAAATAGCGCATTTATAGATGCTGTGAGCTTTAAAGAACCCACCAGAGTCCAGGCAGCTGAGTTTATCTGCTCCATGCACCGTCCCATCTCTTCAAAATAACCCAGTTATTCTTTATTTATCTTTATTTTCATAGACTTGATTTTCTGTCTCAGGGTTTATACCGCAAACTGTAATCTGACTCTTGGATTACCGTTAATCTGAGAAACGATAACAGTATAAACAAAACCTCAGGCAAACGTGACCTGAATCCATCTGACTGTAAATATAAACATATTTAATGCAAGTGAGGAAGTTTTAGTGAAGCGTTTGTGATGCGAGTCACAAACCTGATGATGACGGGTGTAATAAAAGCCACTTTTCTTCCTCCGTGTGAAATTTACCAACAGAGTTATAATAAATAAGTGAAAAATTACACGTTTTACATCAACTTAGCTCGTATGAACGACACACGAGTGAGTGTGAAGCACAGGATCCAAGAACAGCAGCAAGTACGATAAATGACCCCACTAAATAAACGGTTATCTGAGCAGGAATTTCTCGCTCATGTTTACATTTGATGAACGTTCTGCTAGCTGGTGGTCCACCAGGCAGAAGAAGCCCACAGGAACCCTGCAGCAGACCTTTTAGAGGATAAGATCTTTCCAGAACTGCGCTGCTCTGGGCGGCTGCATGTCGGAGTAGCTCTGTTGACTATATGCAAGTTTTGCCTTTTCTTGGGACATTTTTTCTTCTAGTTTCTCAAGAAAAACTGTATTTTTTGGACACTTTACTTTTCTGTTTCTGGTGCTGTGAAGCTTGGAGGATTTTTACAGCAATTTTTTTAGCTTTTTTCACTTTTTGAGCATTTGTTATGATGCGTAACCATGGCAACAAGCTGGTTTACAATCAGGAGCAGCTGATTAACATTGGAAAGGCTGAAATAATACCTCAACTGAAGCCACAAATCCCAAATGAGCTAAAACGCAAGAAGCGTGGGTGCAGAGTGGGAGCAAAACGGAGACAGAGAAAGGGAAAATTCAAACCGTCTCTTCCATCGATTATAATGGGCAATGTGAGATCACTGGCCAACAAGATGGAGGAACTCCAAGCCCTTTCAAGGACTCAGCCAGAGTTTCGGCAGTTTCGGAACCGCTTGAGGAGATCATACAAAGAAGGATTCTCCAGAGAATCAAGAAAATGATGGACAACCCTGAGCATTCTCTTCACAAGACTGTCCGACAACGGAAGAGTGTCTTCAGTCAGAGGCTTCTTCAGTTTGGCTGCAACACTGACCGCTACTGGAGATCCTTCCTGCCAACAGCCATTGTAATATACAACAACTCTTTGGTGACTTGATTATTATTATTATTCTGAGCTACTACAGCAATCAGTTTCCCTTTGGGATTAATAAAGTATTTTTGAATTTAAATTGAAGAGCACAAGATGAGGTGAAGGAAAAGCAGCTTCCTGTTTGAACGGCAGGAGAGGAGACAGGAACAGGCTGAAGGTGGGGAAACTGATGTATTTTTAGCTGCTGGTCCACATCTGAGAGGCACACCCTGATGTAGGTGTGGAGATGAGCTGTAGGAAGTGGAAGGACAGCAGCACAGACAGTAAAGAGCCGGTTTAGTTCAGAAAAAACTCAAAAACATGAAACAAATAAGGACCAAAGGCGTTAAAAAGAGCTGAACAAGTGCTCCAGCGGCTGAGAGGATCTGGTTTAGCAGCGATTCTTCTCTAGATGCCACCTTGCTAGCTGCGCCCCTGATTCTGTTAGCTCTTTGCCAATATTGACTCTGCCCACATTCACCAGATAACAATGGTCATGATGCAAACACAAGAGTTAAAGTGGAGCGTGGACAAAGGAAGTCAAACAGACACAAGGATCTGAATCTGCCTCATGACATCGCCTCTGTTCTGGGACACGTTTAGATCCCAGCAGAAGGATGTGATTTAATATAAGCTCAAGAACATTTGAGCTCCTCACACGTGATGCACGCTTTAGGGACGGACTGTTACCGAGAGGCAGCGCAAAGCATAAACAGGACACATAAAGGGTTCAGTCTCGTGACGACGATTCAGGTTTTACTGAAGCAAACCGCCACGGCGTTGGTAAAACGTGGCTCTGTCGAACTCTAAAGGTGACCAGATTAGATTTTATCTGTGGCTGGAAGAACATCCTGATGGAAAACGGTCTGCATCCTTTAGGTTTGGACCAGACACAACCAGCATGAAGCCGTACTGCTGGGAATTAACCAGCCATCATCTATTTGACGCAACCGGTACATTTCTCTCTTTTGATACCAGATTAAGTGGGAATACAAAACCGTGGGTGCTTTGCTGTCTGCTCATCCCAGAGGCCAACATTTCACCCGCTAGCTTCCACACGAACAAAGAAGCTAAGAAAACTTTTCTTTTACATTAATTATTCGTTTGGGGAAATAAAAGCTAACATTTAATGTAAGATAATAACATAAAAATATAAAGTTTGTAAACTGTAACTTTTTATTCTTAGCTGAATTTCTAATTTTAAATAGTTTTTCTGGTAAATCTAAATGTGCAAAACTGCTCTATAAAGGTAATCATCTAATATTAAGAGAATACTAATTAGAGGCAATAATGTTTGACTCTTTATTCAAACATCTCCACGTTTTGTAGAATTTTTGCTGTTTTTTTCTGATTACTTCAAGCTTCAATGACATGTAAGGACCAAAATATGTTTCTAAGTGTTTGATCTTCAATCTAAAGATTTAAAAGAGAAATAGCATTAGAAGGAGAAACAGGTGTGGTTAAGGAAATCTGTAACATCTTTAAAGAGCAAGTCACCCCCTACCATAGTATTACTCAACTCCCACTTCCTGTTTGAAAAATGCAACAAATGCTGTTTCCTAGCAGGCTGAGAGGGCCAAGCCGCTAACACACACACACACACACACACACACACACACACACACACACACACACACACACACACACACACACACACACACACACACACACACACGGTCCCAGCTAACGTTCTAGGGTACCTCGTAGCCAATAGCGATTTCAGATTTAAATTAAAATGCAGTGCAGAGTTTTTAAATGGTAAAATGGCCTGTATTTGATATAGTGCCTTCTAAAGTCATGGAACCCCTCAAGACCCTTTACAACACAATCAGTCATTCACCCATTCACACACACATTCACACACTGGTGGGGATGAGCTACGATGTAGCCACAGCTGCCCTGGGGCGCACTAACAGAGGCGAGGCTGCCGAGCACTGGCACCACCGGTCCCTCCGACCACCACCAGCAGGCAACGTGGGTTAGGTGTCTTGCCCAAGGACACAGCGACAGGGGCTCGAACCTGCAACCTTCAGATTACGGGGCGAGCACTTAACTCCTGTACCACCGTCGCCCCGTTTTTACCTGACAACACTGACAGTTTTAGGCAGAAAATTTTAATTTTTAACTAAAATGCACTAAAGTGCAAAACTATTGACTACACGTGTCTGCAATTAGACACACATTTATGTAGTTTATCAGAAAAATAAGTTGATTTGGGGGTGACTTGCTCTTTAAGCTTAGCCTGTGAAAGCCCAAATCACCACTGATTTTCTTTCATGATCCAGTATCAAACCACAGACCATCCTCACTGGTGATGTTTTGGTTTCCGAGTCTAAACTGGAAGTTTTACAGCAATGAATGCTGTTTAAATAATCTGCAGAACAGAATAGGTACAGATTAAAATGTCAAAGGGTAAACATAGTCTAAAGAACTACGATCAGATTTCTTAAAATATTTTAACATCAGGTTTCAGATGTCATGTTTGAAGTTATATAAAATAGAATATTGTCTTAATTTAATGTTGGATAAAACAAGAACAGAGAAACTATTCTACGTTTTAATATTTGAAAACAAAAGTCCCAAATGAAACATCTGTTGCCTCCGGACACGGGACGCGCTTCTTGCCGTTCGCTTTTGCTTCATAGAAAAAGGGACGAGAGTCTGTAAACATCGTCACCAAGAAGCAATTTCAACCTCACAGATGGCTGATAATAAACATAAATCACCACAAATGAACTCCAATCATCACACAAAGCAACATAAATGCATGCAGCAAAAGGACGAACACATTTAAGCAACACAAACTATTGGGCTAGCATGTTAGCGGCTAAATAAATAAACCTTTAATGTAGACTAGCTTAGACGGGCTCCTACATGGAAACAAGCCAAACTCTCAGGAAAACAACAACAAACCGCGCAGGCAGAGGGGTCAACTCACCATCGATGTCTCCCAAAGTGAATTCGTCCCCTAGCTCTGCTAAAGTCGGGTCCATGGTCTCCATCGGGCTGATGTACTCTCCGGTGTCCATCCTGTTTGTCAGCGACTCGCGTCTCCAACTGTCACAGGAGGGTCGCGAGGACTAAAACACACCACTAGCCTCCACTTCCGCCTTTCCCCGAAGCTAACAACGAACGTATCCGAATTAAAATCCCGACTTTTACCGGAATAACCTTAAAACGACACCAAAGCCTCAAGAGAGGCAGACATTTACGCCGATAAACTCATCTTCACTGATTAATTGCCATGGCGACGCCATTTTGTTTTACGCTAATTACGTCATTCACAATCGAAAGCTGTGGCCCAAGAAGGCGCCTGATTGGTTAAAACTCGGCCGTTCTTGTCATGAGACCAGTCGTCTTCGTCCAATGAGAATGTCGCAGTCACTGTGGTCTGATAGTACGTCAAGCATCAGAAGCTGGTGTGTCATTTGAAAACCGCCCCTCCATCATTTTACAAATACCTCACGAGGCTGATCACAAGGATGAGTGTGAAAACAACACGTATTAGCTCCACGTTATTTAATAGAATGTTCATTTAAATTATCTAAGGCAAAGCCCAAGGATATAATAAACAAAAGCAATTTAACGAATGTTTAAACACGCATCAATATTTATCAACATAAAAACATCATCACGTTTCTTGTAAAAGTGGCACAGAAAAAAACTTCATACTTAAAGGTGTTGATTCTTTTAATTTATTGCAGCAAAAACACAAAACTACAAATACGTATTATCATTTTTTTAAAATAAAACAAGCGTTTTATCATCGAAACATATAACACTCGATAAAAGCAAACATGGAATTAGATTTTAAAGCTTTACGGTTATTTTAAGAGCAAAAATAACACGCTTGTTCTTGTAAGATGTTAAATGAACACATTTTACAGGATTTGAAACAGTACACTCAAAGCTAGCCATTAGCATTTAAAACACTTTCAATTCTTCAGCCTTTTTGCCCATTTTCTAAATTTTTGCAGCAATAAAGCTCATCATGTTAGCACATCATTCAAGAAAAACAACTCATGTTACTGTGCTGGTTAAAAAGCAAGTCACCCCCAAATCAACATTTTTTTTCTGATAAACGATATAAATGCATGTTTAATCGTGCTGCAGACACGTGTAGTCAATAGTTTAGCACTTTAGTGCATTTTAGTTAAAATTTAAGTTTTCCTCTCCCTGGGCTGCCACCTTACCGTGGTGGAGGGGTTTGAGTGTCTCAATGATCCTAGGAGCCAAGTTGTCTGAGGCTTTCTGCCTGTGGTAGGGTCACCCATGGCAAACAGGTCCTAGGTGAGGGATCAGACAAAGAGCAGCCCAAAGACCTCTTATGATGAATTATATAAATGGAAACCGTGTTCCCTCGCCCGGACGTGGGTCATCGAGGCCCCCCTCTAGAGCCAGGCCTGGAGGTGGGGCACGTTGGCGAGCGCCTGGTGGCCGGGCTTTCACCCATGGAGCCTGGCTGGGCACAGCCCGAAGAGGAAACATAAGTCCCCCTTCCCATGGACTCACCACTCGTGGGAGGGGCCAAAGGGGTCGGGTGCAGTGTGTGACTGGTGGTAGTCGAGGGCGGGGACCTTGGCGGTCTGATCCTCGGCTACAGAAGCTGGCTCTTGGCACATGGAATGACACCTCTCTGGTGGGAAAGGAGCCTGAGGTTGAGAGGTTCTGACTAGATATGGTTGGACTCACTTCAACGCATGGCTCTGGAACCAGTTTCCTTGAGAGGGGTTGGACTTTGTACCACTATGGAGTTGCTCCCACTGAGAGGCGCCGAGCAAGGGTGGGCATACTGGTTGCCCCCCATCTTGGTGCCTGTATGTTGGGGTTTACCCCAGTGAATGAGAGGGTAGCCACCCTCCGCCTACGTGTGGGGGGACGGGTTCTGACTGTGGTCTGTGCTTACGCACCAAACTACAGTTCAGACTACTCACCCTTTTTGGAGACCTTGGAGGGGGTGCTGGAAAGCGCTCCTTCCGGTGACTCCCTCATTCTGCTGGGGGACTTTAATGCTCACGTAGGCAACGACAGACCTGGAGAGGTGTGGTTGGGAGGAACGGCCCCCCCGATCTGAATTCGAGTGGTGTTTTGTTATTGGAATTCTGTGCCAGTCATGGAGTGTCAATAAGAACACCATGTTCAGACATAAAGGTGTCCATATGTGCTCTTGGCACCAGGATACCTTAGGCCGCAGCTCGATGATCGACTTTGTTGTTGTTTCATCTGACCTGCGGCCGCATGTCTTGGACACTCGGGTGAAGAGGGGGCGGAGTTGTCAACTGACCACTACCTGGTGGTGAGTTGGCTCAGATGGTGGGGGAGGATGCCGGTCAGACCAGGCAGGTGTAACAGAGATGAAAATGTGAATTTCACCAAAAGTAATGTGCAGTGATTGTTTGTGTTTTTGGAGCCGCCTACTGGTGGTTAGGCGCAACTGCATGCAACGGGTCCTTCAGGCGCATTCACAGCCCCTCCCACCAAAGCAGTAATGAAAGCTGGTGGAGGTAGGTGTACTGTGAAGCCGCTCTGCACTTTAAGTCATTTTAACCTTTAATTAATATATCAATAGGACTTGTTACAGATATTTAAGTGTTGTTAGAGCATATTTTGAAAAAGGTTAGCTGTGTTTGCATTAAATTAATAACTTTATAGACGAGATTCACACTAATGGAAGCTAGCTTTTCAGTCCTTTTAGTAATGTTTGGGTTTTTTCTTTTTGCCTTGAACAGACCGTTGTATGCAGTTGCAGCGCACACACACTGATGTATTATTGTGTGCTTGTTTTTACATCAGGTACGTTCAGATGTGTTTGGTAAAAATATGATTTGTAAATGTTTTATTGTTTCAACTGCCGGTGGCAGTTGACTGTTATACCTACTGATGGCAGTTAACTGTTTCAACTGTCGGCGGCTGCGCTGCCATTGTTGGTACTATTAACTATTTTATATGTTTTATCAAAAAGAAAGTATGTATTGCTCTGAAATGCAAGTTGTTAAATTAATATATTGCTGTTGTTATTAAATGCCACTATACGATCATATGATGGAAAAAAAGGAAAAGCAGTAATGAAAGCTGGTGGAGACCGTTGTATGCAGTTGCAGCGCACACACACTGATGTATTATTGTGTGCTTGTTTTTACATCAGATCCTGCCAGTAAAAAGCTCTGAAGGACAGTCCTGTGTCTGTGGCCTGATTGTATGTGTGCGGTGATTTGAGGCAACTCCAATAACCCTGGACGGACAACAAGAGGAAGCCGTCACACTGGTGCCGTGACTCCCGGATTGCTGAGCAGCTTGATGCGGTTCACCGGAGGTTACTGTGTCGTCTACCTGCAAGTTACCTCTTCACTTCAAGACCTCCACAATTGGGTCACAAGGTTTATGAACTAAGGGAAACAGTAGTTCTATTTCTAATTACCACTGGATTTTAATTGAGTGTGTTTTATTTCTGCTTTATCTTAACATGGCAAAGAGATTTGAACCAAGTGGTAAAACTGTGAACAGTCACCCCTCTTTTGGGAGAGGTAGAGGTGTAATGGGACTTACTTTTCAGCCCGGTTGTGCTGTTGGGTTTGATTTGGGTGCATCACCTATACTACCTGCGAGTAGTAGTAAACCCCAGGGATTAGCTCGGGATCCAGATGAGACACCTACTGGTCAGATGTTATTTGGGGGCCAGAGTCACTCAACACCTGTTGTTGGTAATGACTTACACCAAATAAGTGACATGATTTATCAGTTAGGTTCACAGATTGGGGAATCAATTGCAAATAAACTGTTATCTTCTGGCGTTGCTGGGGGAAAAGAAGCCTGTGGTACCTGTCAGAAACAGGACAGTGCCAATGTTGAGGACGCTTCTGTCTCAGATGGTCAAAGGTTTAATGTCATTGTAAAATCAGAAACCTCACCTGCAGTTTTCAAAGGTGACAATTCTGACAAGTACACTGTTACTGAGTGGGTTGAAATGATGAGAGGTTACCTTAGACGGCAGAACTATGATGTTTCTATGCAAAAAGAGGAAATTATGGGGAAGTTGATGGGTAGAGCCAGAGATGTAGTTAAGATTGGCCTTAGAAGTAATCCTGCCTTAAATGCTACATCCTCCCCAGATGTAATTTATAACATGCTGATACAGTACTTCAGTAACACATCCTCCTGTCTGCCTCTACAAGATTTCTACTCCACACTGCCACTCCAGAAAGAGGATGCTGTTGATTACTGGATTCGCCTTAATAAGGCTGCAGACATGGCTGAGGAAGGTCTGAAGCGTCAAGGGAAGCGCATTGAGGATATTGGTAGCGAAATTGCTAAAATGTTTGTAAAGCACTGCCCTGATACAGAACTAGTTTCAGTGTTTAAGTACAAACAGATTCATGAGTGGACCCCCAAAGACATTCAGGAGAGGCTAGATGAACACCAAAGAGAGCGATTGTCCAGTATTAAAACACTAATGCACAAACCATCTGCAGCCCAATTACTATGTTTTGAGACACACGTTGAGCCCAGAGTCTCCAGTAATGTACATATGCCTGATGGTGTTCTGCTCCATCATGTTGTGCAGCCAACCACTGAAACTCCTTTATCCTATGCACCTGCGATGGTGCAGAACCAGCAGTTCCAAGGTGATTCAGTTACTCCAGCTGCACAGACATGTTTTCCTTCCCTACAGCCTATGAAGCAGCAGAGTAAATGCACAGAAGTGCAATGCCAGTTCCAGTCTCCAGCTTCTGCCCCACTCAGTCAGCCACAAGAGGGTGCCATGCTTGGTGACATAGTGTCGATGCTCAGGGAGCTTCTCACCAAAGTTCAGCCTAGTGGTCAGCCCTCATATGCTCGTCGTGGGCGCACAAAGGGCCGGGCCAGATCTGTTATGAACTGTCGGGTGTGCAATGATGACAAGCATACAACAGAAACCCACTGCCGTTCAGACCGACTCTGTTTCACATGTTTCAGCCCAGACCACACGAGATGGTCCTGCCCAACCAATACTTCCCCTACAGAAAATATGCAGGGAAACTAGGTGACCTATGTCTGGAGGGAGGTCACATGGGTCAAGGTAAAATCTCCCACACATTTGATGCTGCTGAATTGTACCAAAATATACAGAAACTGAATGAATCAGAAAATGTTATTGTTCAGGACACACAAAGGGTCAAAAAGAGTGACAGCTTGTTTTATATGCATGTTAAAGTCGATGGCAAAGTGACTCTTGATGCCATGCTGGACAGTGGTTCGATGGCATGCTCACTGAGTGAAGTAGCCCTGCAGTCGCTAATTAATGCGGGTG